TTGGCGCTGCGGTAATCCTCTCCCGCTTCGGTGAGAAGCCATTGTGGGTCCTTCTCCATGTCCTCCATCATGATCTCATACATCCCCTCCCAGGGAAGTAGATCGAAGACGGAGGGTACAGGTCGCCCTGGCACTAATTATGACGGCTCAGACCACCTCCATCACCTTCTTTTCGATGGACTGATTGGGAGGCCTGTTCGGCATCCTCCCTCGCCTTCCTCTCTCGGGCGAGTCGGTCGATGTTCTGATTTCTTCTCCAGCGTCCAATGTCGGAGTCCTCGTCACTGACCTCAGCCTGGTAGGAATTCCAGGCTCTTCTCCTGGCCTCCAGGTCAGTTCTGGCATGCTCAACTGCTCCGGAGTATCGGAGGGCAGCAGTGCGCATCCTGTTTTCGATCTCGGCAGGGGTGGCGTCGGGCTCAAGGGGGAGGTCCCAGAGTGCATTGGGTCCCTGGAGGGCATCGCGCTCGGCCCTACGGATGCGTGCGTCATGCACTCTTGCTCGGTCCATTCGGGCCTCGACTTCTGGGATGTGCCGGGCATCTCGAGGGAGTCTGAGGGACTCGACGAGCGTGTGGTAAAGAAGGGGCCATGGACGCTGGTCGCGTGGGACGGGGTCGGCGAAGGCTCGCGCCGCGACTGACGGAGTGAAATCGGGGACTCGGATGACATCCCCGGCCCCGGCAATTGCTCCAAGTTCCTCATCGTTGTAGTCTGGGAACTCGCCCCAGAGCTCCCGATCCTCCTGTTTGTTCGGGGGGACGGTGGGGACGAGTGCACCGACCTCGGGCTTTTCACGGACGAGACCAGGCTCGGGCCTACCGGCGGTACCTCTGGCCACAGGAGCCTCTTCCCTTGCGTCGGCGTAGACCCAGCTTGTATGGGGGTACCAGGCGACTGGCTCCCCTCTGCTAGGTGGCCAAGGAGTTGGAATGGGCCTTGCTCCATCTGCATGGGTGGTAGTTGCGGCGGAGGCCCCAAGGGCAAGCTCTCCAGAATCTTTGTCGATGTCATCTCCATGGTTTCTTCTTGACCTCGCGAGTCTCACCCTATCCCTCGCGTCTTCCGCGGGGAGTCCTCCCGTGACTTCCCTGACTGCCCACTTGTCTCCGGAATCGGTGTCAGGGCCTTCTTCTCCGTCGTTCTCGAAGAGCCGACGGAGTCTACGTCCTTCCGCGTCCCAGAGGTCGAAAGCTTCTTCTTCGTCCGACTCCATATCCCCTCCTTCTTCTCCTGACTCGCGGTCGAGTGTAGGCTGGGCGAGGAGGTGCGGTACGGGTGAGTCTCCTCTGTCGAGGAGTATGCCCCTGGTATCTGTGATGTCAACTGACTTGGCAGTAGCGCTTCTGTAGGAGTCGGTGCTCAACTCTGAGGATCCCGAGCTGGACCGCGACGATCCGTAGAGGGACTCTCCAGGTCCTCTGGGTGTGATGGGTCGGCCATCATGGAGGGTTTGCTGTGAGGCTGCAGGGATGTAAATTATCGGTGGCGGGTAAGCCGGGGTTGCTGGAACGTAATGAAACGGCAGTTGTGCCCGCACTCGTCTTTGTTGACGGCAACACCGATGGATCTGGTACAAGAAGATGGACAAGAAAAAGAGTATAAAAATGGCGGAGATTGTGGGAATGGCGTCAGATAAGGGCATTCGTCCGTGGGTTTGGTTCTCGTCATGTGGATCGCCTGTGCCCTACCATGAACTGGAAAGGTTCACGATGTGGTACACCAGTTGCTGTACGGTGAGAATAGAGAGTGCGATTAAAAGGGTGATGACCAGCCAGAGGTCGGTTTCGTAGTTGGTGATGACTGCCTCAGTGGTCATCCAAGATTCTTCGTCCACGGAGAAGGGGTCCGAGCTCCTTAATGCCAGCAGTGAGGATAAACGGAGGATGTAGATTATGATCCTCAGATTGGTCGTTGGAATCAGACTGCCAACCTTGCCGTGATGAAGATAAGGATGGCGATTGACAATCGAGGGAGAGACCGGAATACAAGGATAGTCCAGGTGACGATAAGAGTTGTAGTGACGATGGCTCGTCCAGGTCTTGGAAATGCAGTGGACCAGATGAGGACTGCTGTGACGATGATGACGAGTGTAGCCTCTATTTTTTCTTAAAAGTTGTCGGGCAGCGTTCGTTCTCTGACGTGGCGCTGGGCGATAGGTTGGCGAGCTTCGGCTAAATGTTAACAACCAACTCGAATCGACTTAGATCAAACCAGGATCACTACTCGCACTTCGGTAGTTGATACACTGGTAGGTCAAAGGCGAAAAGACAAGTCAACTGTGAACGAGATAGACGCGAAACAAGGAGTTCGATGATGGGTAGATTAAACCTTAGCCGAAGCTGGGGTTTAGGCCAGCTGAGGCACTACTTAAATACACGATGACTAGACTAAAAATAGTACTGTGAGAATCGTCCGGTAGGAATTGCATCATAGAATAAGCATGAACACGTAAGAAATGAAATGAAATGAAAAGAAATGAATAAACCATAACAGTTAGCCTCTTCATCAGGAAGATTTACACTCTGCATGATGCCGCCTGTAGTACTCATCTGAGCATGCTCAGAATTGCCGAAATGAAGTGATGACAGATGGCTCTCCTTCCATGTGTCATTCGGATGTGCATGCCCAGCATCCCTTCATGTCCATTCTATGTAAAAATCCCTATAACTATAGTGGAACCACTTTTGTAATAATCCCTATAACTATAGGCCTGTCAAATTCATGTATCCGCTAGAAAGCGAAGTTATACGTAGCCATGAATTTTCACATGCAATCCATTTCTTGGTCTCTCCCCACCACGTGCCCAACCAATTCCCACCTGCTCTTGCACTCCCTATTTACAGGTATCAGTAATAAAATATTTAGTATTCACAATTAAAGCATTGTAAAACAAATAAATAAATATAAAATACTATATAATACAAAAATAAATTAACATATAGGCGGCATGGGCTAGGGATGAGCTAGGGAGCGATTTAGGGATCAATGGCACTAATGAACATCACGGCGGGCTCATGAGAGAAAATGGAGACCACCATTGGATCCCCCATGTCTTGGAGGACATTTGACATCCAAACAGATGTCAGCAGCCCGATCTCCATCCTGCCCTCCCACTCTCCCCCTTCCTCCCTAGTATGCTGCCCAGTCTCCTTCTACATCCCTAGCCTAAGATCCACCCTAACCCTCATCATGCTCAAAGTCTCCTGGCTTTTCCGTCATCATTGTCATTGTGGTTGTTACTGTTACAGGTGCCATCCCGCTGCATGATGAGGTCCGATACGGAAACCCTAGTGATATCCTGTGTTGTCATCATGCCGCGCTTGCATATCCAATGACGATCGAGGTCAATGCGCGTGTGGGGGGCATGGGATGGGTTGCGGCAGAATGTAGGTTGTATCGGGGCAATGGCAGGGATGCATGGGTCACGTCGTCAACGTACAGTGTTGTGGTCATATCTGGCAGTGCTGCCTCGGGTGAGGGCTTAAGCGTGTGGTGAGGATGAAATGGTCACTACCCAGGGATCTTGGGGCTGCCAGATATGCCAAAAAGACTTAAATTTGACATGTCAGTATAAAAAACAATTCAAACATACCATATACCCATGACAATGGGCAAAACAGACGAGCAAGAGGGCAGGAAAGGAAGTGGATGTGGTGGAGAGGAACAGAAAACGGTGCTGCACAGCCACTCAATCACGGTACGGTTGTGCAGTCCGGAGTGATCGACCGAGTGGAATGCATCATCGGGATGCTTCCACTGCTCGATGTACACTCTCCGATGCCCCAAAGCGTATCGGAATCTTGTATTATAGGTATAAGGATTGTGTATATATAATTTTTAATGCAACAGGATACCCTCATCTCATGATAATCCTCAATTTACATTGGTTGCCCCACATTTTAGGGCACTTGTAAGCAAATACCAGTTCTATATATTTGTGCACCATCTCAATAGGTATGTTTTTCATTGAAAATGCAAGGTTATGTCTAGTATAAGTCAAAATAATGGTCCGATCCACCCTGATCTGCTTATAGTCTCACCATTATACCGTTTCATGCATAAGAAGTGAAAACAGAATCAGACGAAAGTTCACAAGCTCGTTTTGCATACTACGAGTGTTCATAATATATTCACTTCAGGGCAGATCCATATATGCATTTGTATCATTGATAATTCACACAGGAAGTCTTTTTCTCATTTGTTATATTATTATTTAGATGCACACTGTGCTGCATACTTTTGTAAAAGTTGAATTCAACAATTGTCTCACCATTATTCGCATTTATTGGTCGAATAAACATGAATTAAAGGCTAATTTATTGGCATAAAATGTAAAATCATGAAATATAGATATGACTATCATATTTTCGAGGTACAGAAAGCCCTAGGAGTACGGGATTGCAAGGGTATTCTGTCCTATGCCCCTAATTGGGGTGCATCTGGCAAATTCCAACCATGGTGAGAGGGGCATTTTCCTGTTTGTGTATCAGTTGAATGACAGTATTTAGACTCTGTTAAGCATTTATATATCACATAAATGTATTTTAATTAAACTGAGCCTAAATAATCCATGTGCAATGCAGAATTTTACCCAGCTTTCAAAGCCGACAGAGCTGCTACCGCATTGGGAATGATATTTTTCCACAGTTTTATACATTCAAGTATGCACGGGCGCATCCAGCCAAAATAGGCTGCACATGGGTCAGGTGGCAATAGTAAATCATTAAATATTATTTTTCTGGGCTGTGATTTTTTTTTCGGGCCCAAGCAACGAACGCCAATCCAGTGCCCATGGACCCTAACTTGGCAGCCATACGGCAACAGTTTCTGGACCTAGCTAGGGCTGGTGAGACTGCTACAAGGGATACGTATAATTAGGAATCAAAAAGTGATGGCATCCTTACAAGATACGTATAATTTGACATTACTATAGTTATAGGGATTTTTACAAAAGTCGCTCCACTATAGTTATAGGGAATTTTTGTAGCGAATGGACACTATAGCCTCTGCCCAGTGGTGACACGACCAACAATAAGAGTGGGGGAAATACCCTGGATATCCAGTTAATTAATTCGTTCCAAGTTCAAGGAGAAAACCCACTTTAATCGAGCTCATGATAACATCGAGATAAGTGCCCAGCGTATTATGTGAGATGAAGGTGATGTAGATGATCAATGCAGCGGAGTACAGTGCAGCTGACTCTACGACGACCTCCACAACACCACAGTATGATCACAGACCTGCCTTAATTCCTCCTACCAACAAGATGTGGTATACTATGAGCAAAGTGCACATTAGAGTGGTGGTAAGGACAAGGGACAGGTATATCATCGTCCAGTCAATCAAGGCAACGAACTCGGAAAGTTTGGCGTTTTCTATGTTATCGTGATAGCTGTGGTAAACTTGAAAGCATTTAGCGACTACAGTTGACAGACGTCAGTAATGCTTCCAATTTTAATATGTAACAGCTTTGTACCAGTCTCAGCGATTAGACATAGAATGGGAAGGATGACAATAAACCAGCAGCCACCCCAAACAATAAAACAGCACCAAATCTAGGATGATTTGTAAGTTGGCTTTTTTGAAGGGTAAGACGAGGAGTTGGGATGGACTTACCAGAGTCCCATCAGAGATGATGGTACTGATGGTCCCTGTGACACCCATGCCTACCTGGGTGATAGTCCACTGACTATTGAAGCTTGTCAATCCCATGAAGACACTCAAAGCATCTTGACCATTGTCAATGAAACCAAATCGGACGAAGAACCAAAGGAGGGAAAAATTAATCGTGGTCATGAGGTAAAGGAGGATAATAACGAAAACCATGAGAACCCTAGATGTGCCACTTTTGGATGGGTGGCTGGAAACTAAAAAGGATGGTTAGACGGTACCGCACCGATGCTAAAGAAGAGGACAAACAGGTATTCCATAAGGTTATGGCAAAAATACAAGTATATATTCCTAAAGTATTCTTCATCAGATGTGGGGAAACACAGCAGATTATTACCATGTATGAAACCGAAGAGGATTATTTCATTGAAGAATTGAGAACCGCAAAGACTATTGAGACGTCTTCGCCAGTAAGGTTCGGGGTTTCGCTCTCCGATGACATCAAGGATGAGTGTAAGGTTTTGTGAGGTTGGGATGAGCAGAGGATGCAGAAACTTGAAGCTTCATATAGTCGAAACGTTCATAGCCCATCATCAACACTTGTAACTTCAGCAATTTAGCAGCTCAAGACATGTTGGAAATTTTGTGCCAGAGATCTCCACAACAGCCTTGAGCAAAAACCAAACCCAATCTATCATGATTTTTGAGCCAGATCCTGGAGCGGGGCCACAGATCACCAGTGTTCATCGATGGTTGTGAGTCTAGATCAATGAAGGTGTATATTATATAATGACGTATCACGCAGAGGTGGATGGAATTCTATGGAATTGAAGCTTGAAGATCGGCGGAACACGGATCCCCAGCTGACGCCAGATGATGATTGGTCGATCTTTATACAGATTCACCATAATCATGATAATGATAATGATAATCACTCACTGGTAAGATAGGGTTTGGAAAAATCTTTCGACGTCAACTGGTCGATAACATCCGCACGCATGTCCTCGACCACGGCAGAGCTCGACACTGAACTGCATCGTATCTATTGTAACTCATCTCGAATCAGGAGCATCAGGAAAAAGCCTTTTGCTACGTATCTGCCACTCAAGTATACATAGTCTATGTAGGTATGGTAGCGGCTGTAGTGGGTGCTCAGTAGTACGTAGCGGTACATAGCATTCCATATGCACTGGTGGGGACTACGTAGATAGCAGTATCCTTTAGCAGAAGCTACATAATACTACCATCACGGTCAGTATTTATGCAGGCCATTTGATAATAAAAGCAGACAACGGTTGTGTCAGCTGTCAGACTGGACTCTGGAGGAACTTATTTATCAGACGACCAGCCAAGAGAGGAGGACTGGTCAATGATGCTTGATGCTTTATCTATGCCCCACAACATATGGAGCAGTTACGATGGACGCCATCTAGCCGCAGTGTGTACTGCAGCGAGAACTCGGAGTGGCAGAAATTTGCAAGTCCATTTGAAACTCCGACTGCGCACGTGCATAGTAATCAACAAGATCACGCCATTGGACTTCGATCAAATCCAACCAACCTTTCTTCCTTTCCTCCATTTCCGCCCACTCTTCCCCCTTTACTCTTTCCTCATTTATGGTTCTATCTTCCTCTCTCTTAGCGATGCAGCCAGCTGATTCATACTTGATGAATCTCCTTACAGAATTTGCGCTCCTTGGATCCCTAGGCATGTTGCATGGTTAGGCTTTGAACATTATAGCTACTTGTCAATGTGTGTGCCCTTACTATTTCTCTGACTCACTCTGACACGGACTTGTATTGCAGCATCTGGGTAGGATGTCTCGTACTTAAGGTTGCTGGTGAGTGCCTCAACCATAACGCTGTGCTTTGTCGCTGATTTCGTGCTTTTCATAAGAATATTGTTCTATCGATGTCTTAGACTAGAACGTATGTACCTTGGACTGTTTCAACATTGATTATGCTTATATCATTGTCCCCAGGATTCAAAAAAGCCACAGATACACAACGACTGTAACTACCAAAGACCGATGTCTCGCCTCGCCCAAGAACCGGCCATTGTCACCCCCATCCCTGAAGGGCCTCCCCAGCAAACCCACGCCATCGTAAGTTGTTTTGCCTGGCTCTTATTGACCGCTACTCACGTCTCTGTCGCTAGAACCACAAGTCTACTTTGCGACCGCGGGATGGATTGAGACGGTACTTATAGATTGGCCAGGAATCGGAGGTTGAAAGTGGTCTAGTGCGGGTGACATTGTACTAGCTGTACCAGTGTAGTAGCTAGTTCTAATCTATTGATTTGCATCATCTCATGGGCTGTACTCGCCAGAGTATTCTTGGTATGTAAGGATACGGCGCTGATACGGTTGCGATACAGTAGCTTCAGTGGGGCACTATCATCCGCTACAGGCTGCTACGTACTCTGAGTGGTCTGCTACAGGCCACTACATATGGGGGACTGTGCTACGGCGCTACCTGCGCTACATAGCCTACATACCACAATGTAGCGAAGTGGGTTTTTCCTGATGATCCGATCAGGCAAATGACCTTACAAATTCGAACTGTGGTGGAGGATAATATAAACATTCAGGCCCAGGAACCGAAGCACGAACATACAAAAATAGATACATAAGCACCCGGACTGAGACTCTTGCTGACTCTTCTTTTCGACTTAGATAGGATGAACCGTTATCATGTCGTTGGAACCAACGAGGCACCAATACAATCGCGGACATTCATCAATGCGAATAAGGCTATATGTCGAACGTCAAAACAGTTTTAGAGGGGTAAATGAGACACGGTCGCGTACCTAGCATAGCAATTTATTCCCACATATTCGTACCCGCGTTCGTGATTGGAAATTTTGCTTTGCCTAAAACCACGACCACGACTGACCATGGCTACAACTGCCCCCAGCCCCGCACCCGCCACCATGAGTGTCCTCGCAACCGAAACTCTCATCCAGATATTCGAGCACCTCGATTGTCCCTGCGATCTCTTCCACGTCGTGCAAACATGCACCGTCTTTCATGACATCGCCATCTGGATGTTGTACCGTCATATTCAATATAACAACCCCGAAAGCTTTAATGCCCATACGGCATTTTGGGAGCATGCACACGATGGGATGTACGACGTTCCTCGGTCGGTAGCCCTCGACAACGTCCTGAAGCATTCTATTCAGGGGGTCTGGAGAAGCGATAATTATCACGAAGAAGACGACGAGGCGCTCCAACTCCAGATCAACGTATGGGTCCGGTTGCTTTCCTTCACTTCCCTACACACGCTCTCCATATCGCACTGCCTTCTCCCAGACTCGGAGTCCTTCAGTTATCTACTCCAAGGCTGTCAGAGCCTTCGCAAACCCTCTATCGAGGCATGCGTCTTCCAGGAGGAGCCGTTGGATTTCAACGGGAGTTACGGGATATTTCCGTGGCTTCCGTTAGAGGAGTTGTCTCTCTTGGGCGAAAATACCGTGTACGACCGGCTATGGGAAGAAGATACGTCGCGCAGTGACAGGGAAGCCGGTTCCTTTCTCCGCCTTCTTACAGTCCGCTCCATTCGCACATTGACCGTCGATTTGAACGACAGAAATTGTGCATTCCTCGCCAACCGCACGCCACACAGTGGTGGTATCTCCTTTGGCAATCTCAAGACGCTACGGCTCCGTCTCATCAACGATACAGTGGTCGACCCGAGGATGGGCAACGACATCGCTGCTTTCCTGAATACGCAATGTGCTTCTGTCAATGCACTCGAGCTCCTTGGCTTCGCCGAGCTCACATCCGATGATGTGCGGTTGCGACCTGGGGCGCTGAGTCATTTGGCGAATTACAAGGGTCCAGCTGCTATAGCTCCCGGCATCGCCGCAACAGGATGTCCGTTGAAGCACCTAGGGACCAACGATCCGACACTTAGCATATCGCAAGCGTCGAGCGTGTTGGGAAAGGTTGGCAGCCATAGGCCGCAGTTGATGTTGCTGGACATCACGATCCAGGAATGGGATACGGAAATTCTGTACGCGATTTCGCATCTTTTCCGACGCGTCAGAGAGGTGAAGATCAAGTATCATAAAGGGTACCCCGATGAGGTGTGTCGGTCATCCTAGGAATCGAGTTTTGTTTTTTTGATTGACTTGCAATCCTAGTCCGCTATCCTGAGCATGCCATCTATGTTCTTCAGCAACATGAGCAACATGACGACGCTGCATATCTATAACCCGCAATCCATTCATTCCCTGATATCCCACAGAGGATATAACGCGCTCGACGTCGATTTTTATCACATGAGCTGGCCGGCAGAGCTAGGCCCATCAGCGTCAGAAGAGGTGCTGGAGCTGATGGCGGGGTGGATTAAGGCGTGCCCTACGTTGACGGAGGTGAAGTGGAAAAATGAGAGATTGTTAAGCCGAAAGTCGACAAGGAAGGAGGATAAGTAGTTCTTTGTAACGGATCCGGAGCCGATAGAAGTCAATAGACAACAGCAGCGCAGGCGACGGATGCTCCATTATTGGTAGTTCGTGTATACTTAGTATTCGTTGATTATAATGTATCCCGCCTAATGTTAAATAAATTTTCATGGGACAAAGAGAATGAAGAATCCGAGAACAGCCTACCTGGGCGATAATAATCTCATGAGATCAAATCAAAACGTAGCAATCGTTGTGCAAATTTCCTCCATTTCCGTTCCAACATCCACCACCGTGATCATGCTTACAACAGAAGCTGTATGTCGTTCAGACTATGCAAAGTCTTCTAAGACACTGGCATCCTATTTGCGATGCTGTAACAGCAACACCTACCAATTTAGAGCGTATATCGCGTTCTTCATCAAAGGACGAGACCAAACGCAGTATATCCCAGGGTATGTAGAACTAATGGCTGCCATTAGCAGGAGGCCGTGATCCTTGGCGAGAAGATGATCGCGAAGAGGAACATGCGTCCGGCAACGGCCGAGCTGCTCGATTTGGTCGGTAAGGTCCCTCCTAAGGTATTCTGTCCATGTATTAGTCACCTATACTTTAGCTCGCCGAGGAGTGGGTTAAGTTCACCTCCCATGAAATGGATGCTCCAGAAAGTGGAACCCTTGGAGTAACATTGATACGAACAAACTACAGGATGCCATGGTGCGATACGCAGCGATAGTGCCCAATTTCTTGTACTGTGAACACGACAAAAACGGGATGGATAAATTTGATTCTTCTTTGTAGCTACTAAAATTGATTTCTGATTGAAAAAGTGTGTACATGAGTTACAGATGTAATCAACGCAGGGAGGAGGCGTCAACCCCTCAAAGCAACAAGTAATCAGGGCTTGATAGGTTGCAAGGTTGGTAGTTTCGCCATTTTGGCGGTCGACGCAAGGAAGATATTGTAACTACTTCCGTCACCCTACACCCTCCATCAGACCAAAATTCCAAAAAAGATGGTAAAACAAAACTCACAATCGCCGTCGTAGGGAAACCAGGGTCAAAAGGCACAATATCATCCAAATACTCAATCTGTTCCTTAGACAACGAGATGTCCAGCGCCTTCATGTTCGCCTTGAGATGTTCCACTTTTCGGCCTCCGATGATTGGGAAAACATAGGGTGCTTTCTGCATGACATACGCGATCGCGACTACACCAATGTTTGTCAGAAAGCATAAAATTGAAAGTAATTACGACTCACCGGCTGTGATGTTGTCCCCAACACCGATCTCTGTAGCTACCTTCTCCAGCGCCCTACACACCTTCACCTCCAGCTCTGTGCGCTCCTAATTCGGGCCAAACAGCATGCGTCCTTTCTCTCACGTCTCCCTTCGTCGCTGTTCATCCGCATCCGTGCGCATCTTCCCTTCGGCGAGTACACCCCGGGGAGAGATCGCCAAACCCAATGTTTTGGCCATGGGAACGATCTCGCGTTCCAACGAGCGGTCCAAAATGCTCCATCTACCTTGATCGACGACGAATGGGGTCTTTCCGTGATCAATGGCGTATTGGTTAGCTAGGGCGACGACCCACGAGGAAGTGTCAGAGATGCCGAGGTAGAGAACCTTCCGTGCAGTGACGAGATTATGAAGGCTGCCCATGACTTCCGGTATCGAAGTCCACCAATAAAGGTATAGAATGTCGATGTACGACGTACGGAGTTTCTTCAGATCGCTTCCACGCTAAGATGCATAGCCCTGGTGTTGTTCCCAACGTAGTTAACCTTTTGTGCGATCGCGTCGTTTCCCCGTTTGTAGTTTGTGGTGTACTGCGAAGGAGCCTCGTCAGTCCTTGCACACGGAGTAAATGAGACAAATTTACCTTCGTTACAATGATCAACTGATCCCGTATTCCTCTTTTCTCTGCCCATTCACCAATGAACTATTCGGATGACTCGTCCTGACTATAGGGCATGAGAATTAGAAAACGAGTTGTGTGAAAGGGCCAGTTGCTTACTATCCATTCGCAGTATCGATGAAATTTCCGCCCATATCATAGACTCTTTATGCATCGAACCCATACCATGCGGCCCCCATTTATCACCGATACTCATAGCACCAAGGGCCAAAGGAGATACTCTCACCCCTGCGCGAGAGGACAGGACACGATAGATGCCCAGCTTAGTAGGAGGATCGTTGGCAACTGGAAAGAGAGACATGAACGGCTGGTAGTGTCAGGGCACTCTGAGTAGACCTACAAGCGTATTATATACGAGAAACAAAGGGGCATCTGTAAATGAAGGTATCAGTCATCTATCGGTGGGAATCTATGAGTGCAAGGAAGCGAACCCAATTTGATAGAACCTGCAGCTAAACAACGCTCGGCCGCCGCCAGAGAAATAATTGATGGTGCAGAAGCACGTGTGGGCATTTCGGATAGGGCGCGCCGTGAGACAGCAAGCCATGAAAGCAATTGGAAAGGCCATGCCCCCAAATGTTGAAAGTTATTCCCACCCACTTGAACCGCTGGAAGAATTAAAACCGCAGCGTGCGAGTCGATGAACTTCGATAAAATGTTACTTGCATGATCTGAAATCATCTTCGATATTCGGTGCAGATGTTACGTGAACATAGCAAAGACAATGTCAGTTACAGCGCTATCACTTGTCTACAGATTACATGCTTTTGTAACTGATTGAAAGGACCAAGGAAAGGACTTGAAGCTGCTGCCTGAAGATGTGCCAAAAAGCTCGATTCCATACCACCGATTCGAACAGCGGTTTTCTGGAGAGGGAATCTCCCAATTTGTCGCAGCGCCGTATAATATTATCATGCCTAATGTCAAATTTCCATGAGACAAGACGAATGGAGGTCTAAAGGGCAACCTACCTGAGTGGCAATATTCCCACGAGATAAAGTCGGGTGCAACAATTGTTGTCTGGTTTGAACCTCCTCCATTTCTTCCCACCACCCACTACCATGAGAGTTCGCCCAACTGAAACTCTCAATCAGATATTCGGGCTTCTCGACAAACGCAGCGACGTCTTACATGTCATACAGTCATGCAAAGTCTTCCACGGCATAGGTATCACACAGTTATACCGACACATTCGCTATGACCGCTACCGCGAATTTATAGCCCATGACGCGTTCTTCCTGAATCGACGAGATATCATGCCTCGCATCCCACGGCTCGTAGAGATGAAAAAAGTCCCATATCCTGATCGAATAGCCAGGCATGATTTCAATAACGCGGAAGGGTGGTGCTCGCTTCCAGGTTGACATGTGGGCCAGAATTCTATCCTTCACTTCTCTCCACATGCTCGACTTCAGAAACTGTGGCCTCCCAGACGCGCAGTCCTTCAACTATCTCGTCCAGGACTGCCAGAGCCTCCGAAAACTAGTCATCAACCAGTGCACGCTTTACGAAGAGTCATTGAACTTGAGCGAAGGCTCTAGGATCTTCCAGTGGCTTCCTATAACCGACTGTTTCAATTCCAAGTTAGCGGGGAAACCAACAAGAGAACAAAGTTCTCCTACGTCAAAACCGGTCATCTACCCACTGACCCGCCCGCCTGTGCCAAGGCAGCACGAATTAACGCTATCAAGCATTACTCATTGACTCGTCGGGTACCAAAACGCTAGCAGTAGGTGTGAGCAAGATAGTTAGCTCTAACATTTTGAGCGCGCACCTTGAAAGTTGCCAATAGCACCGATTTCAAAACGATTCTCTTGCACAAAATTGAATATAGTGAGTCAAACCTGATCAAGGAAATGAATAGAGAGTCTAGCGCTAATATAAGGACTTACTATGGTTGTGAGTCGAATTCGAGGATAGGAGAACGGTCACTGCAGGTCACACAAGGTGTCACGTTGGTCACAATGTCAACCACCATCTCTTCGGCTGTCCCATCATCCGTGTCGCAGACTCGCAATCAATGAATGACCACCAGTTGTTTGGTACTGTTAGGCATCGCGGCAATTAATTTTTCTTGGTTTTCCTGATTATTCCCTCGGGCATTGTGGAGATCACGAAGTTCGCTCGGAAACATGAAAACTGAATATAACGCGCCTTCAATTTGCCTTCGGATCATTGCGTGCCTTTTTAGCACCTATGACGAGAATATTCATCTCATTTACCTTGTGCTTTGTAGCTCTTGTTGCGTATGGGTATTCGATCAGCTCTAGGTGGTAGCGGCAACAATACCAAGTCAGGTGTCCTAGTATTGGGCTTTAGAAACGGCTGGCTCCGAAATCGGTGCATTTGGTATCACGGCAATGCAGTCGTGCAGTCGTTTGCTTTCGCTTACGACTATTTTGTATAGTCGCTCGGTACTGTTAACGTGATGCCGAGTACGTGACAGAAGATACCGGTCAGTTCGTTTCTGAAATGTGGGCATTATGCTTATTAGCGTCCAATGTAAGAAGGTTTTGACCCTAATCCCCGTCATCCAGCTGGACGGCGGTCACCATGGCGTACGCCCGTTAAAGATTGTCCTCGCGTTCGGGTTCGCTGCTTGTTCCGCCGGCTTCAAGACCATGCTATCTACAAATAACATGCAAACGGTCGTCCTATACAGACTACGGAATATATGGCCGGTACGCTAGGCAGGTAAGCCGGAAAAACTTGGAGACACTGTGATGATTCGACTTATTATTATTGAATTCTAAGGAATCAATTATTGGTAAGGGACATGAACCGACACATACGCCATTTCTTGATACGTGACATTCACCCGTAGGATACGGACTACAGCGCTATGATACCATCCTAAATTGGTGGGATTAATGGCCTTCTCGTCACTGCAAATCATGTGCTCGAATGCTCTTTCTGGGTTGACTCCTTCAGGAATCGTGATCAATACATATGTCTCATGGCGGAAACAGCATGTTTTCTCAGTCCTCGACCCTAGGTCACCTAGAATACTGACTTGGAGGAAGGCTTTTCGTAGCGACTCTCGCTTATTTTATCCTACTGGTAAGTCACTTCCATCACTAGGCCAATCCGACTTTTCATTCTCATCGTTACTCTCATTCCTCTTCACAAGTCTGATGTACTCTGACACAGAAACGTTGCACGGAAAAACAACAAATATCTGTATGCCTAGTACACGACAAAGCAAAATTTCAACCTGGACTTCCCACTTCCGACAATATGTTCACACGAACTCGTGATCGGCTTCAACGCGAGTCCTCGACTGTCCTCGAGCAAAAGTCCCAATAACGAAGGGCGAATACAAGCACTCATGACTAATATTCTATTCTTTACTATCTTTGTGCAGACGTCTGTCTTCCCTTACTCGCAGAAGCCATTTGAGATGCTTTCGGAGGACATCTCAACAAAAAGATATCATGCAGGCCTGCAGCAACGAAGTCGAAGCCGCATGCAAAGCAACTGAATGTGTATCATAGAATACCATATCTCGTCTAGAAGCGCATTACCATCGGTCGGTATGTTCACGGCATCATCGGAGCTGACGCTGATTGAGATAATGTCTTCGTTGCCGAAGCTGGTAGGTCTGTACACTTCATGGCTGTTGTTATTCCACACATCGATGCGATCGTAGTCCCATAGCAAACCCGATCCACTATCGTCAACCTACTTCGAGGAACCAAAACGGTGTGCTTGAACTCCAGGACTTTGGCGCGGAAATTAGTCTGACCCTGTCGATCATCGTGAAGAGGAAGGCGCCGAACGGTTGCCGGTAATCGAACAAGATTACCCCGCAATAACATCGTCGACGTCAAAGTGAGTCAAGAGAAGGAAAATATTCATTGATCGTGGTCATCTTTTTTCACTGTCATACATAGACGTAAGATTAAATACTCACAGAAGCCGGCATTGCCATTTTTGAATTTGCATTGTATCCAGAGAAGACGAGCGTTGCCGTATGAGCTGTCCAGATAACGCCAGACACGCCGATGCCAACGCTCGAGAATCATGCGGACTTCTACACATGTAGGAAAGGAAACACAGTCAGATTCACCCTACCACCTCACAAGATTCTCAGTTGACAAGCATTGATTTTTTCTTCAAGGAAAGAATTTTGACAGGACCGAGGAGACCGTGCTTCAAGTTGCTACGCTTGATTACTTTCCTGAGATCCATCTTCCTTGACTGTGAATCAAATACCATACGGCAGATCCGCGAAGCACCGAGACGGATTATTGAAGCGACAGCAATGGTTGTACTTGGCATATAGGTCGCAGCAGTAAGTGTACTTGGAGAAATCATCTTCAACCTTAAAGGTTGGGGTGCGACGTTTAGCATGCTGTGAGGAAGAAAGCAAGGTACTTGAATTTTGTCGAAGACATCGTATTCCTTGAAGCCGACAAGAGCGACAGATTGTTGGAAGGTATAAAGCGCGTCAATGGTTGTGATGGCCGAAGAAGAAAAAAACTGAATATTCCCACAAAATTAATAACACAGTTTAACTGTTTCAAAATTCACGGTCACCTTCTGGTGATAGAATCATCCCTGCCGTCGATGGCCATTATGAGCTTTTAACAGACAACAAAAGTATCGGCAAATTGAAGTACAATATGTATAATGTTCCTGTTTATGACTCCTTACGACCATGCGGAAAGTTGCGGCCCTGAAAAGTCCTCTTAATGGTTGGCATAGCCAGAATGTCCGGGTCATCTTTCTACCCAGCATTGCACCGTATACATCGGGCCATGACGGTATTCCCTGCGGGACTCCGTACTAGTGCATGCAACTCTAACTAGACCTACGTGCTGAATTCGTTTGAGTGAAGACACACTCCGAAATCTCCACAGCGGAAAACGATTCATCTTTCCTTCGATCATAGAGCTCGAACAAGATTCTTCAGTAGTATGAATAGCAAAGACATTTATCTACAAGTTTCCCATGCTTCGATCCATGAATTCTTCTTTCAGTATATATACTGATTAAAATTGCGCACTTTAATTACTTAGTTTCTGACCAAAGCAATTTACTGACTAGCACCACAGGACACCAGTTCCTGTTTTGATGCCCGTGCCCGTCTTTGGTTCGCCGCTAGTCTTGTAACCTCTCGCTTATCAATTGTTTGACGATCACAGGATAAATTCAGTGATGCACAACGCTTGTCGCCATCATCATGCTTTTCACTTGACAGGATCTCGTCTTTCCGCGTGGATACGTCACATTCACAGCGTGCAGCCAATGGCATATGGCTCATTGGTAAGGCGTAAAATGCTCATCCAAAAGCAGACGCGCTCTCGACTCTTGAGGCGTGATGGACCAGGGGCTTTCTGATAACATTCAATGATCGGTCTGCGCAGCGGGAATTTTCGTCCCCCAGGTTTGAAGCGTCCGTCTTTACCGCCGAATTCTCGGTCTTAGATTGCCTTGTTCGATGGCATGACCATAATCCTGGGTAGCCTTCTCCCTAATGTTTCTAGAAGCATTGGAGTCGAACTCTAAAAATGTATGTCAGCGTTTGATGCCATGGAGATGGACCTGCATTTATTCTAAGTCATTTTCACACGTTAACTTCAGCTGGTCTTCGGCCTTCGTGAGTGAGGTCATTAGGGATTGAATTGAGGTGTTTCACTTTCCAGCATTGGCAGCCCGCATTATGTTCAACCTTAGGATTGTACCCGAGAAATGGTATAAATGGTCTGTCCGGAGCTGAGCGGACCGTCGACTCGGGGCATGAGAGGCAGCGCGGTTAGCTCGTCATGGTCACTGCTCATGACTTCAAGCGTCAGGGTATGCAGGATAATATCGGGACTGATGAGATAGCTGGCTCTAAGCGGTAGTAGTCTCGTCGCAATATTCTGTGTTTCGAAGACATTTTGAGTAGTGTGCGACTCTGGACCTACTAATAATAGAGGCTCATGAACAACTTGTCGACCCTTTGAGTCCACTGTATGGCTTGACGTTATTTCAGGTTCCCGTTCACCTCGTTTGTGAAGTCTGTCTCGACAATGCTCAAAATTCAATCGTGATGTGGGACATATGCATAAACCCTGACCGATTCGGATTTCGGCACAGCCTTTCCCATTCTTGAAGAACGGTGTTTCTCGCTTGGTTTCCTACAACAATATTCCCCATCTTCTCTTGTACCTCCTACAACACCGCCGGTAGTGCTAGAATGCCTGTAAGTCGACATGATATCACGATACTGTGAAAAGCTAAACAGTCCACGTCGGTTGACTGCAGAAAAGCAAACGAGACGACCGACCCCATGTCTGCGTGGAGTGCCTTCAGACATTTAGACGGAATCACGACCTCGAGCGGCATTGGCTAGCGAAGCATGCGTCAGAAGAAGAAAAGGCATCGAGGCAAGTAGAATACCATCACCCAACCCGGTGGCTGCTGAGCCATAGTCGAGCAGATCTTGGTATTGCCTGTGCGGGCTCAGCGGCATACAGTGGACCAACATTGCTTCGCACATTCGTACCCAGTGGGTTCTCTTCGACAGTTATTCATAGACGTTGACTGATTGTCGTGTCTCCAGCACTGGCGAGAAGATCCGTTGTAAGGAATGCTCCTTCGAGGCAACGAGCAACGCAAATATGACGCGACATCGACAGGGAAAACTCCCCGACTACCCCTGCTCGTCTCGCAAGAAAACAAAGGCCAAAAATTCCCGACCTGCATCTCCTAGCCCCACCGACGACGACACTGCCAGTTCTTCCAGCTTCTCTGGCATTGTACCCTTGACTGCAGAAGAGTACGCCCAATTCTTATCCCTGATCCGCAGCGCTCGGGAAGAAGTTCCTCTGGCTCCTTCAAGTCAACCTACCTCGCCTGGCCTTGGTAACCCTTACCCAGTCGTCCCTCGCTTACCCACGCCTTCGCCCCCTCCTGAAGCATTCCTCCCGATTCCAGAGGAGTACCGCCTACCCCCGCTGATAAACGTCAACCACTATGACCTTGTCGCAGCCAGCGCGCCTAGCACGTCGCACTCCCGCCGCTGCGCGCCCCAGTGAGGCAGGTCACCAAGGGGAACCGTATCTCGATTTGATATCGTAGCTTTCTCCAAGTTCTTTTTTACTTCTTGCTGTGCTTTCTGTTCGCCATATCGTCTGTTGTCTTCGTTTGTTCTCTGCTTGAATTATTTGTGATTATTGGTAATTGCGCAGTGTTTATTGAATGCATTTGCTGAATGTCTGGTCCCTCTAGTCTGTCTATCCGCCGGCTGCAATAGAAAAGATTTTAGGGAGTGAAATTCAGACCGCTCCATAAGGGAATGTTTGAATATTGGAGGAGTGAAATTTTGCGCTCGGCGGAGATGCGAAGATCAGAGCATCTTGATTATCAGTGACAGTCACGGGCACGGAAACGGATGTACTCTTTGGAGGACAGATATTGCTCGCCGTGCATTTATTTCCTGCCTTCCAAGACGCCGCAACGCCACAAGCTCCCGAGGTGCGAACGCGCCTTGTTGGTAGAAGCTTTGGCGACGACAATGTTGTGACATCCACCAGCTTCATCCATTGGAGGTAGAAACAAACTGCTGTGCAATCTCCTTCCCGTTCGGATCCTCTTTCCAGACGAATAGATCGCCATGGAGTCGGTTCTTCTGCAACAATTCAACATTAGGACGAGGCGCTTCTGATGCAACATATCCTGCATAATACACTTGGTTCGCAGCACGTAACGAAGGTCTTGCCAACGAGCCCCTCCAATCCCGCGAAGCAGTTCTAGGGTCCATCTTAAGGGTCCAAGGACGTGATTTCGGAGTTGGGGATGTTCTTAACGATCATCTTCGCCAGAGACCATATGGGCTATGTGTCGAGCGTCCATGAGGGACCAGTCACGCTGAGAGTCATCCTCATGGGCACCCAAGGGATATGATGCGGCAAAACGCAGGCAAGGGGTGTTGATCGAGATGCTACAGTTCGACTAAAGGTTGACAATGTGAAGATGTCCACTACGCCGCTGGAAGGAACTCGAAAACATCTACTCAGGGCTTCGCGGGGTCAAAAAGGACTTGATTCTCGGGGGAAAGCTCTGCATGTGAACGCCGTCAAGAATGGTCCAGAATCGGCTCAGACTAATGGAACTTACGAAGTATAAACCAATGTAACGGCCGACGAAGATGTCGCGCTTTTCGAGCTCCGACGACAAGCGTCGGCAAAACGCCATCAATGTGTCGGCGCACCTGGAATGGTGCGCGCCGCTTGAGTTCCGACGTCAAATAACTCAACAATAATCGAATATAGACTGCTTGACGTACGAGTGAAGAACAACCTCATTCAACGTTTTAGTCCAATCCAAGGTAGGCTTGCACCACTAGCGGTTGATTCGCCACTGAGACCAAGTACGCTTTGTCCATTTAGCACGGGTCCAGAGATCGCGTAAGTCACTACCGGAAAAGAAGTCAAACTGCGACCCAAACGCCCATCTCTTTCCAATCCCTGAGATTGAAGAAAGAAGTACAAAATCTGTTTAGATATACGATGCTAAAGTAAGGTGTCAGTAGGTAGTTGGAACAAAAACGGCACAGACCACTACCCATGCCATGGCTATCATACCTCCATCGTAGTGTGTGACGAAATCTGGATCTGAATCATTCAAGATGAAATCATTCAACCTGTCGAGATGATGGCCCGGACGCGTTGATGGTGCTTTGCTACTTCCAGGTGTTAACGCACCGGTGAGCGATGAAGGACTGATTCAGACGTCGTTTAGAGCTTGATAGAGATAAGTCGGGAAATATATCGCCATTATTGCGATCATTGGCCGCCACGTAATCAGTCAAGGGATTGAAGATGGTTCGCTAAAGCCTTGACCCAGAAGCTTAAATCGAAATGCAACCGAGGAACTAATAGGTACCGTATACACGTGAAGTTGGTTCCGTATCGTCGCTATAAAATCGACTGCATAGTAATATTTGCTGAACAGGATGGGCGGAATCGACCATGATATTTGGGCCCTTGATACGAAGGGAAAGAAACAGCTCAAAGGACGGGAGAGTAAACTACAAAGGTACTCACGCACTGGTTGGTGTTTTTTATTCGGAACGTGATCCGAGTTTTCATCAACGGGAGCAGTGCTATCGATCCCGCGAACCTTGGACCTCAAACTGTCTGCAGCGTTTGGGTTGCAGCTCAAGTATTATGATGGAGCTTGACAACAATGTAAGAGGTTCTAACATACATATGAAGTTAGATAATACTTATCCTGTCGAAGAACAGCCATTTTTTAAATGACGAAGAGGGCAATGCCAGTGAATGCATACCTTATTCATCCTCAAGCTACTATCCGAAAAACCCCCAAGGGCCTGAGTTTGGCGCAGGTGTCCTTGTGGATTCCCCAAAAATTCAAATAGAAGATTGTCTAGAGGGCAGAAGGTAAACGCAGGGAAACCGGTAGGAATATATTGTGCTGACCATTTTCCGTGTCTCTCCGAAACATAAGGATATCTCTAAGTTTCCTTGTGCTTTAACAAATCCATAGTTACCTTCCTGAATGGCACTTGTCATTGCCCATCACCAGAATGGACAAACATCTATGTCGTATACAAGTCATCATCGCCGTGGGAGTCTGAGGAAGAGGGTGTGATTTCCATTTTGGGCCACTCGCCCTTCCTTCCTTTTCGACCGCTATGGCCACCATTTCGACGACTCTTCTCGATAGTAGCAGCAACGGAGAAGAACCACGTGAGAATTTTTTTGCTACTGTTTTATTGTAACACCAAAATATCCCACTTCAGGCAGGATACTCGGGAGCCATGACTTTTACTGTCGTCTTCGAAAATATGTTCAGCGATGATATACGGTGGCACTCCGAGGGTTCGGAAGGCAAAAGGTAGTCGATTTTGAACCCAAGGCTTTACAATATGATTGGACGAGGTCGTCATTCCGAGCGGAAGATATCTCGTCAGCATCGCTTCGTTGAATGATATCTCGTACGACGGACATTTGGCGGGAGAAAGGGAAAAATCTTTATGGCGGTGAATATGCCCCTTCACGGTTCGTGTTGTAGGCCTATTTCTTTGCATTTTCTGATGTAGCGGGCAGATAACGCTGCGTTCTTATTTTTCGAGTAGATCCTTGCATATTACGCATAGAGCAAGTGGCCGTTCGGCTTTTCTTTCCTTTGGTATTATCACCCGTCCACCGTAAACAGATGATCCACAGGATTTGGCCTCATCACTAATCAAGAAAGCGGCTGTAGCAGAAAAAAAGAGCAACGTAATTGGATGATGAGTACACGGCAAGTGAATGGTTTCTGTATCTTCTCTTCGTTGACCTCAAACCTGTCAACCAGCCAGTAAAAGTCCGAAAGCTACAACGTTGAGCGCTAAGCAGCCAAACATGACATCCGAGCCCGATTCTTTGAGTTATAAAAGCCCTCTCTACATGAAATAAACCCATCACGTGCTACAGGCGAGCCCTAGAGTATGATGGGCTTTGATACGCCCATACTTGGGATAGCGGCTCATATCTATGTAGGCAAGGTATTCCTCTGTTGCTTTTCGACTGGCTATGCCGATTGAGCGAAGTTTAGAATAGAATTCTTTTTGGAATAATGACCACAGCGTCAAGCACTTCATCCATAATCGGCTTCTGGGGGTCGATCTAAGCTACCAAGGTAGGTCTCTGGACAGGTTTTGCGCAAGCTGTTGTGATACATTTTATTGTCACGCCAGGCTTCCGCTTTAAATCTATTCCATGACGTGCAACGGATCGCGGCGCTGAAATGGTAGGCATCCATTGGGCCAGCTAGATCTGGATCTCTTTCTGATCTGGGAATTCGTAAGTACTTTGGTAATGACCTGCTTCCAGCATTCGAACCGTTTTCACAAGGCTTTTCTCAATACTACGTGGCCCTTGCTTCAGAATCCTTTCTCTGTGGCTCTATGGTTTCAAGCATGTACAACACCTATTATGGTTGGAAGTGAACCTTTGGTGGCGTTGACATACGTGAAGGCTATGAGCTTTTGGCTAATATTTCAAATTGGCTATCATTTAATTCAAAGCGTTCGCAGGATGCCGTGAGCCCTTGATGTCTTTTAATTTCCGACTCAAAACGGGAGGTAATCAAACTTGGCATCTTTATAATCAGGGCGTTCAATACCTTTTTTGGAACGGCAGAACGCGGATGCAAGTCCACAACTCATTGGCATAGGACACCGGGGGTGAACGACCGCTATAAATTTTCAAGGCAATATCTGACCACGATCATTCTTCTGTTCACCCAGCGACTGGACATTCTCCACGTCGAACCGACCCTGCTCCACTTGTTAATAATCCGCCAATCCCCCGTTTCACCGGAGGAAGTCGTACTGTGGCGATTTGGACAGATATGTGATGGTGGCGACATTCTAGACGCAATGAATGGATACGTATCCGATGTCCGACGTCCCGGTTCTTGTCGCGATTGAGTTGCTCAGGGCTGTCGTCGATCCGTGCCTGCAGCGAGGCGCACCGTGAGACGGCGAGTTCTTTTCTCGACTGTGGACGAATTCACCGAGCCATAAGGATATCCGGCCGCGAGAAAAAGGCCAGTAGCGAATATTGAACGTAACATTACTGAACCTTGACCAATTCAAGCTCCGACGAGTTACGGTACTAAATTGAAGGAAGAGGGAATGTCCGTATTGCGGACCGAACTTTTTTTGAATCTCAAACGCAATTAAACAGATCGTCAGGGTCCAGGGATGGGACGTCCCGGGGCGCGGAGGGAACACACCTAAGCACGCTATAGGTCCAAATAGGGCCAGAGCTGGCACCAAGATTCGAGACGAAACAGGTTACTGACGTTTAAAGACGGCCCAGACATTTTCAACCCATGGTAGGTGATTCAAGTTTGTCAAAGAGAACATGTATGCTAACCATTGAATTGAGCTGCCAAGGCTGCATTCATGACGTGAAAATCAATGTTAACAAATCACTTCCAGAGTCTACAAGGCAGGGCTAAGTGTCACCTTCGCTTCCATGGAAAACATGGGTTTCAAGAATACAAACACTCAACGCCTTTTTTCGGCAGTTTCTCTCGGCCCGGTTACGACAAGGTAGTGCCTACCTAAAATTGTTTGCTTCATCCGTCGGGTTTGTCCGAGTCTACAGTGCGGGGAGTCGGCTCCAATCTAGAGTTCATTCGTACGGGGACTTGAGACTCGTGATGATAAAAAAATCTGATACACGGAGCAACCAAATATGGGCGATAACCTAGATTCTTTCAATGTTCTGTCAGCCTACTCAATTGTTATTCAGTGCTAGTATATTTTCTACGCATTTAGCGTCATCTTTTCAACTCCGCGTTGAAGCGCCACCTTCAGCCACAGACGCGTTCAGGACACAGGGAACGTCAAAGACTTTTCGCTGAGTCTCGCCGCAACAACGAGGCCCTCAGCAGTGCTTGGCTTCTTTGATTCTGCCGCCTCTACGCCGAAAATTCGGTATCCCCAAACCAGTGTCTTTCACCTACTATCTTGTTCTCAAATCCCATCCACCCAGTTCGAACACCATCGATGAACTCAAGTGCATCCACTCCGCTAGGCCTATTTTCCTCTTCGCTATCCCAGAGTCCCAGTGAGAATTCTGTCTAATATTTGCTATCAGTGATATCTCGGAGGGAGCTGGAAGAAAGGAGAATAAGAGGGAGGGAAACTTGTCCTCCCACTTCGAAGAATTCCTGCTCATTCCTGGTACAGTCGCCTCCCTGCGTCGTTCATCTCTAGCTCATTGCACGTTTGTTGCGACCCGTCGTACCAAAGTAGATCATCGACAGAGCAACCACCCTCTCTCCTTATGACTGTCGTTTTCTTCTTTCCGTCATTTCTATCCCGCTCTTGTCATCGTATTATTTTGTCATTGGGTTTCATGTAAAACGTCTGGTTTGATATCTAGAGGTATATGAATCCTTCCTTCGTCTACTAATCGATCAAGGGTATCTAGAATTTCGTTCGAGACGAATACTTGGCCTTGAAAAATATTGACTCATCTAGCTCAATGAATACGTTTTAATTTACAAAACCGAGATGATGAGTGTCTCGACGAACTAATTCTTCGGGCGGTCGGCATAGAAGGATTGTCGGCCGCCCTGAATATATTCTCCCTTCAATCTTTAAGCCAAAGAACAGCGCGTACAACCTGGGTGTTGATTGGTTGGTACTTCTGCGACGACTAAAGACATTTGAATGCGAGTTTTATGAACAAAGAGACCACTATTAGCTTTTTAATGTAGATACAAACCACTCTGCGAACCGATATTTCCTTGAATCCTTCGTCCAGACGAGTACAATGGCCTAGCTAGTCAGCCGGCCCTATTGCTTAAAGAATTCAGCATTTCCGCGAACAGGGACGATATACTTTTATGCAACGTCTTGATATCTTGAACTATGCACTCCAGCTCGCCACATGTAACGATGATCCTTTCAACGACCCCTTCAAGTCCTGCGAATCAAATCTCTGGACCCTTTGGAGTGTCAAAAAACGCATCTCGGAATTAGAGATGTCCTTGACAGTGGTTTCAGCGACGAGACGACCACTCTTGGCGTAAACCGTGCCGCATTTGCGTCGAACCTCCATGAGAGCCCAGTAACATCCAGAACTATCCTTTATGGACACCCGACGGGATATGAGGCATAGCCCACGAAGGCGCATCTCGGGTTGGGGGACGGGGGGCAGTTTGACTAAGGGGTGATCATGTAGGATGTGCAATAGCAATGACAAGGTGAGGTTGCTATCCGAGGAGTTTCCGGGTAAGGCGGCGCCCTCATGGCGCGTGCCGGCCATCAGAAGGAACTCGACACTGTATCTGGCTCACCAAGGCGAAATACCAATGGGTTCTTGGACGTAATTCCTACGTATAGACGGCTCCGGGAAAGGTTCAGAATCCATGCAGACAAATGGAAATGACGGCAAGCTGGAATCACAACCCTGATAGAAATGTTGCGCTTTTCAAGCTTCGAAAGTGTCGGTAGAACGCCATGGAAGGATCGGAACTTTGTATACACTACTTAATCCTAAACTCATCTGTCCGCGTTCAGAGAATCAAGAACCGAGATATGCACCGTTAAAGTGGAATCCAATTTCATCCAGACGTTTTGGTCCGGCCCACGACGGCTTTGTAACATCCAGATGCTCATCTAAATATCATCGATACCATTAACTTGCTAGATTTGTTGCATAGGCTCCGCCTTCTTCTGGATATCGAGGAGTGAGAATACCGGAGGAAAATAGAAGGAATAGAATACCGCCCAACTCCGACAGAAGATCAGGTTTTGAATGAACGACTCGGTATACACAACCTCACGCAGTGGCAAATACTCTGTAAAACAATGTTGATTAAACTTCTCGAAGGCATAACGACGATTTCAAGAGCAATTTTCCTCGTCGAGTAGATCTCGCAAAGTGGTTATTAGTATAACTGAAAACAGAACGAAGTAGGATGACCGGTTTCTCAGAATCGTCCTGCTTGCACATAATGGACAGGATTCCGACTGATTCCGATAGGGACCTATTGTCGGTAAATAAAGCGCAAAGGAAGGAAGAATTATTTCCATTTTTGGCAAAGCGTGGGACAGACAAATTTTGCTTCCAACGATGATGGTACAACGACACTGACCGTTGTGAAGCCTCTTTCTTCAGAGACAATGGAAATTCTCGTGAAGGTACTCAGGTGAGCTCGCTTCCGCATCTGTAGGGTAGTACCAATGCAGCTGATATTGATATGAAGGCTGTATTTTAGTGATACTTATTATCGCGGAATCACAACCAGAGAAGACTCGTCTTGAGAAAGCAAAAATATGGCGGTATCCTGGTCCCTTGTCAACTCCACGGCATCTGTCGCAGCACCATGATTTGTGGATGGTGTAAGACGTAGTATCAAGAGGAAGGCATAGACGATATCAGCGATGGCCCGCGAAGCTTCGACCCAGTGGGTGGATAGAGTCACGCTTTACCTATCGAAGAACATTGGAATGCGGTCCGAACTCCCTTCTATGTTCCAGTAATGATGAAGCCTGTCGAGGAGGTGAAGTTGATAGATCCGTTGAACGACAGCAGATGGCGGGTGAGCTACTCCTCCTTTTTGTCTCTATATGTGACCTACGTCTTGAATAGTAAACTTCAAATTTACGCTAACACAAGGAACAACGCTTAACCATATAGACGTCGAACGGGCCTTTCTCAAGTCAGCTTAGCGTCCGCCTTTGTCTTCCTATTGCACAATACCCACGTTAGTCGAGGGTTTCAGAATCTCTTCTCCTCACAACCACCTTCGTCTTTCTGTGAAATGAAAGAACATCCTTAACCGGTACGACCAAGCCTAGTTCATGGACAACCTCTACACAACTGCGTGACCCGTGGGATCATCATATTTTTGGCACCATGGTTCATCCGCGGGGTTCCAGGATCTACCGTCTCCCAGGACTGGCCTATTGTTGGTAACCATGTTCCGGCAATCACGCGCATGGCCCGGAGGCAAATTTAGATGCGTTTTGTGGGCAACAGATCGCGGTTCCGATGTCTATAGGTGCCTGTTGGTCCAAGATTCTGAGATTTAGATCTGGTCTTAATCATTCTGATCCGAGACATTCTGTAGGTACATGACTTCCCCTAATTGAACCCTTTTGATATCGCTACCAGAGAAATGTTAGGAAATGTTCAACGTTCAACGTTGAAAATTCCTCTCCCTGAATTGTTGTCTTGTCTGAGAGTTACAATGATTGACGGATCATAGTGCTAATACTACTAATAGTGCTGCTCTGACGTTAGGAGACAGGCGAGTCGTCGAGTACGGGGAAGTCGTAAGTCTTTTAATTCTTGACTATATCTCAATCTGAACTGGGTTTACAACTTCCCTAGCGAGCCAAGCAGTAAAATGGGCAGCACAACCCCTTATCCATTCAATGCACGTGAATATTCAGTAGTAAGTTCATGCAGTGTTATCGTGACTTGATCTGATTCACTGCGACTACTAGCAAACAAAGTGTCTAGTCCCATTTTTAGACAGAGGCGCAGAGATCATAGCTCGAGGTTGCTGATAACAGAGTCTCGTCGGCAACGTGTTAAGGATATGCCGTATTTCCTTCTGTTTCATGTTTTACTGTCGTGGAATTTTAAATCCTTCGCCGGCGACCGTTCCGTGACGCGTATCCGACTCACATAATATTTCAATCAGCTCGTTTTTGCCTGAGAGGACCGGGTGTCTTCCTCGGACACTCCCCTACTTGATAGCATCCAATAAATTCCTTATCCCGCGATACCTAGGACGTATGGCAGGTGTGCTGTATCCAAGGTCGGATATCTGATGGTGGCGAGACTCCAGACAGACGGAAGACATATCCGGTCGCCATTGCCCCGGTCCTTGGTAATTGTGATTGCTCGGTGGTACTGCCAATCCGTGCCTGTGGAGGCTTGTGGCAACGCAAACCCGTCGGGGATGGTAGTACCTCTCAGGGTTGTTGTAAGTAACTGCGGATAGTTGAGAGTGCCGTCAGTCCAGCGTTGGGTCAGATTATGCTCCTCAGTTCTATATGGGCGATGGCCGGTAAACGCCAGGAAAATGGGACTAGTGAGACGAATCGCGAAGTTCAAAGCTTACCCAGATGAGTCAGAGAATAAGGGGACGATGTAAACATGTTCCGTTTCTCCCGGAATCAGCCGTTAAGAGACCTTAAGGCAATTTAACAGATCGTCAGGGTCGGGGTATCTCAGACGCGTGGTCCCCCAGGATCGCGCCTAGGCACACGTTGTAAGGGTTTCACGACACTGGAGCCATGTACACCGCGGAGGCAAACTCTTGAACGGATGCCGGTTTAACTCTAAGCTAAACAGTGAGAAATATATTTAGCGCAGGATGTTTTTGAGCACAGAAGTTGTCCTCACGATAACAATTTGGACTCCAGTCGAAATTTTATTTCGCTCTTACCATTACTTAGTAAGAAAATGAGTACAGCTGATGTGGATATATGCGATTCACAGCCATGGGTGGTGAACAATCAGAGATACGACTTCACAAAATGGAGATCGCCAACATTTAAACCCAACAGGATGGCATCCGAGTTTCTTGATATGCCTATCATGAAATTCCAGGATATGGCGATGCAATCTGTAGACAATAGTACTAATGAGTTGACTCAATTCCATTCATTATGTTACATTTCGGATCCCGTCTTCCATTTACAAGTTCGATAGTAATTAAGAGAATGTCGAGGGCAAAGGGTTAGCACCCTTCAGTGCTAACAAATCAATAGTCGGGGTTAATTAATCTATTCATCTTATCGAAGGATCTTAGAGTCCAGTCACTGCACTAAATACCAATACACTCGTTCTTAATCCAGACTAAAAGTAGAATGAAATGCCAACCCGGGAGCACCTGAAGGCTGGAGCATCGAGGACTCGACCCGACGATACTAATTCCAGGGTAGGTAGATATAAGTGCAAGCATGAAGTGAGGATAAGTAGCAGAAACAAAACACAGTGATAGCACAGTAGCAATTCTGGAAAACGGGTGCAAGGACAGCGAGACAAAAGCAAGAGGTAGTAAAGGGAATTTAATTTTGTAACGTCAGAGGAAGAGAGAAGCCAAAAGAAAGGAAATCCGACATGACTCGACGATGTAGCAGGTGCGTAATAAGCTCGCGTTTGCGCGACGTTTCGACTTGATGTCAGCGTCTAGTGGGATTTCAGTCATGACTCTGACATCCAAGGAGGCTACCGATCGTTAAACGCAGGAACCAGTGGCAGCCTCAGATTCGGCAGCCCCTGTTGCATCGGATTGGACAGAACCTGAGTCGCTGCCTCCTCGTGCCGCAGCATTCTTGCGAGGGACACTTCCATCGTGCTGTTCCTCCAAATTGCGCTTTACCGTCCTCCCCACAATTGGGTAATCGAGGTTGGTCGGTCCTCCGGCCGAAGGTTCAAAGCCACCGTTAGGGTGAGGATAGTCCTGGGCTCCAAATCTCAACGAAGGTCAGTTGGCCTTCAGAAAACGGACCCCGAACGATCTTTGGCCAGACTTTCTTGGGGGCTCAGCGGGGGTAGTAGTGTGGCCACTCTGATGATGAGCAGGAAGGGATGAGTCTGCGGGACGGGCGAAACTTCGTGATACGGGATGACGTGAGCCGGCGCCGTAGCCACTCAAGGTGTCAGAGCTGCTACTATCAATAGAGCCCTTGTGATCCTGATAGGGCGAAGAGCGATGGTCTTGGCGAGCTGAACGGACTGGCCTAGCAGTGTCTGAAGGTTCAAAAGTCCCGTCGGATTCCTGATGGGGGCGGAATTGTCGCTGAGGGTCAATGGGCCTCAGGCGGCTGCTACTGAGTCCGTCCATGATGACTCGAGGAAGGTCAGAGGTAGAAAGGTTGGTCTGACGACTTGAGGGAGTATGGAAATGAGGTGGCTGTAAGTGGCTCATCTGGTGGGTGTTGGTAGATGTCGAAGGGAAGAGCATCGATGGGCGAGGTGGCAGACGTGAAAGGTGAACGGAAATATTCTTCGACGAGACTGCGTTATCAAAGGAGAAGGCGAGGCCATGGCCGTCAGATGCCAAAGCATTTGGGATATGGCTAGTTATAGAGGCGACAGGGTCCAGCTGAATTTTGCAGAGACTTGAGTGGTCTGCCGCAGTCGTGGAAGTCTTATCCTGTCGATGATGCTGAAGGTGATCGCGCCTTTGTTGGAACTATGCCGTAGAGTGAAGATGAAAGCTTTACAGCATGCTGGTGGCGAGAATATTGGAGGTCGGTCGCCTGAGCCCTACTGGTGAACGTAAATTTTTTTTCATGCAGCGGCTGCAAGGAGTGGCTTACTTCCAACAAGACCAAAGCAGCATCGTCTGCATATTTGAGTGCGTCGATATGAAAGAAGTCTACTTCCTGGTAAAAATAGCTTCAATGCCGCTCAAGAAATCACGGAATTAAGCACCCACGTAAGATTTTTCTGCTCGATTGAAATCTCGCGAGAGCTACTGGTAACCCCCAGGGTACGTTTATCCTGGTCCGGGAGGGAAGATTAGTCCAAGCGAGAGACGACCCGGAGGCGCCACAACTGAAAGAGTTGCGTTAAGAAAAGTACTCACGTCCATGGTGTGCCGTTTGCGACAATACTATCAGCAGAAGAGGCAGTGGAACTCAAACGAGGTGCTCGTTGGCGTAGATTGAAGATGAACGGGACCTTGATATAGGAAGGAGAGAGGTGACAAAGTTATAGTTCCGCCAGGGCTCAACGCGTGGACTGCATCACATTTGGACTTTGACAAACACCTGTCCGTCTTTAGCAAAGAAGACGCGGGAAGCAAGCTGCTGAAAATACAGCAAGTTTAGTAAGGAAACTCCTAGGAATTGCGATGACAATCGACAAGACTACCCCTCGCCTACATCATCGTGGTACTGCGAGGTGGCCTACGGTCGCATGCACTTAATAATGAACTGAGTTGAAGATCTTCGTCAAAAAAGAAATCACAAAAAGGAGAAAATAAAAATTTCCAGTGCCTTTAACACTCTCTGAAGGCCCTGAAAAAGGTAAATGCCTTTACAGACAGACACACCAGTATATAGCCGTCCCAGCAATGCTATAAAAAAGTCACATCATGTAGCCTGATTTCTGTCGGGAGCAAATTGTGCCTCGGAATATCGCACCGATAACGGAAAGACACAGAATATTCTAAACGAGAACGTTTGGATCGACACAGAAATGCCCATAGAGGTGATACTCAGACTGCTAGGACGGCTTCTGTGAAGTCTTACCCAGAATAAACCCGCGGCGGCAGATCGAACACTGACAAGCCATTTCCAGAACAATGCATCAGAATCAAATCCAATCCGTTGGTTACAGATTTGATAAGGAAAATACAAGTACCGCATGGCTGCCTTACCAGATATCTGCGGCAGGGAATATGTATCCTGGTTCGGGTTTAATTTTGGGAAACGAGCTGCTCAAAAATATTTTAACAGTAGTGCTGGTAAAAAGTGTACGTTCACTCACTGCTGCTACTCCGCGACGGCTTAATGCTGCCCAATATCAATCCAAGATCACGGATACGCCACTGATGTAAAATTATTTTGAAAATCAAAGCAGCTGGCTTCATACCCACGCGCAGCTCGGCATTGACTGGCGTTGACTTGTCTTGTAAAAAGGACGTTAAAAGTGTGGGTATACTTAGTGTCCTTTTTCTTAATTTAATTACCAGAGGAGAGCGCCCGATATTTCGGTTCTAACCGACGCCGCGGTTCCGGTCATTTGTTATTTTCAGTGCGAGAAGCAAGGGCCATCTCTGGGTTCCAAACCAACATCATTAGCTTGATCTCGATCACGCCCGAAGTTCTAACACCCTAATCACCTTCAATCATTTCCAAAGTTAACAAGTAACGTGCAGTGCTACTCGCATCGATATCAGCCCTGACCTTGGCACAGAAAGGCAGTGTTTCAGAACATAGATTGAGACTGAAAAAAGAAGCTTACCAAGGAAGATATAGTTTTTAAAATGTCCTGGGAAATAAATTGGTATTGATGGACAATAAGTGGAAAGAGTACGATAAGTTTGAATTACAGGCAGTCAGAACGAGGCTGGGCAAAGAATGAGTACAGAGTGACGGTGCGCGTGGCGGTGCCCTCCACTTTACCCTTCCGATCGAAAGCCAACAGCAAGGAAACCAAACAACACCTTCTCTGTTCCTGCCGTGATCCCGAAGTTCGCTATCGGCTCGTGATTAGCCCTGCAGAGTGTAACGGCACTCATTATTTCCACTGATCCTCAGGTTGATTTGACTTTATGGCTGTTAACACGCTTTTCACTTGACAGGGACCCGCGTGCATACGCCTTAATGGGGTTTTGTTTTCATCTACTGCGGTCGATGATGGCACATCGGTGGTCCTTAAGGCTTAGCTTGGCCATTCAAAGCAAGGTCATGATCTGCTCCATGCTGTGCTGAAATGTCTTAATATTTCTTTTATTTTAGTCTTGCACGCTCCTTGCAACTCGACATTTTGTTCAGTGGCTTGCCTACCCAGTGTTTGCAAGTCGTCTCCCGGATTCGAAGGCTACTTCCTCACCGCCGAAGTCTCGGCCCTAAACTTCCCTTATCGATTACATGAGCACGAACCTAGGCGCCATTTGATCTTGATCGCATCGTTTTTCTGGAAGCGGAGACGAACCCAAAGGTCATATATCAGCATTTGATGTGCCCCCAGCGAAGGGTGCACCTGAACTCATGTTTGAGTCATGGTGCAACGGGAAGCTGGTCACATCCTTTCACGAGAATACAAAGGACAAATTTGAGAGCGGTTTCAACTTTCTAGCATTGTTCGCTCGAATTGGCGGTTTGAATATTGCACCCGAGAAATCATACCGCACTTTTGCTCGTCAGGCTGTGCTACTGGTAGGAGCACTATCAATGCTCAGGCTTCATGCCTTTGTAGAAAGAAAAATGTCAAGCTGTACGATGGTGCAATGACCTTTAACATGATTTACTCTCATAAATGCCATCGACGTCCGTTTTATTTGATTTTATAGGTCTTGAAAATCGAGTACCTGGCGCTGTCGATCGAGGTTTGTGATCATCCTGAAGCATACAGAGCCCTGGTTCATGGTATGACATTATTTCAGTTTCTCCTTCACGTCAACAACTTGCATTTGCGCACTGACGGTCTCGATGACGCTCGTTCTTTTTTAATATCCAATTCTGATTTTGGACACGGACCTTGACAAATTCGAGTTCCGCCACAGCCATTCCCCTTCTTGAATAAAGGCTTCTTCGCCCTTGGCTCCCACAACAATTTCCTTTACTTTCCCCTCCTTCCCTATTCCTAGACGCTAATTGCTACTTCCATGCCCGTAAGTCCTTACTATGATTTCAGCGACGAGCTATGGAGCTGATATATGAGCTCTTTGCAGAAGGGCAAAAAGTATTATCCATGCGGCGAATGTTCCGATGTTCTTAGTAGAGAACACGATCTTGAGAGACACAGACTAGCAAAACACGCACCGGAGGAGGAAAAGATTCTGGCGTAAGTAAATATCACGAAATCTGGAATGTACTCACTGAGCCACAATTGACTAGGTACTACTATTGTCGGTGCGGTGCCCGTAGTATACAGAAGACCAATATCGTGGGCCATATTCGCAGTGCACAGTACGTCCTCTGCTGCTATCGGCATCTAAACTCACCCAACTAACCGTCAACCTACCTGCCTAGTACTGGAGAGACGGTTGATTGTGGACTTTGTGAATATAAGTCTTTCAGCGACGCGAGCTTGACGCGCCACCGAAAAGACGAAGGCCACTATCTCGAACGGCGCCGCAGGAAACCAAAAGCCAAGACACCCATTGCTTCGTCTTCATCTTCCCCCGCCCCAGAGATTCACAGTGTTGCCGATTTCGTTAAGCTCTACGGCGATGTACCTCTCACTTACACCGAATACAGCTTGTACGAGTCATTGGTGTCTAAGGCCAAGAAACAGGCGCCCCCCACGCCTCCATGCACTCCAAGCACGTCTACACCAGCCAGCCTTCCAGCCGCACCTGCGTCAGCAACGTCTACCCCGGCGACGCCTGTCTTATCCCCCCTTGTCTCGGCTGCGCTTGTCCCAGAAGTACTTAGTCCACCCGTGGATCGCGCTGCAACGCCTACTCCTTCTCCCGAATGCTTCCTCAGCGTCCCAGAGGCATGGCGCCTACCTCCCATCGATGTTAATCGCCGTGATTGCTACCCCGCATGCCCCCTCACAGCCCCCGTATTGCAGCCGAGGCTCTCTCCTTACCCATCACGCTATCATCGCTATGGGCCGTACTGAGGGATGTCGTCAACGAATTGGATCATTTTCCAGAAAGAAAATGTTTGCTCTCTTTTACCATTTTTTCCCTTTCCTTTTTGATTGCTATACATCTCACTCTCGCTCTCGTGCTGCTGTCCCAAGTTTTTGTTTCAACTCGTTATTTTATCTGTTTCCCGCGCTTTTTTCTGTATTGCTCTCGATATGCTACCTTCAAAAGGTTTATGAAATGTAATCAAGTACTACCCAGCGTGTTTTGGATGTTACGTTCCTCGTGTATCCCTTAGCTAGTCGTTATCTGAATTGATTTTCCCCAGTCATAGGTCTAGCATCTCACAGCGTTGACATGCCTTTAATGATGAGTAAAGGAGCTAGAATCCGCCCACGACAAATACGTAGATCAGATGGGTACTTCACACTGTCAATGATGAACCTGAGAAATGGACCTATGGCGAGGGAGCACTTTCAAACCCAGCATAGCGGGGAAGATGATGAGACCAGAGGAGAAACAGAATGACGCTGGCCATCTTAGCATAGAAAATGAATAACGAGGTGTATAGTTGACCAAGGTAGCTTCTGTAACGGCTGCTCGAGCGGAATACCGGTAGATATACATGAAAGCGAAGAGATAGGACCAATGATTCCGTTACTGGACGTGTAGAGCAAGATAGTTTCTAGAGAGAAAGTCTTTGACAGCGAACGGTTGCCAACTTTGAGTATTTAACCCAGGTAACTTTTTCAGAGTGCATAAATGTGGTCCGAGAATCTGTCAACGATTTGAAGACTCAGACCCATTTATCTCTCGCGCGCTCCAGTCTTCCATGCGCCACCATTAATGATTAATGTTTTGTCGGCTTGAAGTGCCCGAGATGTTACCGAGGTCTAAGGGATGCTCGCGTGGCAGTGGCATGTCCATATCAGGACAGATTGGGATAGCTACTCTTCTTTGTGCTTCTACTGCCACGATGCTGCCTCGACGGTCGAGCGCGACGCGTGTTCCTTCGACAGAGAGCTCGATGTTTCCGTCATCGACTTTGTGAAGCGAGACGGGTCTAGTCTCGTGACTGCCATCACTTTCCTTTTCCGTTTCGTTGATTGATCTCGACTTCAACCTTCACTACGTCACTGTTCTCTATCCTTCGTCTCCATTCCTCTAATACTCCGCAGACTATCATTGCTTTCCTTAATAGAACAAGGTTCAATAGTAGGATATCCTTGGGTTCGCTAGACAGAGGTAAGGCTTCGCTGTGAAGCTATTACTTGATTTCTCATTTTTCGCCACTTAGCACACTTCTGTACTTCCTGTAAGTTGGCCCTAGTACTTAGTTTTAGCTTTTACTTACAGTTTTCCCCTTAATTTATATAGCCAGAGCAAGCTCGCATTTCGTCGGTTTTCATGCAATGGCAAGACAGGTATGCGCCCTATCTTTCTCTCACAAACCAAGCTTAAAAAGTAACCAGTTTCCAAACCAGCGATTTGTAAACGAACCGTTCGCTATTGAGCTTGCCGACCTCGATTTCTTTTTCCTCTCAGTATACGCCTGCCATCTGGAGACACGTTGAAAAGACTTTTCTTTGAAGAATTTACCGCAGTCCGGTTGCATATCTACTTCAAATTCGTGAAGAATCGTGTCCAACAGTGAGAAGTTTTATTCCATGCTCGTGCCTGTTCCAAAGAAAAACAAAGTTTCAGCGCAAACCCTCGACAATGACAGGATCAATCACTCTGTATCAAGGTTAATGACGTCGATCTCTAGGCATATCGTGTATCGCCTTGAATGCGATACTGTATTTATCCAGAGCACTCTTTGAAGCCTCGAGGACCATTGCACGGACGTCGTTCAACGGAGCGGCAATAGAACGTCAGGTAGCTCAAGTAGTTATGGTATGGTGGTTGCATCCAGAGTTGATTGCATATGTAACAGGGCAGCAAAGGTCTGACAAAGCTTCTCATGGTGTCAAGGAGTCGGCGGGAAGTATCCGACTCGATCAATGATGCAGCCAGTGAGTATTGCTCGTTTATCTACAACTGCCTCCTATTCAGTTCTGTAGCCAGGTCGTGCGGTTCTATTGGAGAAATTGAACTGAACGTGGGGTTATTAAACGAAACTTTCAAAACAAGAAACGCACGTTCGGCTTCACTGATCCATCATTGTCTATATTTTTCGTCATCCCCTTGCTCCTTTTGTCCTGGCGCCAAAGCTTTCCCTCTTGTTATTAGCTATCAACAGATCCGCCAATGTTCGAAGTGGGTTTTTTGGAACCGGGATCGCTGGACGCCGTTCAATCCACGGTTGTTCATTGGGTGGATTGGGCTCAGGGGTGGACATGCGAAGGTTAGATGTAGGTGCTTGGGCTGTCGTTACGACAATCATTGTGTCTTGGTCAGTAGCCGTGGGCATGCTCGTGGAGGTTTGTGATTACTTTTTCCCAGGCACGGTTTGCTGACTCTTGTTTATCAAGGAGCCGGCAATCGGGTGCTTGGACCGTCAGGACGCAATTTTTAGACTTCTGCCTGGGCAACATTTAGTGTTCATGGATCGCGGCTCCGAAGACGTTGGAACTGTAGGTGGTTGTTGGTCCAAGGTTCAGATCTGCTCTTGATCTAGGACCCTTGGTAATCGTCAACTGCCCTCTCATCTGAACTGTTTTGTTTGGGTCAAGCCACGCATCATTTTCTCTTTATGGCGATGGTCATTTCATACCGCTTAAGGATTACAGCAGACAGCGATGATTCATGGAAAGGAACCGTTTCCCCCGGACCCGTGGATCAACTTCTGATATGAATTTATTTCCTTCTCACGTACTCGGGCATGCGGTCGTGATGTTCAAAGCGGAACACCGTTTTTTATGAAGGTGCAAAACCAATTATATCGATGCATTTTGTAAGTTTTTCATTGTAGTACTGTCCTTGAAGCCGAAATAACAAATTTTTAAGAGGGACCTCGTGACATTATCATTAGTGATCGCAGGGTTCCTCCTTCGACTAGCTTGTCAACGCTGCGTGTATATGAACCTTATCTCCAAAAGATTGCTCCCGTATTGAGGAGGCATTTACTGTCCCACTTGACCATCGGCACGCGAAGCAGCCGGCTGTAAACATCAAAAAACCCTCAACAGACTCCATCCAATACGACATGGCCATCATCTCGGCATCATCGTCATTACGCTGTGCGGATGATGAGGTCCGACATCGAACAATCAAATATGCCCTCATCTCTTTCTTTTCTACCACCATGATAACGAAGATTCCCAAGACAGTGGTGGCGGCCTTGTTGCGTGAGTGGTCATGACTGCCATCTTGTTCCCTCTACTAATACATTGTTTGACAGCGCTTTACGTCTTAAAGCGACTGTGTGCTTCATTCTTCAATGCCGAACGCTCGCGGGAGTGGAAGAGAGTGTGCTTTGGTGCGGCAGTTCGATATCTGGTTAACCATGAGTTCAAGACTCCGTCCTCTATCGACGCGTATTTGGCATGGACAAAATCAGCTAACCTGGTCCCAGTGGTCGACGAACTCCCGGATGGTGCTAACTTGTTGTGGATTGGACCCAAGCGCTTGGATAAGGTTTTGTTCTATTGCCATGGTGTGTTTCTTGGACATTTATCGCCGCGAAATGTCGTTGACTTTGGATTTTAGGTGGAGCGTACAAAGTCAGCTGCAGCGATACCCATATGGCTTTTTGCCGGCACCTGCAACTAGAGCTCGAAAAGCGCGACATATCTATCGGGGTTGTGATTCTGGCTTATAGTCAGTTCCGTTCGTCTCAATGGATTCTGGATCATTCCTGACGGCGTTCATGTGTAGAGCTACTGCCTGAGCATCCATTTCCTATCCCACTTCGGGAAGCCAGAGACGCACTCGAGTTCCTTCTGGCGGCCGGTGTACGCCCCGAGAATATCGTTTTATCCGGAGATTCTGCTGGAGGCAATCTCACGCTGTCACTGCTCTCACACATTCTTCATCGCCACCCCTCTGTCGAACCACCCATTAGCCTCCCAAACAACCCGCGATTTCGCGGACTGTGCCTCGTATCCCCCTGGGTGTCCATGAAGAGCGACTCGCAATGCGATTTAGGTGCTATGAAAGTTAGATATCAATACGATGTTATCTCCGCGAAGATAGGTCGCCCCGCTTGCGAGGTGCTCGTCAAAGACGTCCCCGAGTCCGAGATCGCGTTTTTGGATCCCCTTGAGGGACCTGAGAATTGGTTCGCAGGATTGGATAGGCTCGTAGGAAGGATCATGATTACATGCGGCGAATTGGAGTGTATCTTGCAAGGCATTAAAAAGCTGCACGAGAAGTACCTCATCCCGGTACATGGAGACATCGAGTTTCTTGAGCAAAAGAATCGGCTTCATATCGAGCCTATTCTGGACTTTGCTTGGAAGAAGGATCCTGGTGAGAAGAGGATTGTAGAGTGGTTTATTTCCACTTTCACCGACGTGCCTTCGGACTGAGGTTGTTCCCGGCGGAATTGTGGCGGTCCGGAGAGTGCCGGTGGCGAAAACAAAGGAGGAAATTTTGAAACATTTTTCTTTCACTGTTTCTCACCTCGACTCCTAATACCAGTCGCTCGACGTCTCTCAAGCATTGACCTCTCCGGTAGGACCTCTGGTTATGTCAGTAGTTTCTCAAGATTTCAATGGTTCTTGTTACAGTTAATCGTTTGGTTCACACCATTTCATATGTTGTCTGTATGCCCAACATGCGGCTTTCTCGACCTCTGTGATCAGAAGAGTGATCGTAATCATGATTTTCTAAATATCGTGCCCAATTACCCTGTCCCGTTGTCGTCTGCTGATCGTCAATGGTTACATGCGGACATCATCGACCTAGAGAACGACATTGCAATCCTCGAGCATCAAATCCAACGTTTGGGAGCATCTCTCTCCAGCCTCCGTCAAGCACGGAAGAGGAAAGAATCCCAGATAGAAAGTCGGAAGTCACGCATGGCGCCAGTATGGTCTCTGCCTGCGGAGATAATTGCCGAAATCATTACTCTCACAGCGAGTGATGACAACAGTGATAGCCTAGACACCCGACATAGCATGCCTTGGGTTTTGAGCCATGTGTGTCATCTTTGGCGAAACGTTGCTTTGTCCACTTCGGCGCCTTGGTCGCGGTTATACATCGATGATACGAGAGGTCGGGACTATCCTTTCGCCCCAGAGCTTCTCCAAACATATCTTGATCGTTCGAAGGAAATCCCGTTATCCGTTACTATCAATTCTTCTAACAATATCGATGACATTCGCGAGCGCCTCACTCCCCATCAGTCCCGGCTGCATACGCTAGAGCTGAACCTCTGCCTTCCAGGATTGAAGGCCCTGTCCGTGCTGGTGGCGAACTTTCCAAAACTGACTATACTCCGTCTGTCAGTTGAGGGCACGAACATAGGTGATGCAGGAGAACTAGTTCTTGGCCTGGATCAGGAAGCCGTCTTACGTGCCATTTCTCAGGCCCTTGCGCGCCCTGTCGACGCGTTTCTTCATGCACACCTCTTGAAGGACGTGTATCTCGAAGGAATTGGGATATCTCACGTTGGGGTGCCGTTGAAGCAGTTGATGAGGTTCACTGGAGACATTTTTCGCGTCGAAGACTATTTTGCTCTTCAAAGACGGTTTAGAGCTTGCCGAGGTGGAGCTTTGGATGCGGTGTCCGATGGAGCTCTCGCATTTCCCACTACCATCCAGCGGACCGTTATGGCATACCCGACTTTCTCGGCTGTCGTTGTACACGGACATCCCGTGCTTGAGATTTATCCGTCTTCCGGCGTTGCAGCATTTCAGGATCGAAAAGAGGAAGGACAACACTGAAGTCACTTCTTTTGAGATGAGCTCGGATATCGATGTTTTCCTCCGAGAGTCTCAATGCCCGCTGGAAACTCTTCTACTTGAGGTCCCGCCTCTTCATTATACATCCTTATCATCGATACTGGAAGCATGCGCAACTACGCTGACTACGTTGTCCCTTCGAGTGGACGTGGTTGGAGCCAGAGATGTATATAATGCTCTGGCTTTTGATGGAGTAACTTGCCTCGCTCCAAGAGTTGATAATTTAGCTCTTCGAGACGATAGTTTCTCCTTCGAAGGGAAGGGAGAGGGGGAAGGTATTGATTGGTCGTTTCATAATTCTTTCCATGGAGATTCTTTGTTCACAATGGTGCAATCGAGGGGTAGCCTGTCGTGGGACCGTGGCGTTTCTCGATTGAGGTTCCTGACCTTATGTGCGCCGTATTCTTCACGGCCGACAGAAACGCTGGAGAGGCTTGCAGAATTGCAACGGGAAGATTTGGTTGTGGAGTTCCATGGGTACTCTAGGGTTACGCGATTTTCTCCTGAGACAAGACTCAGAAAAGAATGATTATTCGGTTTACATTGTACCAAGTCTGCGCTTGTATCGTCGATACTTGCATGGCAGCAAGCACTTTTTGTTCGTTTCAGCGGGCTCCGGGCCGGTTCGGCCTCCTCGCCTCAAACTTTGACGTCTGCTAATTTCCAGCTGAACGATAGGTAAAGCCTTTTTGTCCCATTTGCCTCAACCATTTATTGAATGCCTGATAGTCATTCTACAGCATTTTGTCGTCAACACGTCCAATCCGCGACATTCTCGGCCACCAGACCAGCTGCATGGACCGAGAACTCCTCAGTTCGACCGTCATATTCTCCCAATTTCCTCAGCAGATATGACGATATTGTCGTTCTTGATCAGCAAACTTGTCGCTTGCGTGCGCTCACCGATCTCCGTCGAGCCCGAAAGCAGAAAGAGTATCAATTGGAAAGCCAGAAATGTGCGGTTGCTTCGAGAGTCTCTCCCTGCTGGAATAATGGACGAGATCTTTACCTTCTCTGCAGACGGGCACTGTATCGATCATCTTGATATACATCGGAGTATTTCATGGGGTGTGGGCCATGTATGTCAAACTTGGTGAAATGTTGCTCTATCGGAATCCATACTTTGGTCACGATGATATGATTAGAGATCATGACGATCCGCTCTCCCCGGAATTGTCAGACGTATCTGGAGCGGTCCAAGGAAAGTGCTGCATCGGATCCTTACCCTCATTCTCGCCTGCCTTGCTTCGAATTACCCCCGAGATGACGCCCGATTCAAGTGTTTGTATCTGCGCAACCTTTGAACGATGTCCGTCTCAAAGGAAGTTCAGTGAAGAATCTTTTATTGTAGAAGGCGTATACGACACTCTGGCTTTCGAGCGTATCCAGCTCCACACGTAGACAATATAATTACTACTAGACAACAATTACTCCCTGGGCTCAGAGGGCTCGTTCGAGGCTTCTTTTCACCTGGACGCATTTTTAAGAATGTCCAGTCGAGAAGGATTTTGTTACGGGATTGTGATGATGAGGCTCGGCTAAGACCCTTGACGCTCTGTGCGCCATACTCTTCGAAGCCGCTGGAAACACTGAAGACACCTGCGGAACTCGGGGAAGAAGGCTTATCCACGGAGTTCTATGGATATTCCTGGGTCGCCTATCTTGAACCGATGCTGGGAACCGAGATCTGGCGATCAGGGGTGTAGGATTCTTTTCCCCTTCGTTCTTTGGGGGCACAAGTCGAGGTAACCGAGCGATCATGAAATGGACATGTTGTCATCTTCTGCATTTCACATGGACCACCGCTTTGATATAACTAATAAATACAGATATAACTTTACAGACGATATAACGCCATTGACCTTGTGTCTTTTAGTTCATAAATAATTCCGCAACCCAGTCTACGATCGCCGGTACAATTTCTCCTAGGTCCTCTTGCTTCCAAACAAACTTCAGGATCGGGTCGCCATGAACGCCGTCCCTCTGCTGTAAAGCTTTGACGTCCTCATGACATGGCTTTAGATACTTCTCGTATAGAAGCTGAACACCCGGCGCAAAACCCTCTAGTTCGCCATAAGTTATGAGAATCCGGTCCACCAAATTATCCAGGCCATCGAACCAGGTTTTGGGTGCCTCGATAGGATCTACGAAATTGATATCGGTTCTTGGGATATCTTTCATCAACGTCCTGCATATGAGGCGTATGATACGAGAGGAAAGTATGTCGTATTTGTGCTTGGCGTGTAGAAGTGGCCATGGTAATTCTGAGTCGGCCTTCATAGAAACCCAGGGCGAGATGAGTAACACGCCTCGGAAACCCTCATCGGTTGTAAGTTTAAGGGGCTGTACCGATGGGAGACAGTGAAGAATATGGGATAATGTTTGGATGACAAGATTGGCTCCAGCGGACTCTCCGGCAAACATAATATTGCGAGGGTGCACGCCTGCCTGTATAAGAAAGGCAAGTGCATCTCTAGCTTGGCGTAACTGGGTGGGAAATTGATGCTCCGGCAGAAGTTCTGTGTCGTCAGTTAACACAAGACTCGGAAAAAGCAGCGAACGGAAGCGTACTATAGGTCATCATGGCTACGCCAACATGAATGCCGCGCTTTTCGAGTTCAAGCTGAAGGTAGCGATAGAAGTTAAATTGCGCGTCAAGGGCGCTTATCATGTAGCCGCCGCCTTGTATGGTGTAAGCTGCTATAAAAGACAACAGGAATCGGAGGACAACTTACCGTGACAATAGAATAGAACCTTCTCCAAGCGCTTTGGGCCAATCCACAAGATTTTGGTTTCGTCGATACCAGGCACCGTATCGACGGTATAAGGTAAACCTATTGACCTCGTCCACTGCATATAAATTTCCTGAGTCGATTTACATTTCATACGTCCGAAAGCGAAGCAGTCGCTGGCGAAACGGAAGGCGGCGACTTGGCATACATCTTTCCAGCCCTTAGAACGCTCGCGATTGAAAAAAGAAGAAATGAATCTCTTCAAGACGTAGAAGGCTAAATCATACAGTTAGTTGGATAAAATTTCGCGTGGATAGAGAAGGGGAACACTCACGGAGAAAAACCAACGAGAGGCAGATACTTGCAGCCACAAGCCAGGACATAAAGAATATGTTCGTGGGTAGGGTAAAAAACCATTCTTCCTGTCTTATGTGTGGAGAAACTGAATGTGACCGTGTGCCGGAACTTAAAAACTTCTTACATACCGCCTGTCCCGACGCTTAAAATGGAATCGCTCGGAGACAAAGCGCCACCTGATTCTTACGGAATGTTGGTTGGAGATATCAGCCGAGTGGCATCTAGATTAGCAGGATTACCGGTGACTTTCCATTGGCCCTCAAAAGCCTAACAGGTTGACTGGGGAGCGCACTTTGATCAATGACTTCTGGATGTTATGCGCTCGTAATGAGGAGGTAGCTGCCAGAACATTGCAAGGCCTGAAAATTCAAGCTTATAAATAACGACACCACAGTCAGTGATAAATGAATTGCCTAACCTTTCTTGGTAACCTCACATGTGCATGGTGATCAACGCTACAGCTATCGGTCCTTTCGGATAAGAACCATCGGAACCGAGCGTTGAATGGTACGCATGATCCTTCACCATAGACTCCTTCTGTGCATCACGACGTGAACTGCTGATCCTTTCTCGCTGTTTTATACTTAGATTACAGCACCTGGAACAAAGCATAACGTCATGATTGATATTTCGTCGACGAGGCTTACCGTGGATGAATGATTAAGTCCGTGTTTCTGAGACCGTCTTTTCACAGCACTTGTTCGTTTGTCTGGAGTCGAATACGAAGAGTACGAAAGACAGGGTAAGGCAATCTCACATCTGAAAGTTATCTCCATATCACAACATCAGAGAGAAATTAGTTACTCACAGCTATCGAATCATAATTGGAGGTTTTAAATTCAAACAGATGAGCAAAGCCGGACTCTTCTCACTTACTAAGAGCCCATTTCTAACGGAAGGTCCCACGCCGAGAAGTTGAGGAACACAAGATTTCGAAAATGAGGGAAACTTGACACATCTATCAGCTCGGTAAAAGCAACCAAAAGTCACTAGTCACTAGTCAGGAGTAAGTTGCAGCAAGAAAAAGAAAACCCTGTGATTCCTTTTGAGGCGGAAATCGGCCCGACTGATCCGATTCACAGCCACGCGGTTAAAGACTTGCCAGCGTACCGCGAGTACCTCATAAAACCCGTTTAACAGGCTACAATCTCTCTTAACCAGCAGCCCGTGTCGCCATGTAGAACATACACCATTTCCACTGTATACGCATCTTGACTTCATGCCTGTCGGTCTTCACTTTCCCGCCGAGTGTTCTATCATTTTATTATTCAGTGTCCCCGACTGTCTGAATGTCGAATGAATTTCCCATATTAACGGAATATATCCTACATGAGATCGTTATTCAGGCAAGTAGACCTGTCCTTTCTATCTGCTTCAAATAATAAATTGATTACAATGCCTATGCAGCCTGAGACCAGGAGGAGCTCAAGGCTTCTAGGACTTTGTATGGATATGTTGGACAGTGATACTTCTGGGGCTTTCCGTGGATTTATCACAACTTTCCTGACCGGCAGTCTCCAAAATTTTAGACCTCATGTCGGAAGAGGCAGATCGGACGGTACAGAGGTAAGCAGCGTCGTGCGATTGCCACTGGCGGGGACTTTCGACCGACTTCGTGGCGGTTTTCAGGCGATTGATATCAATGTCGAGTTACTCTTCTTTGGCAAACTGGCTGTACTTGTATTGTTGAGTGCGGTGCACCGTGCAATCACCTGAAAGTGTGAAACGTATCAGGTGCGACTTGATTTAACACCAACGTGATTGTCGCATCTGGAGAAGGCACATCCTTATACCAGTAGCTCTTCGGCATGAATTGTCGACGGGGCCGAGTGATCAATCTGGCTCGGTAGTGCGCGAAAATGGGGTTCTTGCAAACATAAAGACTTCCACCTTGGAGGCAGAACCGAGAATCCTGATTGACTCGGTGTTCCTGTCATCCCTCAGCCTAAAAGTTCCTGGTAGCGTTCGAAACCATCCTCCGAAGGCAATCTTCACTTGTCTAGTTTCCTACTTGTGGCCGACCTATGCACATTTTTCCCCCACAGGGTTAAACCATTACGGTTCACATACACATGTTTACACCTACCCCTCCACCTGCGCCCAAACCTTCTTCGGACGCGATGTTTCATGGTTTATGTCCCTTTTATCTTGCACGTGTTAACTTGCATTGCCAATGGGAGCTTCTTTATGCGACCTTTATGAATTATCTCCCATATAACAACTTCAGAGATGCAGTCCGCTTCGAGCCATCCAGCGGCATATGCTTCTATCCTTTCAAGACGCAGGCATCGTTCTGACTCTCAACGACATCATGGAAGGTAAGTCATCCATGTGGGATCTTGCGTCCTATTCTGGGATTCACGATCTTCGGGTCGGGCTACCACAAAGTCTTTACATGATATTTATTGAAGTTATTCTATCACCCCTTCATCATTACGAAGTTAGGTCTTATGGCGTCAGAATTAATCCACAAATGTTTGTACAGGCACTTCAACATGACGTGCAGATCCCATAACTCGATGTTACTGTGCAACGATGTCTGGTGCGGTATAGCTTCCGCCTTCCACCTGTGGAGGTTTCGGCTATGGCAAGCCGCTCAGTTTACAATTCGTGACCTAATGACGCTCTAGAATTCTTTCCTACCTGTTGTGATCATTATGTCCAGTATTTCATAATACCGGAGAGCTGTGAAGATATGACCTCTGAAGAAGGTAAAAAGAAGAATTATATCCGCGAGTTTAACCAATGGCTTCAAAGACGACCTTGATGTTGTCGCAGATTGCAGACATTTTCGCTGCGGGCGCAATCCGTCAGTTGGAACAACACTATACGGGGTCCAGAGATGTAGCCGTGTTAGTAGATAGAAATATATGTTATTTGCGTCGTTTTGAATCGATACAGTATCCATCCATTTCGGCAACTTTTCGGTGATCAAAGAAAGTATTCGGATATTCGGTCCGATAGACCGTCTTCTGCCTCAACCAAATAACCAACAATAGCTTGCTCTGTCTTCAACTTCGACCACGACCTCTCCAGTGGCACCTGTGAGGGCAGGTACTCGGGATCATTTATCACTAGGATGTGAACAGTCTTCTGTTTTTTTTTTCTTTCGGAAATTATACCATCTTGTTAGTGCGATTAGCAGCCTGAGGGACAGGGACCCCGGAAATTCAATATGGTGCGCCTTGCAGCTTGTGTATCCCTTGTCTCAATGCTAATCCGATTCTTCCTAACAAATAGAATAGTAATTTGGCTTCAGTGTGATATGCAATAAATTCTCACTTCCGAGCCACGCTATTCCCCCCCTCTGAATTATTGCGGCTGCTGTGCTGTTGAATGAAACCGATAGACCTGCTGTTCCTCCGCTCGTTTGGCTGCTTCCCGATCTTAAATCTCCGTTACCAAGGCCGTCCCAGCGCGATGACAATGTTGCTTACCAAGAAAGCTATCTCATCTCAACGACTGTGGAACAAGGCGCTACATTATCCGTTTCATCGCAGTTCGCTATCATGCGGAGAGGGAAGCTACGAAAGAATTCTTTCGCCTGATTCATGGAATCCGTTGTACTCTGAAAGGAGGCTGAATAAAGAGATCTGAATACTCGGCCCTCGGCGGTGCGACGGTATGTCAGTAGTGCCTCCCGTTTACAATCTTGCGCTTATGTACAATACAGCTAAATCTGCGCGACCGCGCTCACTGGTCGAGATATATATGTTCTTCTCACGGGAACTATTTTTAAGAATTGGGCGCCAACTATGCCGTCATATTTGCAATGTGTTTCGGCGACTGCAGGCTCGTAACAGTCGCTTAAAGGCTCACGGTAGCATCGGCGTAAGATATAACATCTGCCGCAGTGGCCGCATATGAGAAGGCTCAATAAGCGCCTAGGTGGGTCGGCGACATCGTAGCCTATAAAGCCCTCTCTTCTCTTCTGCGACTGCCACTTTGCGGTCAACTGCGAATGCTCTCTTCCTTATCTCTTAATTCCGAAATTATGTCATGGCTTTCTTCCGGTGTTCTCTGTCGACATTCCGGCTTGCCATTCAATAACTTCCAACAAGTGTCATCATTTCACATATCGTCACGATTGTGAGTGCTCAGAGACCAGCAACAATCACATTGACTGGGGAGCATTACATACAGGATTTCGACAGCGTAAGCGCCCTTAAGATTGCACATTCAGGGTTGTAACTTCCTGGGTACGCAGTGGCAAGCGATACTACAGTCAAAACAGGAACCATAAACAAATCAACCTTCCGGTGTTTCAGTGTGACGCTTGTCAACCTGTGGTGAGAACTAGTGTAGTCATCAGCAGAACAACCTATGATTCAAACGACGTCTCCCGCATAGGACCCGGCCCGACGGCACCATCGCTTCCAGTATTCGAGGTGTACTGGGCGGAAAAAGGCGCTCTGTGTACGTATGCGTACTCTGAAACACCACTTGACTAAAAAGAATCACAGATCGGTATCAATTATCACGGCCAGCCCTACACTCTTCGAGGATGTATAAACGACGCGAGGCACCTTCGTGACTTCCTGATAGGTTGGTTCTGTCCTTGTGATCTACCTTCCGTGCTGTGCTGAGTTGTCGTTTTCAGGCTTCTGGGGCTACAAGGCAGAAGATATCACTCTACTCGTGGATGAAAGCATGGAGTCGGGCAAGCAGCCTACGAGGGCGAACATTATCCAGGCTATGCACTGGCTCGTCAAGGATGCGCATCCGCATGATTCTTTGTTCTTTCTTTGTACGCTGCTTCCGTCTGCCGACTTTATCTTCACTAGTGTAATTCCTTTCCCCTATAGACTCCGGACACGGCGGTCAGACCCTTGATCTGCACAGTGATGAAGTTGATGGACTTGATGAAGGTCAGGTTACCTCAAGTTCCCCATCATCCGCGCGAATTGACCGCCCTAACCCTTGCAGCCATCTACCCTGTTGATTTTGTCGAGCGGGGCCATATTCTCGACGACGTGCGTTCACATCCACGCGTCTTCCTATAACTATCTTATTCCCCTATGTTTGCAGGTTATGCATGAGATCATGGTCAAGCCCTTACCTACCGGGTGTCGGCTTACGGTAGGTTTCTGTTATTATCAAGTTCCTCACCAATACTTACTCTATTAGGCGCTGTTTGACGTGAGTTGTCCGCGGTCACTTTTCGGTGCATCCCCGAACCATGATTAATAACTCTTCAGTGTTGCCACTCGGGAACGGCTTTAGGTGAGTGTGATCAACGACGGATTCCACCATGTATCTGATCCTTTTTGGTCGTTGCCAGACCTGCCCTATGTCGTGCGTTCTCCTTCATGGGCACCTTGTTATTTTATCTGATTAGTCTCTGACCTAGTATGACTGTAACGGTCGACTTAAAGGACAACATATGACAAGCCATTGGATCTCACAGAGGTCGACTCCTGCAGATGTGGTATGATTATTATTGCCTCTGAACTTCCCAGCCAGAGGGTTCATGAATCGTGCAGATAACATGGTCTGGGAGTAAGGATGGTCAAACAAGCGCCGACACGTTCCATGGAGGCGTGGCGGTTGGTGCCATGAGCTGGGTAAGCACTTATCATTTTGTACATCTTAGATGATGGTGGGAGCATTGTTTAGGCATTCATTCAGTCTCTTACGAAGAATCAGAACCAGTCATATCAAGGTCTTCTTCATTCCATCAGGTGAGCTTGAATGCCGGCTCGTGACAATGGACTGGTTCTTCATTCATTTTCCCAGAAAGATTCTGGAGCCTGAATATAGTCAAGTGCCACAGCTAGGTAGTTCCCATCATATCGTAAGTCACTTGTCATACTGCCTCTCAATTGCTCACCTCATCCAACGGACCTATAGGACACCAATCTGCGGTTTATTCTATGAGATTGGACCTCCGTGAAGACTTCACTGTTCGGAAGAGCGCAATTCTTGTAATATGACTGTTGGAATGGAGATCCATGTCGATGTTGAGGCATGGGTTCATGCCCGCTCGGTCATGCAGTATCACACTATTATCGATGAGAGTTTCAAAAATGAGAGCGTAGCATTCACTGTCGCTATCTGGCAAAGCGTGGTACATAATGGAGTACCACGATCGCCGGCGGTTCTAACCGTTGCCGCCCGTCCTCCTACCCTACGGGTATCACTATTATAGTGGGAGATAGATGCCGTTCTATTAATCACGCTTGGAGGAATTAATATTACAATGTTCTAGTGATTGTCTAAATTAACTTGTTACTTAAGATCTGCACTTAAGCTTACCCGACCCGGGCCGGAAGCTGCCAGTTGATTGATAAACAACGAGCAACAAAGATGTATTTTTTTTCACATCGACCACGATGACCACGACGCCGGTCGTGACCTCCCTAGCGCTTTGACATTCGGGCAGTACGTACTTGGTGAAACTTGGTGGGAGGAAGCATGAACATTGAGCGAGGTGCGTATCTTGATTATTCTTTCCTAGAAATGACCTAATGCTTCTGCGCAGTAAAGTAATTATTCTTACTATGAAACATGAAAAAAGTATACCTCAGTATGCTTTATGCTTTCTTAATCCAAGCATATTCTCCCGCGTTGCCCGTTATTGTTGTTTTCGCCTGATTTTCGATGGACGCTCTCGGTTTATTAGTAATCGACGCATCGTTGGACTCGTCGAGGGTCTTATTCACGATCCATCATATCAAGGCGCAGCATCTGCCTTTGAAGATCATAGGAAACGTTGCTTGTCAGCTGGGGAACCAGCTAGCACCTCCTTATTTGTGACATGTTTTAGGTCTAAAGCTACGGCGGCCATTTCGCTGTCCCACGGAGATCGTTCTTCGTCGTAGCTGGCTTGCTGAATGTTCTCCAGACGTGTATACGCATGATTATTGTTAGGCGTGTCTCGCACACGTGATAAACAAACGCTGATAAGTCGCGTAATGATTTCTTTCGTCCGCACACGGTGCGTTTGTCTCTTGAATCCTTGTTCTTCGGCTCACCCGTTGTCCTAGCTAATCAGTCACAAGCATACCGACGTGATCCTGGCGGTCATCGGCCCAATGTATATTAGCATCACGTCTCGGGCTAAGGCAGACACGTATGACGCGTATTGTCCCGGACATAGGTCAGATCATATTCAGGAACTTAGGGTCAGCTCTGACTTGCTTCATAGGCCAAAGCATTACAATGGTAGCCTGTCGGATTTTCTCGCACTGACCCCCAATGATTAATGCACTAAAGCATGTGCTGCAGCCAGTTTTACCGACATCTACGTCTATGGAGTAACCGTTCTATCGCATAGGAAACCTGGTTACTGACTAGTTCTTGGGAGCTTCTTCCTTCTATGTCACTTGGTAGCCACCGTCAATAGGGTATATAAGGTTGGGTTTCTCCATTGGCCAGCTCAGATTTCTGTCATCCTATGCTTATTTTTCTAATCTTCGCTTTCACCTTCGCACGATGCGCCTTCACCCAACAGATATGGGACGTTGTGCGTATTCAGTCTCTGGCCTTCATACACCTCCCTGATTTCCTTGTCTGTAGTGGGAGACGACCTGGGATCGTCGTAGTCTGCTTACACGTAAACCGCTTTCAGCCGCAATCAATTTTGCGGCCACAGGCGCTTCTCAGAGTACGCGTATCGCGGTCTCGGACAGCACTGTTTATCAGACGATTCTTGGATTTGGCGCGACCCTTAGTTTGTGCTTTCCTTCTGTCTGGATTTATCTTGGACTGACTTCCAACTCAGCGGATGCTTCAGCTAATCTTCTGAATGATTTGAAGGTCCGTTTCTTCGTCTGACGTTGGATACGTGTTCACTATTTTTAGGGGAAAAATTCGAATAACTACTGGAGTCTTCTGCGTCAGTCGTTCGACATGACCGATGGCGCTAATGCCGCTGGCCTCAGCTATATCCGAGTTGCTCTTGGCGCAACCGATTTTTCTGCTTCGGGTCCGCCATATCCGCGAGGCCTTATGATTGCATTCTGACCGTTTATACAGTCTACAGTTATGACGATTCAAACAGCGATAATATTCTAAGTAATTTCTATGTGAACAACGCCCCGTGGTATTTATTCGCTGTTCTGCGCGATATTCTATCAGTGAATAGTCGCATAATGGTGAGCTTCAAGGACATTACTGTTAATACCTATGTGCTTACGTATGCGCTTTTTTGAAGGTTCATCTGGTTCCTTGGTCGCCTGTCAGTGCTCCATATGTTTGCCCATCATAATGCGCTCGCTTACGCATAAATGAATAGCCCGCATGGATGAAGACGTCAGGATCGATGAACGGGGGTTCATTGATTGACGGCTACATCAGCGTCTGTAGGTCTGTTTCCCTAGTAATAAACTGTGGTTAACCTTTCATTATATTAGACCCCACATATCTGTTAAAGGCCGTTCAAGGTTTCTCAGGAAAAGGCGTGCCGATCTACGCTATCTCAATTCAAGTTCGTCTTGTCATTGTTTGATCCCCAAAACGCTTCTGAATAGACAGAAACCCCAGAATGAACCGCAATATAGCACGGATGGCTATCCATCATGCTGGATGCCTGCTGCTACAGAAGCTCAGATTGGGAGGACCTTACGAACGCTTCTTGATAACAATGGTTTCTCAAGTGTCAAGGTTATCGCATATGAGGTCAGGCTTTGCCGTATTGGTGTCGCGTGCTATTCACCATGCATCTAACAGCATAACTGGAACAACGCTGCAACATACCCTGTCGAGGTCGTACGTAACCATCTTCGTGTCACAACTTGCCAATCCTGACAGACGAGCGTAGATGCAAGCAGCTCGAGACGCCTTTGCAGGAGCGTCATTTCATTGTTACGAAGGCAGCGTTAGCCTTCAAGAATCCTTCCACTCTGCATATCCAGATAAGGTAGACCCCTTTCCATCTTGCTAACTGAATGGCTTTCCGATGCTTTCGTTTAGGAAATCTACTTCACGGAGTGCTCTGGAACGCTCGGTAGCGACTGGTGGCAGGACATTAAGGTAGGTAGATGTCCGATTATCCAGTCCATTGCGGCCTCGTTCTGACGTCGGCGTAACAGTGGTATATGGACAATCTGTAAGTTCTTTGCCGACGTATACGCAACTTTCGCTCATTGTGGCCGCTTAGTTGGATAGGAAGTTTAGAACACTGGTCTAAGACTGTGGGCATTAATTGTTCTTTCTCTGAGGGCTGCTTTTAACGCCTCAGCCTTCTGTAGGGTCTGATGTGGAATTTTGCTCTTGATGGTAACGGTAACCCGAGGCTTCCCGGTTCAAACAGCTGTACAGCTGGGTGTCGGGGAGTCGTTACTATCAATAATGATGGGTCTTACTTTTTCAACCAAGAGTACTATTCCATGGCTCAGGCATCGAAAGCCATCATTCCCAAAGATTGGGGCGGTCCATTTGGGCAGAGGATCGGCGTCACAGTCAGCGGTAGCAACAGCTGGACCTTGCGCGTTGGTGCATATGCGACTGGTAGACAGTCTGCAAACGATTGGGTTCGGTATTCGCTAGTGGTGTTAAACTGTACGTGTCTTTCGGATGATCGAGGATCTTCTCAGCTTATTAAGGTTCGAACCAGGGGATGACAGTGCTTCGTCTTCTTGGAACCCTGTCGCGGTAACGGCCTCTATTCAGTTCCGAGGGATGCAGGTAGGATGGTCTGATTTTGCTTGGCCATCTAGTTGCTTAGATAACACCTTCCAGGCCACTTATACGTTCCCGGTTGGCGTTACCACCCTTTGGTGGTTTGCGGCGCCTTCGTCGTCGAAGCGCAATGTCCGGTCAGAGTGGATGTCAACCAACGCGACTTTCACAAATAGTACTGATTGTTAATGCGGACCACGACCGCAGAATACGTCGTTGCGGCCACGTCTTCTGAGATCGAGTTGCTGCGGGTGCGCGGATTTGTTTCACTGAAATGAAACGCAGTTCTATTCACTAAATTTTCGGACCTACTCACTGTACTTCTAGATATGTGTAGGTTCTATTATATTCTATATCTTATCTTGCGTGTGACCTGAAATTATATTTCCATCTCTGAATCATAGATATCAATGACCTGTTTGTTGTTCTCGACTTCACCTTGCAGACGCAACGTTGCAGTTTTACACAGTCGTCTCTGGAAGGCACCTTGCCATTTCTAGAAAATTCTGAAAATCATATTTTTCATCTTGATGGATGCTGGTCGGATTCCAGACCAACGAGGATCGCTTAGAATCGTTAACCGAGAGGCTTCTGCGAGCACGTACTGTCCCTCGAATCCATGGCCGTCGGAGGTATCCGTTTTGGTTAATACTTTTACTGTTTCTGAACTCTTGGTCCAGACTTAAAAGATTTATGGGCGAACATACTCTCAGACCTCCGCTATACAGAAAAAGGTGCCATTTTTGGTCTACGTATGTGTCCAACAGGGATTGACTATCATCCTATAAGGGGCAGCCTGTTGATAGTGTATCGCAGGATACATAATACTGATGCGACTGGTCCTCGAGGCTGCGGTTACTGCCTCACGCCGGCCCTCAACATCCAAACACACGTGTGGACAACGCGCTGCTTTTTCGAATCAGATCCATCATGGTACACTTAACCGAAGCCATCTAAAGCCAATCAAGTTCTCCGTTTACCTCAGCTGATCCATTACGGATAACCTCGTTTGGCTGACCGGAGATTACGGACACGTACCTTAACTGTTACCGGTATTGACATCCCTACTCTTTCCCAATCCACCACACTCCCTGCCATCTACGCGTCGTGACTTGACCTTCGAACCCGTAGAAGCGCTGCGAATGCATTTTCGGTTACTTCATTACCATGCGCATCTGGGTCCTGGGGTTCGGATATCGAACCGGCGTTCTGCCTGTGCACCAAGTAGTAATTCATATATAAGGACGAAGTCACCTTCGTTTCAGTCAGCGCATTCATTGATCCTTCCCAGCATTGACTAGAACCACTCTATTCAGGAACCACTCTTTTCATCGGCGAACATGGCGTTTATTCTTCGTGGTCTGTTCGGTGTTGGCCAGTCCAACCAGAAGCCTTCCTCATCTTCTCGACGTTCGCAACCTCCCCACCCCTCCCGGTCCTATGTCTTCATCCCGTCTCCCAGCGCTCCACCGTCCGCTGTCGGCCCTATTAGTATGAAGCATAGTAACAGTTACGATGCACCGAGGACGACTAAACCCTCGCCTTCACGATATCATGCGGAGGAGTCTACAGCACTACCTTCTCGTTCACAGTCTTACCAACAGCAGGGCCAACTTCATCGGCCCACCTTCCATCGAAGCACGAGCTATAAATATGACAGTCGTATGCCGCTTTTCTCGTTTTCCATGAGGTACCTGAACTAACTATTTCGCCTGTGCAGAAGTACAATATCCCATTTACACCCCCACTACAGGTCGCTCTAGTAGCGACTCCGGTACAACTTCAGCATCTTCTCATGGTCATGGCCGGCCCATTCCTCCGCGGACGTCGAGTGTCACCACCGTCAACCCGCCCCCGCGTCGACCAGTGCTGAAGCATAATTATACCTGGGATGCAGGATCGAAGCCTGTTGTCCAGTGTACGTTATTGTTCCAGTTTGTTATTTACTTGACTAAATGTGATACTACAGATCCCCGTCCTCATGTCTCTTTCCTTAACCCTAACTGTCGCGAATCTATCCACATGCACCCACTTCTTGCCTCGAGCCGTTTCCACAACGCTCCGATATCTTACGACGTGACCTTCCCCCCTTCGTCGCGTTATGTCGTAGACCGCAATACGCGGACAGCAGTTCCTGCTCATACTCTCGCACAGCCTGCCACCGATCCACCTACTTTCACCAAACTGGTGATGAGATGCGATAAATTCCCCTGGCCTGTCGTAGTCTCGCCCTCTTCGAAGGTGGGAAAGTTCTACATCGGTAATGCTCCTATGATGCCCGCCGAGACGCTGCCGATCTCGAATATCGATTTACTTCATGCGTTGCACAGCACGTTGTCCATCAGGGTGACGCACGAGGAGTGGGATGCGTTAGGCAGTGGTTCTCCCGCGCAGCGAAGGGTTTCAAGAGCTTATGAGAGACGCTGCTTGAAAATGGGTGGTGGCTGGGAGGGGGGCGTGAGAAGGATAGACTGGCTTGGGCATAAAGTTCAGTTGATCGGCATCGAAGTCGACCGAAACGCTTCTGCAGGCGGCATTGCGAAGCTCATCTTCGGATCCTCTTGACCGTCTGACCATGGCTCATGACGAGATCGTGGATTCTTCCTTTCTTCTGCTGGCGAAAAAACACAGCAAAACACGCATGCGGCGCCATGCTCTGGTCGTTCTGACGACACCACGGGACAATTGTATACTTGAATTCATCCTTGTAGAGCTTACCCACGTTCTCTTTGTATGTAGTAGTCATGTTTGGATCGGCAAAAATTAATGAGTCTGTCATATCGATTGACACTTGCATACTGTGTGTACTAGGCTTGGCTTCATCGGAAGCGAGATCGTGAAATCAGGGCAGCGTGGGAAACGGACGGTGAAATAGCCCCTGTCCTGCAATTATTCGGTCTTAGTAACGACCTGAGTTGCTTTCCCTTGACCACCATGCAAAGACAACTACCCACTTGTAGAACAGGGTATCAAAATCCTCTGTTCCTGTTGTAATCCGTATATTCATCAAATATTGAGAGAGTGTATAAAATGCAGTCAGCGCGATGAGTCTTAGTAAAACGTACGTAATTATGCCTGGTGAATACCTGCCATTTTCTGATGTATTTACCTCAATATCTTCCGAACTAGGTTCTGGACGAAGCCGCGGCTATACTTCCCTGATTATCGTACTCAAGGAATCATAAGACCGAGGCATCAATACAGAAGACACCGCAAACGTCTACTCCGATGGAGAACCTGAACGCCTGAACGCATTATGGAAATGTTACGAAAAAGGTATTATCGATTGAACGAGAGTATGTTTACGTGTCTAATGGTGGAATACTAGTACAAGATCCCTCGAATAAAAATTCGAGATACTACACGCTTGTGTCAAAAGGCGTGTCCATGTGAATGTTCTCTACCGAAACCTCGGAAAAACTCGAGACTACGTCAGTGACCGCTGTTTATCGCGTGCGGCCCATCTTCGACGCGTCTCCAAACTACTACTTTTGTCGACTCGCTCCAAAATTCATCATTACGACACAGAAACATCAAACGAGGAAACTATGAGAGCTTCACGATCTCCTCGAGAGCAATGCGTATATCTATTGGCACTAATTTTGCGAGATGGTAGTGAATTATCCATCTGGGCCAAGTCGCGGCGCGTAAAGGCTGGACAATGTTTATAAGTACGCCTGACCAACCATTTTGTGTCACGATGCGCGAAGAGGTAAGGTCTTGGTTCTATTTTCGGTTCAATCCGGACTTAATTCTTCTCAGGAACGTGAGATGCACGCATATCTTAAATTAAATAAGATTGGAATTGGAACTAGTCCCTGGGAAGTCATCACAACGGGCGGGCTGATGCGACTTGCAATAGAAGAGACGGTGATCTAACGCCTCGAAGGGAATGGTTCCTGAAAATGAGCTGCTGGAAGAGCAACAAAAATATCAGTCGTGTTGACTCAGGAAATAGCGAAGAGGTATAGAAAGAAACCATGGCACAAGTAGCTTTTCCCTTAGTAATAGAGGCTGAGGTCACCAGCCCAATTGTATGGACGTTGTCGGTTAAGAACTGAGGTTGAACGAGAATATCACCACGGGCTTCACCCTGACTGAAGAAGAAACAACAAGGCATGCGTTATATCACCGCCTCGAATACGTACCCAAACCCATCAGAGGTCATGCGAATTCGCGTGTGATGCTCACGGTGGATGTTGTAATGTAGAAGTCACGCGAATTGTTCCAACGTTCCCTGTCGCAATGTCTATAATTATCACTTCCATCGTGAAGGGTTCAGCACCAGTCTAGAACTTGAAGCGTGTCGGTAGATCATACAAGTCTGACAGAATTTTATCGATGTTGGAGGACACTTGAGGATTCGGAGCTCCACTTCGATCGATCCTGAACCTAGAAATATTGGATCCGAGGTGACGAACGTGCGTAGTTAGAATTGAAAGAAAGGCGGATTAGATTTATATGAATACTATGATACAGGATAATGTTCCAAGGTATAAGATCCAGTGGTAATGCGGGGTATGAAATGTGCTGGAATGGTAAGGATACAGAAGATTGACATGTACATAATGAAATATGAAGAGAAACGATAGTCAAGAAACTATTAGTAGAAACAAGGAGCGGAAGAGCGATACCGCCCTACTCTAAAAGTCGAGAAATCAGAACGCCCTCGGATAGAACGACGCTTGTGTCCCTGTGGATTTGAGAGACTGAACATAATCCCACAGGGCCCTACACTCGAAGAAATGATTATCGAGTTGATCTGGTCTGGCTGCCAATTCTCCACAATGACCACAGGAATACTGGTGCGAGTTGTGCACGAACGAGTGCTTTTCCGTTTGGAAATGCCCATAAACCATGTCGACTTTGATGAAGCGTTCGGAGGCGGAGGCGAATGGGCAGCAATCCCGTACAACGTACTGGGGATTCTGGGCATAGAGGTGGAATGCTTTAACGTGTTTGCTGACTTCGGCGCGGGTGTTCTTGATGGCTGTTTGGTTGCATCCGGGTAGGTAGCAGGTTACGTAGTCGGCTTTCCATCCGTAGTAGGGGGCTGGGTCGTTGATGCCAAGTTTGATGATTAGTTGGTCGTACTTGCCCTTCCGACAGAAAACTTTAGAGTAGCCATGGGTGCTGGTGCAATCAGGACAAGAAACTCGACTGGACGACATCAAGTAACGTACCTCTGTTTCTCGGGCTCGTTTGGGGTCGGCACAGGGCATTTCGACGGAATGTATGGCTTGGGTGAGAATGTCTGATCCGCGAAGGAGCTGTCAAAATTGTAAGTACTAGAAATGTCAACGATGAAAGAAAGCACGTACAAGCTCGACGAACTCGTCAATACTCTACTAGCCAGAGAGGGAGGTCGGTCTTTGGCAGAGTAGGGCACAAATCTGCAACTGCAAAAAAAGGTGTTGAGATACATTAGAATAAAGGTAAGGGTAGATGCCTACTCTTGTACGGGTGGCTGACGGATGCTGGTCACCATTTCATAGGATGAAGACGTGTCGCCGGTAAAATTCGGCTGAGCCAGTACAGTGGTAGACTGAGTCGGCTGATAGTATCGATTGCCGACAGGTCTGAAAGAAGCTTAGCGCACGCAAAACGCGTAAATTGATGTTCGGACCGCACCTATCTGGCTCTGCTGGAGGCGACGTATAGGTATGCTCTCGGTAGTAGCTCCGTTTGGTCGCAGTCGAAACTGGGCTTGGTTGGCTCGAAACTGAGGTCTGACGCCAGGGAACATCCATGGGTATCTGTGGAGGAGTCGAGGGCGTAGGGCTCAGGGATGTGTCTTCAGAGGTAGTCGTCGGAGTGTCAGTCAAAGAAGGAGTCGGGCTGGCTGAAGAAGCCTCAGAGTCGGTAGCCGGAGCGTCGTCATCCTTCGATGCGATTGAAGCCAACAAAATAGAGATCGAGGGCCGCATGGCGTTAGCCGGAACGTCAGGGTAGAAGGAAGGACAACAGTTGGTGGTAGAAATGTCGGTCAGAGACGCAGTGAGCGAGGAATAGATAGCTGCTGCGTCCGATGCTGAAGTTGTCAATGGAATATCAGGTATCATGGACTCCTTCAGCGGATACGGGGATGAACTCGAACCAAAGATCGACAAGTCTTCAGTAGACGAGTCTGAGTCGGAAGGATTTGAGGAGGGCGCATTGGAGCTTCCAGACTGGTTAAGCACCTGCATGCACCTAGAACACGCGTCAGGAATTGCAGATATCTCACAGCATCTGCAACTTACATCTTCGACACGTATTCCCAGTCGCTAGGAGTCATCTCTTGAATGGACCTAAAATAACAGACCTTAATGAGAGTGCCACCAGGAGATAGAGTGAATTGTACTCACATCAGGGCGTCAGCCAGGTCAATTTCCGTAGACAACATCGCGGAAAAAATAACGAAAGACAAAACCAGACCACAATGTGGGAGGTGGGGGATGCAGTCCAGCCAAAAGCACCCTTTATATATAGATACTCGTTCACTGTCTTCTCGTTGGCTCTGTTCGAGGCATATTGCCTTTTCGGTAAATGCCACTCTGGACAATACTCATTATCATTGAATGACTGGATGAGATCACCGAAACAAAGACACAATGTTATGCTTGGACCCACGCGTAATGGAAGGGCACCGTCTTTGCTCAAAATTATGTTGAAGTCTGGTTAGGGAGCTCCATAGTCGCCTACTAGGATGAGTGACTTCACCATTCAGAGCGCGAAATCTGCCACCTGTTCAGTGTACCGCACGAAGCCGGAACTTTCAATTAAGAGGAGCCATGAAACCAAAATTTTGTGACACGTACCTAATCCGAAGCCTTGATCGTACAGAACCTACAAACAATGGTTCCTAGTATGTATATCAGTGACCTGCACATTTTCGGATCTCCAAGAGATATAGATAACACTCATGAAGCACGACTGCTCTCGTCACATCGTGCCGTTAGCGTGTAAACAAAGAGAACACTACTCCTGCATCCCTGTAAGGTGATGTACATGTCGGAAGGCCACCTTACCTTGAGGACGGCCGCGTCCGAGTCCACCTCGCCCTGTTCCAGCTTTCGCAAATGTCAACGTTCCATCGATGTCTATTTCTACAGGATCATTGTTGCCGCCGTGAGTAGGGTTTTGAAATTCGGAAGGTTTAGAAAACTCCGGATTATCGGTGAACCGGTATATAAAAACGCGTCCAGCAAGGTAGCCGGCCTAATGGAAAAAAAAAAAAAACAGTTGCGACGTGGTTGAGGAAGAAAGATCGGGCCGAATATCCGAGCCCGCCTTTCTGGCTTACGTTACCTCTCGCCTTCATCTCTAATTGCGTCGCTCGCTTAGGACTCTGATGGTAGCCAAAAGCAGCCCCCCGGAGCGTCTCCAGGGGGCCCTAAAACATCAATTTCGGCTCAGACACACGACACTAAGCCTGGCAGGACAGTGAGAGGGTGAGTGAGAGAGCGATGTAGCTCCTCTCCGCGCTGCACTGTCTTACCAGGAACTGATCGAGAGACACTTGCGAGAACCTGGTCCCCTGGGTGGCTTGATCTGGCATCCCGGTGCCAATCTACGTTCTGCCCTTGCCGCAATTAGACTTGCGTAAAGCAAGCTTTAAACCCATTTTATTTGTCTTTTATTGTTGTATATCACTTTCTTCTATCGAAAATTCGAGCCACGAAACTGCCATATAATACGGAATCTATCACGGTTTATATATACCAATGGCTGTGCAGGTCTCCCGGTCCACTCGACTCGTGCTGTAATCTAGGGATAAAGAACGACAGCATGAGAAAGTGGATGAGCTTTGCTTCGATGCAATATTTGGGGAGTCAAATGTTACGATGCATATGACTATCCCTCCTGGAGCTACCATCGCATATTCTCCGTCGTAGAGTCCGCGAACTAGAAACCACGACCTAAAGTGCAAAACGAATAAGCAAGACATATTCTTCAAATCTTCGTCCATATGAGATGGAAGCTTGCTAGGAGCACCATTTTCCTACATGTTTGCTCATATTGCTAGCCGTTCTAAACGCATAACCAAAGTTTTCCATAGCCCATAACCATGTCTTGCCGATTTCGATCGTGACTTGGAGACCTGATCCATTGTTCCCTTGACGCGATGAACCGATCAACACCAACGACCTGGAGTCATTCAACGAGCTATTGCTCCCACAACCGTGTCTTTTTAAAAAGATTGTCATATTCTTGTGCGGGTTCTTCGCGAAAGTTGGTGGGTCAAGGATGATCGACTATGGTTGGCGATCGTTCCGACACGATATTCACGAGACAGGGAGTCATGGGCGGCTGATGGCTCGAAGTCTTGGAGAAATGTCTGGTGTTCACCCGGTAGAAAATCGCGACCGTGTACCAAGGAAGGAAGACTTATGAGGCCACGCTCTGTTGTCGGTACACAAGGCTTATTGAGAAATCCTACCCGGAAGTGTCTATAGCACTATGTGTACCTTCGCTGAGATGGTCATCTCCAATAGCATCCATACTGTCTTCTGAATGGCCTTCTGTGTCTGGGACTCCACGGTAAAGTGACCAGTAGGGCGTATGTGTAATCTCCCTCGATGACGAGATATTCGCGCCTGTAGTTACAAAGGCATGGAACCAGGGATTTCGTTGCATTCTGTTACAGTTGGAATATGTTGCGTATGCCGAGTCGTACTGTCCTGGCGATGCCAGTCCTACGCGACATCACAGATTTGGACTACACCCCTCCTTGACATCATTCTTCTCGTCGCTGTCCTCCTCCGTATCAGGACCGTGCTCGCCATGCCGCCGTCTCTTGCTGGCATACGTGAGCTCGTACTCTGAGCACCCTGATTTCCTCTTCTTCTCCCCCTCCTTCACAACTAATCGGGCGACCTCCTGTTCCTTCGCGGAGCGGTCCTTGATTGCCTTCCATGTATCTTTCTTCAGCGTGTTGCTGAGCACATCCATGAACCACTGATGGGTTTCCAGGAGATCCTGTTTCTCTTTCAACTCCTCCAATGCGCCCTGATTTTTGCGCTCGAGGCGTGTCAGCACTCTGTATCGCCACGCGTAGCCATCTGAAAGGATTGCGAGTAGCTCTTCGAAATATTCCGAAACAAGCAGGAGTTTGGCCGCTGAGGTTTTGCCTGAAAGAAAGATGTCGACTCTCCTGGTATCGTCATTATGATCAAATCGATCGAGGAAGAGGGCGCGCTCATACGCTGACAGCCTGTTGGGTGCGTATCTTGCAGCAATCCAAAATAGTAGAAGAGCAAATGATTCAAGATCGTCACCGAGAGTCCGCAGTGGAGGCGTCTGGACACACAACCTGGCAGACATAAACTGTCGCGTACCCTAGGGAAACCGTCTTAGAGAGGATTTCCACTCTGAGAACGTCACTTACCGTTCTCTCGTACGCCCTAGCTCCTTTATCTTCGAGGTATTTGGCGAGCTCCCAGTCGATGAGGAAACCGACAGAAGAACCATTGCTCTTTCGGACTATAATGATATTTCCCACAGAAATGTCACGATGCTCCACGTGAGCTCGGTTCACGGCATCGAAATGGGCTTTCAAATGGTTCAGATCTGTCAAACAGCTTCGAAGTAGGTAGCGACTGACCTTCCAGTGCATTGAAAACATACTGAGTTAGGGCGTGCGTAGATTCAAAGTCAACGAGAGGCTCCCCAACGACATCGAGTACGATGCGATAGTGGATGTGCTCGCGTATCATACTGACAGAAGGAATATGCCATCCCTCTGGGAAGGAGCCGCAGCGCTGGTGGCCATCGACATCCCCCGCAGCAAGGACATTGGCGATATTACGCACGTTATGAGCGTGCAGTCTCGCATAGACGTCCCCTTCCCGGTGATAGCCATGCACACGCCACACATCCTTGAGCAGGCACTTCTGCCGTGTCCTGCAGTCAACAGCGACGAAGCAGCGCGTACCACGGCCGACGGGGTAGTGATGGGTACGCGTAAAGGGCGCGGCAACGTAAAACGAGCGTTCGCCCAGGTCGACCTTCCACAAAGGCTCGTTCACGGCATTGAGCAAGAGCCGGCTGGGGAATGCCTCCCAACGTTCCACCGGTTCGAAAGTGGTGTCAATACCACGAACGGCAGGAGCTGCGTGCGAGAATCTCCAGAAGAAGGTTTGAAGATGAGAGGACTTTGTATAATGGAATGATGTGGTGACTTCGATGCCGCTATGGGTATGGCGCAGGAGCCTGCAGATGTCCTTGACGATGAGGACGCCAAACCCGTGAGTCCGGTATTGAGCGGCCTGCATGGCATTGAGGTACGTGATGATCTGGCCACGAGTATCGCGTGCGTCACCAGAATTCTTTTCCAGGTTATCCAACTCATCCGTGAAAGCGTCGCTGAGGAGTTTGGTCTTGACCTCGATGAATGTCTCCATGTCACATGCACGACAGAGATTGTCGTTCGTAGGCTCTTTGGTGGAGTAGATAGAGACGTCAGGCTTGATCTGATGGTTCATAAAGAATACAGAGTTCGGGTCCGGCGAATTGGATGTCTCGGCCATCTTCCAGCCTTCCTTGAGGAAGGGTAGAAGGGCAGCGATCAAAGGCTCGTAGATATTCGCCTCCACCCTTATTGACGATACTTGTTTAAACGATTTGAAGTCGATGGATGGCATGTTGGGAGGGTGTTCCGGCAAGTATTCGGCGAGAAACTGGGTGGGGGAAACCAGAAAAAACTTTCCCTTCAGCTCTTTCGCAGCCTCAACAAATGCAGTCTCCACGAACTGCCCGCCTAGTGAAGAAAACGGTAGGCTCGACGCGGTGGGCGTATCCTGCGTGCAAGGTGTAGCGCCAATATTCGAAGGAGTCGAGGCCCTGAGCTGTGCATAATCAGGCTTACTGGAGCCATAGAACTGCTCGGGCGGTATGCCTCGGCTAGTGCTTGCTTCGTCCGACATAGGTGAGCATACAGATGATCGTTGAGGGGCAAGAATGGAATCCACATCGGGCCGGATGGACCGCCTGCCAAATTAGGTGATAATCACGATAATTACCTGTTTCACAGACTTTCCACACTGATAGGAGGCCCGGGTTCAAGGCGGTCCAAATTTACGATACGGCCTGTCGTCGCGGAACTTTTGTTGCTTGTCTGTAACGACATAAATGAGTACCAAGCAGAAAAATTCCCTATTGTACTGGGATAACAGTGAAATGGCCTGGTTCCAAAGTCAGGGTAGACATGTTCATCTACTTGCACATAAAAGGTCGGTATAATCAGTTGAAGAAGGATAAGGACATTATTACCAGTGCCGACTTCTTGGCCTATTAAAGCGAAGTGCCTCACTATTCCAGCTCGGCCCCACTCGGAACAAATGGGAACAACCATCTTCCGAGCTATCTTTGACGAGACGCCCGCGTGTTGTATGAATATCACGTACTCCGACGCGAAAAATAGCATGCAGAAGGGGTGTCGCTGCGATGGAGGTACTTGTTGCATAAGGTCCGAGATCGAGACGAAGAGGGTCTATTGAACGGAAGTTAAGTTGAGGGGAATGCATTATCGGCAGGAATGTATCACGGTATGTCTTGCTCATTGACTATTCCTTAGCAAAGACTGTTCGTGCGGCCTCCTTTCATGTACGATCACACCCTGAGCCCACCACGTTAAAAATGACATCGTCTGGAATGGATATCTCGAGGAAATACTTCGCGAACAGCATCGTCCTGATCTACGTGTTGAGATATCACCATGAGACTATATTCGGAAGCCTAACGAGTACTTACATGTTTTCTCCCTCTCACATAGCCGACAGAGATACGCCATTATCCACAGAAGGCGCTGGGTGCAACACATATCATCGCAAAAGGCCTGCATCGTAGATACACATGGATAGAACTAAGACCAAAGATATTAATTAGGTCTTCACAGATGGAAACAAAGGTGCGCGCCTGTTTGAATCCAGTGAAGAGGAGACAGGATCAGTAAACCGTGAAGTCAAGGCTGGCCTGGCCGTCACCATCTGAAAGGTTGCGAAGCAAGCAAAGAGCTTGGTGGGACTGATAGGATAATACTGTTTGCAGGAGAACGATTGAGATTCGGCAGAACATGATTGATATTCTCGAAGAGAGAGAGGCTCCGAAGCCATCACTGTTCATCATCAATGTATTCAGACAAGACAGCAGGTAAGGGTGATATTGACTCGGGGTAGGATATGAGTAAGAAGATCATAACTCTTGGCATGTATATGGTATGGTTATACTATAAAGGCTGATGAGATCAATGTCGTTGAGAATTAAATTACGCATGATTGACCTGGCAACCCGGGCTCTCTTTCACATTGTAATCCTCTTGACATGCGACTCCGGTACTTGTCTGTCTGCCCTTAATGTATGACACAAACGAGGTATTGAAACGGCGTAGTTTTCGCAATACGAACTTGAAAAACGATAGAGCTGTTGCCCTTGATATGTCATAGCGGAGGTGAGCAGAAGTGAGAAAATACACGAATACTAGTACACACCTAGATGCCTCATAGACATGATGATGTACTGAATTCATCCATAACTGTGCAAGCCTTTGTAGGGCAATCGACTCTTATGAAGCGGGCCACATCTTTGGCTTCTTCTTGCACTAACTCTTATTCATGGGCGTAAGTGTACTAAAATGAGCCTGAAACATCCTAAAAATATGGCGCATAAGTACACATGTGAAGACTCTCATGAACCAATTGTTGCCCTGTGAAACGCCATGTGGGAGTGTTCGCAAAGGAATCAATCTTCTAATTTATACAGGTCAGTTAAAGGGTGGAGTGGAAGGTGCACGTACTTGCTTTGTCTTTCCGGGAAGACTCTGGCCGAAGAAATGCCATGCATGGAAGGAAGATAGCACAATTCAGAGGCAGCCACACGATGGAGTCGTTTCTCGCTTCTCGATCGATACTTCCAAGATGTCGATTAGGATGTAATATGCGACTCTGAGAGAATGTCGGCTAAACAGACTAAAGACAAACAGCAATTTCAAGGCTCGTTTCAGTAATGACTGAAAGGTACGCGACGGTCAAGACGAAAACGCTGGAAATAACGTAAGCATAAGTAGCTCTCGGCTATTCGGCCCGATCTTTCTTCCTCCACCACCATCGGCTGCCTTAATTTGAACGAGTTTTTACACTCATTTATGGCCTCTTTTTTTCTCCGAGTCTTTCAATTTTTAGTCCACTCGTGACAATGATACCGGGACATGGTGGCTCTCAAACCTCATATCCAGATTTCGCACTATGCATATACCTGCACACCGTGTACGACGATAGACGGGATAAAACGCAACGAAATATTTCGAGCCGTATGGATGAGGTCTCTAAAGTCATATTGCACGAAGTTCCTAGTGTCAAGCTACTGGAGACGTACACAGAAGTGTCTGGTACGCATTTTTCTCTTCCGAGAGCCTATGCTTATTTCATACATCGTAGGAACTTGATTATCACTCACGTTATGATCCCTATCCCAGTGAATATCATCGTGAGCCGTCTACGACATCCTGTGACGTTGGATTGCCTGCTTAAAGGCGGTAGCGCGTATCCTTCTCTATATCCTACTTGGAAAAGTCACTAGTCTGCGCCTGATTACTTGGCTACCGGATACGATGAACAGGTTTTAGTATGTCGCCTCTCGTTTGTTCTTATAACGTTATTGAATGGGAACCAGGTGCCTGTACAAACCTGTCTTAAAATTTGCGACTACGCAGGCTTTTGACAACCGCTACACCATCTTTGTCGAGCTCAAGGTCAATTCGAGGTAGCTAAGTGTAATGTCACCTATGAATGTTCCATCCTTATGTGACACAAAACGTCAATTCTGTACTTTTCCGCAAAGCACGGTACGTCATCTCCCGTCGTGTATCAGCATCTTAGCATCTCTAATATGCAGAAGCAGGTATCGATAAACTATTCAGACTTGCGAAAGACGGGACAAGAGGAGGTAGACTCAAACGCAGATGCTTTCGAGCTAGGATCACCTCCCGTCATGTAGACCGTCTTACAGGGATATGGAGAAAGTGTTTCCTTTGTCTATGGGCGGCATGGTATGCTCGGGGGGAAAACAGAGCAGCCGTACCGCCAGGATTGTGTCTATATTCCCCGGGAATCTAAAAAGGCATGCGGCGGCTCGCAGATCCCCAGCCTTTCCTACTCCTCATCCAAGAGTTCCAAGCCTCGACTTAAAGCGATGCAGAAATCTACATGGGATTCCACCAGATGTTTGCGATCCGACGAAGAAATCGCAGGTAGGTTTACGCGATTTTCATGGTCAGATTCCAGCGACTTACATAATGCCCTCCAGGTTTGCGATTACACGATTATGTTGACGTTGTTCAACAAAATCTTAATCGAAGCCTCCGACTTTGAAGATTCAGAGTATGAAGTCGGGTTGGTCGGTTTTCCAATCAGCACGATCCTCGATTGGCCTATGGGCACACCCGCAGGCTTCACCACGTTCGTCAGCCCCAAGGTGGACGCCCAGTTCAAAAAGATGTTCGACGTCTGGGAATCTTTCCTCACCCCCTCCGTCCTCACCACCGACAAGACTGGGTGGTTTGGTCCGGCTGGGAGTGCCGTCATTCTGACCTTCACAACGACATACGTTGTGATCCCTCAGCGTAGTACTACGGATTCAAATCCTGGGACGACTTCTTCATCAGACAGTTCCAGCCTGGCGTTAGCCCGTCGTGTTCTCAGAGGACAACTTGGTCGTTAACAGCGCTTGCGAGTCGACCTTCCACTGCATCGCTTCCAATGTCCAGGCGCTCGATGACTTCTGGCATAAAGGCGAACTGTACTCGCTTAACCACATGGCTCAATAACGACCCTCTTGCTCCCCAGTTCGTTGGCAGGACCGTTTATCAGGCTTTCCTGAGCGCTATAAAGTACCACCGCTGGCACAGTCCAGTGAACGGCACGGTTGTGAAGACGGTTATGATTCCAGGCACATACTACGCCGAATCTTCCGCTATGGGATTCCCGAACCCCGACCCTGGTGTTCAGAATCTCTCGCAAGGGTTCATCACCATCATAGCCACTCATGCACTCATCTTCTAATCCCAGCATCGGCTTGATGTGCTTCATAGCTGTGGGAATGGCGACGTACGAGATCCCCGTTAGTGAAGGCCAGAAGATCGCAAAGGCCGTCGAGATGGGGATGTTCCATTTTGGAGGATCTTCACATTGTCTGCTCTTCCGGCCTGAGACGAATATTATTTTTAGTCCGGATTATCCTGGTAATTCGGATGTTCCGCTCAGCACTGCTCTTGTGATTGTTGCTTGAGGCCGATAATGAAGCTGGGCTTGGTTACGCATATTGAACCAGTGATAAGTAGTAAATAGCTATATGTGACTATCACTCTTTTGACTACGAAAAGTCAGGATCACCCTTTACCGACACCCGAAACGCGGGCGCTACTGAAGCATCTTCTTTACTACGGCCAAGGCAGCAACTTCATCCTCACGGCTCTGTACTCCTAACAGCACTTGTCTTCCTTTTTAAGGCGAGGTTGTTGTGTCGACGCTTCATACCTTCATTCGGGACTGAACCTTTCTGTGTTTAAGGTCTGAACAAAGAAACAAAGGTAATGATAATGCCACTCGAAAAAGTTGGGCATATATAAGCCCTCGACATTCAAATGTGATTCTCCCAAGCTCTTCCATCATGGCTGGTAACCCCGAGTTCCTGGTGGAAGCTCTGAAGTACGTTTTTTCCTCCCTTTCTGCTACTTATATTTATAACTCATCGTTCTACTAAGAAATAGTAATTTGACACCGGAGCAATGGGGTGCTATTTCCGACGCGTAAGTTCCAGCGTCTGTTCCAGTTGGAAACGTACTTAATGCATGCGAAGCTGTGACCAGTGCCTAAAGATCGTCGGCAATCCATCATCTACATCCTCACGATCTTCGACTTTCATAATCTCCACACCGTCGAACATTGAACGTTCGATGCATTCACAACCCGGCTCTACAGTTGCTGTTTCCTCTATGCCACACCTCAGTTCCAGTATCCCTGTTATCTCAGATCCCGTCGCGTACGATACCCTGAAGCGAAAGCTCCAAGAAATTCAAGAATCCGCGAACAAGGAGTCGATACCTTTTCCGCATCTTGATCGTGCGATGAAAGCCTATACAAGTGGACGGCGTGATTCTGTGTCCAAGGAGGTACCGACTGGGAAGATTCGCACTAGCATGTGAACTCACGTTTATCACCTCGGCGTGCGTTGTGTACCCAGGAATCCAGCGCCGCGAGGTGCGTTTGGCCCGCAATGTCCTATTTCCCTACCCAGACTGCTCATTTATAATTAGGAACTTTAGGATTCGTGCCGAGAAATGTCTGGAACCACTTTACCAAGTGTATATGTTATGATTTTCTCCCTGGAAACAGAGTTAGTATTGCACGTATCGTGATAGGATTCGGAAGAAAAGGCCACCGTTCATGTGAGCATTACAACTTACTCTCGTACAACTAAAAAGCAAATAATTTCAACTAAGTCAAGAGGGAGGCTAATAATACGCACTTAGCAACTTGATGATCAAAAGTAATCCCTTTCGCCAACATCCTGCCAATCAAATTACCCTAAAAAATCTCGGGCGAAATGTCTAGAAGTTCTGGAGAAATATTAAGCTGCGATATTTTATATGTAGATCGGAGGTAAGCGAAAATCAAGGAAAGAGAGAACATGACACACGTGCACGTACCGAATTCCTTTGTAAACCGTAGGCAGCTAATATGCCTAGCAGAGGTAGAGGATGTAGGGAGGGGCCGTTGAAATAAAAAGTAACCAGATCTTGAGCTTAGAGATACTGTCAGCCATCCAACGTTAGAGGGAAGAGGGCACACAAGGGGGTCGCAAAAACCGAAAAAATCATATCAGGTCGAAAAAATTTTTAAGGCCTCGATGGACCGACCGACCGACCTCCGTGGGAAAAACATACCCACAAGGGAAACATCATGTAATCACTCCGTGTCGGAGTCACCTGCCAGTGCGAGCTTTCCACCTACGTAGTCCTCTCATCCTCAATCTAAACACTGATGATATACAGTTTTTGTCTGCTAGCAACGACGCTTTCCTACTGTACATGACCGACACTTCCAATTGGGGACCCGTCGTTCCAGGCCAACGCATTGAATGTGATACTATCCAATCTTGTGAGCATTCCAACACAGACGTATTCAATTTCAACTCACCAATTCTGTCTTGTCATTGGGAGCAAAAGCGGAGAAAGAACTCGAAAACATTTTTACAGCCGGTAATTCAGTACTGACTAATCCTGCCGATATCCGGCACCATGCCATTGGCGCTTCAAGCCTTCGACATCGTTTTGACTGCTTTTCCGGCACTCTTTGGGTTATGTGAGGTCATTACCCTGCATATATCAGCTGAAATAAACATCTCCAGCAGTGTCTAGGTTCTCTGGATGATATTTTACAAGAGGGGGGCAAAAAAATTTTAAGGACCTTTTGGACCGACCGACCCGATGTGCCGGCTTGCCGGGCCGCAACCCCCTTGAGGGCACATGCGTGCAAGGTGCAGATAGCTGAATTGAAGACGGCCCTATGCTGGAGAGTGTCCCGGTGTTGCTTCTGGATAGCTGCCACTGCCGGAGGCCACATCAGGCTACTAAAACAAACCACCTGGCTAGACCATCGCTGCAAGTGCGCGCATCAGAACGTCGGGAGAAGCGGCAGCGGTGACGTCATCACCAGAACTTGATGCCGAGATCTGCCGAAAGCTCTTCACCGTCCGCGAACACGACCTCCTTCTCTACCTAGAGTCTTTGCCTGCGATTTCTGGTACAATGCAGAAGAAATGGCATCCATGCGACTATCGCATCTTATGAACACCCTCTCGATCACCGGGCGTGGTTATCAAACACAGATTTTCTTAGCAGGAGACTCGACAAGCACGCGATATACGTGGAGAATCCCCTTTTGGAGATAGGCTTTTCGCTGAATAAGTACCGTGAGCCATGGATATTTTGAGACATACAGAAAGACCCCTCAGAGATGCATCGATGACTCGTCATAAAGGAGGGTGCTCTGCAGAAGTTATCCCGAGTTGCAAACGGACCAAATACACCTTCATCTCTGTGAGGTATCCAGGTGCGTGCTCCAAAACGTGGACCGTACTACGGACCGCGAGCTTGGACGAGACGCTTTTGAGAGACTCTTCAAGGAAAGATAATTCGACGGCCTAGATGCAGGAATTGCCACAGATAGTGAAATCAATGACCAGAAAGAGCGACGGCTCAACACTGAAATGAGGAGAAGGAGGAAGCTCTGAGGAAGAGTTGCCGCGGACACTAAGTACTGAAGTCTTCTCTTTATTATAATCTACGGTCAAGAATAGCTCTAGACAACAACTTCGTCGTGGGTTCCTCGCGGCTCTGTACTCTCAACAAAGCTTATGTTCCTTTTTCAGACGAGGTTGTTGTATCGTGGCTTCATACTTTAATTCGGGACTGAATATTTCTGTGTGTGGGGTTAATGATAATGCCACTCGAACAAGTCGGACATACATAAGCCCGGACATTCTAATGTGATTCTCCAAGATTCTCCCAAGCTCTTCCATCATGGCTGGTAACGCCGATTTCCTGGTTGAAGCTCTGAAGTAAGTTTTATCCTCCCTTGGTGCCACTTGTGTTACTTACCTATCATCTGTCTAAGAAACGCTGAATTGACACCGGATCAATGGGTTGCCATTGCGGACGCGTATGTTCCAGCACGTAACTCTCTGTTCTCGCTGAAAACTTATTTCACGCGTCTGAAGTTGTGATCAATGCCCAAAGACCATCGGCAATTCATTATTTCTATCCTCACAATCTTCGACTTTCATACTCTCCACTCCGTCGAATGTCGAACGCGCAGTGTATACAAGCTCCGGCTCTACAGTTGTTCCTTCGATGCCGCACCTCAGTTCTAGTCGCTCTATCATTTCAGATCCTGTCGTGTACAATAACCTACAGCAAAAGCTCCAGGAAATTCAAGAATCTGCTAGCAAGGATTCGATAGCTTTTCCGCATCTTGATCATGCGATAAAGTCCTACACGAATGGACGTCGTGATTTTGTGCCATCTGCTTCTAAGACGGCTGCCGAAGATCCTCACCAGCCTGCGAATTCACGTTTACCAGGTACATTTACCCAGAAATGTTCGTTTTCGCTGCTCACACCACTCATTGACCATCAGGTATCTTGTAATTCGTGCTGAGAAAGGGATTGAAACCCCTCGAACGACTTCACATGCTCGATAAAGCTGTGTATGATATAATATTCTTTGCCATCTGAAACTTTGACTTTATTCCTTCGTCATGACCTACACGCTGTATCGGAAACGCAACAACCATAAATACTTTACCTTCATCAAACAAGATAGTTCTGAATTGACCGTTTAGTGATTCTCAATTTCTTCAACATTTGTATCTCCTCCGCATCCCTCATCGTGAACACGGAGACCTTCTCAAACTTCTGCTCTGGCAATCTTCGTCCGGCGACCCAATGAATTTCTGTTGATGGCGCACGGGTCACGAATGCACCATTTTTCCGTTGGCCGCTGGCTATCAACTTGTACGAATCGTCGGGTATATCGTATAGATGAGCGGCGACGACTTCGAGTGAATGCAGTGTCCCGGTTTTGTCTTTGACAACTAATTTCCCATGTCGTAGTGACCCTTTCGGATCTTCTGCACTCAGTCCCTGTACCCGGCCCTCTTCAATGCACATCCTGTCGTACCAATCAGAATCCGTCTCTTCGTGGCGCTCTACATCTGCGTACAGATTGACATTGCCTTCCGGAAGACACTGCTCAGTGATGACTTGGTTCCACGATGGTCTCCAAGTCCGTTCGCTCCCAGGTGTAGGATACAGGAAGAACAGATCTCCCCGGTGTTTCTTTCGCATGGTGTTTACCACAGCGAGCCAAAGATCTTCAACAGACTGTGTCTCATCATACGTTGGTATTTCCTTGAACCGTAGGGGAAATACCAATGCTGCGACATGATCCACCGCATGCTCTGACTGGCGTTTGCGATGATGCATTAGCAAGTCAAACACATTGTCGACGCGGTGTACGATGTCTACCAGCAACCCCAATTGTTTATGGATCCTGTCCAGCACGACCTTGTAGTCCTGCTCCGCGGCCGTCTGCGGGGTCGCCACTGCTCCATCGCTAGTGACCCCGGCAATGATCCACTTCCTGCTTATCTCCTGTAACGTCCACGCACGGTTCATCAAAAATCGGGAACTATGCAAGTCATCCATCGTCAAGCTGAAGGCCCCTCCCAGTCCGCAGAAGTAGTACACGATTATCTCGGTTTCGTGATAAACATACCCGCTAGTGGGTACGTCAAGTTTCCATTCCTCCTCACGCAGAGGCTCATTCTCCTCTTTTCTGTGTCGCCTCAAGCAGAGTACGTCCAACCAGATGTATTCTGCGCCGAGTCTCAACATCTCAATTCGGACGAGATCCAAACTGCCATTTATATGGATGGGAACTGGGCATTTGTGAGTGTATTGACGTGAGTACGATGTTCAGGATCCATCCATGCGTATGATATCGCCCATGGTTTCTTCTCGGTGACAATTCCTTGGGGTACCACACGATTGCTATAAAGATCCCACACGCGTCGAGGGGGCATATTCGGATTTACGATCCGTTTACCCACGAGCGCTTCTCGTCGCATCTTCTAGTCCTTCTCCTCACGTGTACGCAGTTCAGTTTGGATAGTGCTCCAGTTGGCACTATACCAGATAGGACGGAGACGCCCATAGGCAGCGCCAAAGTCGTATTTCTCCGAGATGCAGCTTTGGAGTATCGAGGATAAGGATGGATTGTTCAGCGTGTATGAGGTTCCGAGGGTGGTGTTGAGCTGGTCTAAAATCCCGGCAACGCCTAGGTCGGTACAAGGGGTATCGGCGAGAGAGGAAGTTATGACGGGTTTCCTACCCGTGTAGGATCGTTGCTTTGAGACTTGAATCGACGATTCTTCCTTTCCGATCTCAGTGAAGGCCGAGATAGTGACTTCCGGATAAGTACGAGGTTTGCTTAGATGTGACTGCAACGATTGTTATATGTTATTGACTGCTGCTTCTTTTTGGTTTTTGAGACTTACCCCCATTTGGACCAGTTTGAAACCAGAGCGAGTATCGCGGTATGCGTCTCCTGTCGCAAACTCGAGCTTGCCTAGTCGTCGTTGAAATAAGACGCGATAGGAAAGACAAGCTACCATACGTACCGTTTTCAATCCTCCAGTCGCCTAAACGCCAGTCGAATCAGTATGAGGTCAAGGTCTGATATTCCCACCATCCTTGACGCTCATCCCATTAAAGAATGCGAATGCCCTTTTAGCACATAATGTGAACTAAAATGATCATCTTCTGTCGATATATTGAGGCATCCAAGGACCGAACGATAGGATATCCGTCTCATTCAACATCCTGTGTTTACTGAATACTTGGCCAGGACATACGAGTCTTAGTTCCGAAGAAGGAAATCCTACCGAACGCGACACTCTCATCCCTGCTGCGTCACAACGAGTTGTATAAACAATAATAGCAGTGATACGCATAAACTATATGAAGAAGATGGGTATCATCCACGGCGAAATCAAACCACTGGCTCACCTTTGAACTATCTCACACGATGCCAAGCCATCATCTGATTGGGTGTGGGAGATGTTGAGCAGACACCAATGTCTCGCGCGGGTGGCGATCCCTCTTATCGAAGTTTCTGGAAAACCAGCCAATATAAAGATGAGTGGGCCTATCGTCGACAAAACGAGTAGCAAGCACATACCAACAACAGGGAATCATCAATTAAAAACCGCACGCCACCGGCTCAGCGCTAAATGAAGCTTCTTCGCTAGGTTGAGTTCTCCCCATATGTTTATCCCTCTGGTTCGAAGCTCTTCGCTCCGAACGAATCCCACCCCTCATACGTTACCCTGGTGGATAACATCATCTGAAGCCGAAACAGGACGTTGATGCTGGGAACACTGCAACAGCACGATCAATTGCTGATGAGGTTGAATACAACATTATAGGCCCCCCGTTGTCTATTGAAGGAGCATGAAAAGGTGCTAGAACAACAGTGTGTATCCGTCGAGTCACAGAGCAGTATGAGGGAGAAGTAAGGAGATATATATGACTGCGAGAGGTCTGTCTTACAGGGTTCATTCAATGCTAAATCGGAATGAAATGTAATAAACATACGCTGTAAAACAAGATAAGAAGTCAAAGCGAGGTGCAACAAGTTGCGCTCGTGAGGGTCGGCAAGTCCTGACAGAGAGGTCGAGCTCAGTAGAGTACATAGGCTAGTCGAAGAATAGTATAACACTAGGACAAGCTGATTAATTATCCTTTGCTAGCTCGCAGAAAGAGAGACCACATACAACTATTATCGTGTCATACTATCACACGATCAGCCATGATACTATCCGGAGAATACTGTCGTTTCTTCGATGGACAGATCGACCTAATGGAAGCACGGAGACATCAGTAAGAAGCAATCCTCAGATCAAGTTCTTTACTCGCCAATTCTATTCTTTCTCTTTTAGCAGTGATAATTTGACATTATCCACGCATCGCATGCAGTCTGTAGTCGGATGGCTGAGAAACACTTGCGAAGGAGGAGTCTCGCGAGCTTGAATCTGGCTAACAGTTAGAACAGTTAGGGAGAACAAAAAAGGATGCAGCTTGATCTCGCCTTGCCTCTCACACCGGTAGATCCTTCAGCCGTAGCAGCCAAGTCGCCGTAACCATCAAGAGACGGATGCATGGGCTATCGAGACTCTGAACAACTTCCCACCCTGCCTACATCACGACATGTCGTACAATACACTCGGCCGTGCCCGGGAGGAGTGCTGGGGGTAACCTCGAATTGGCGCGTAGCTTGACATCAGACATCGTTTCTTCATATAGGTCCCGGGCTGTCGACTTGAAGGCAAAGTTGTTAAATTTGAATAGTATCCGCAAAGGCATGCATAACGTCACGAATCCTAAGAAGTAGAAGTTAGCTAAGGGTGGAACGTCATCAAAGGTAACCTACGCCGCATCAGGCCATGCTTGTACATAGTCTCTGCCGGGACTCCGTCGGTAAGTAAGATGACAAAAAGCGGCAAAGGAGCACATACAGTCATTATGGATTCTCAGGTATGGTACCATAGCGACTTCGCTCTTGCATAGCCGCCTGTCACAGCACCATCAGTAAATCGATACAAATGTTAGAACCGTAGCAAGTACTTACTCTGAGCGCTGTGCAACCAGGGCTGATTACCCTGCCAATACGAAAACCAGACCTCAACCGCAACGTTTATGATCAGATACAACGAGCCTAGCATTACGCCAAGTTTATCTCGGCTCCACGTAACATTCGCCCTTAGATCGTCGAATTGACAGCGAAGGATCCTAATGAGCAAGGCATTAGCGAGATACCCGACATCCGCTAGTATCCACGAACCGCAGGTGAATGGTGTTGTAGCATCAGTAAGGCAGACAAAGAGGATGCAATGAAAGAAAGGAAGACGTCTCCATTTCAATGTGGTGGACGAAACGTCATTACAGACCAGTGGACGATATCGTGCCAGAGCACGAAGATTGAAGAAATTCAGGGTTGGCAAGGGTAAAACGAGGATCGGGCGAGTTTGACAGGTTCATCGATCGGCTGTGGTCTTGCTTCAGACGGAAAAAGATTGAGATCTGTGAAGAGATACAGTGGATGTCCTGGCCGGGAAGACAGTATTGGTCCAACCCAAGCGACTGGTAACCGACAAGTTGACAGGTACGGCGGGTTGATATTGCGATTGCGATAGGATACAGGTAAGGCGCCCATGATCATTGATCATCATAGACAGTCCTTGCTTCGGAGCTATAAGGGCCTATGAGACAGATAAGGTCAAGAGAATCGGCACGCACGATTACCAGCTTGTTGAGAAAAGAACTCTGTCCGTGATGGCCCTCGTACCTACCCCTTAGCCAACTGGTGCCATCTTGGGCGAACTGTGAAACAGAGTCTGTGAGCAGAAGTAACGGAACATAGTAACTACATACTTGGGCGCCTCGCGTTGACGGTGTAATCAATCCATTCGTGACTCTTCCTGTTCTTGCAAGCTCGACCAGATTCTACTTTAACACTTAACCAGCAATATTTTTTTCGGTCAGCAATGATTCAAAATTCAAGCTTCGAACGATGAAGCAGCGGGTCATGGTATGGTATGCGGCTTTCCAGGCAGACGGTAAGCAGGCTAAATATCGTCTTGCGAGGAGAATTTTCCAGAACGTCCTTCGCTCGTTGTGATTTACGTCTCGAGGGTTAACGTTCCTGTGATAGGAAGTGTGTTCTAGAGGCACGCTACTCGTCTGGATGTAGAGCTTTGGGAGGTTAAACAAGAAACCACCGGGGGGAGAGCAAGAGGAGTGCCACAAGCTCGGCAGGATTTCCGGCATCAAGTTCGCTTATCATGACGTCATTGCTCGGAATCTTGGTTGCGACTCTCGTTCCTTGCTTTTCTCGATCTATGTTTGCCTGGTGTTCACATGGAATCTGCATATGAACTAATGGTAAAATATAGCACGATGATTCACAGTCCTTTCATCAAACCACAAGTGCCTTGCTTTAACACGCTCTTCGCCATGTCCCAGATTCCGGACGGCATTGAGTATAGATTTTGTATAGATTATGCAGAATCGAATGCTGTTACTATTTAGTCGGAAGCTTGACTCTGGTATCAACGATTAACGCTATCCGTGTACTTTTGGCAACGTAAGTAAGCACTACGTATTCAATTATTGCCACAGTAACGCTGTCGTGTCGCCTAGAAAACGTACAATTACGGGGCTGACTGATGATCTGATGAGATCATACGCCTTGCTGCTTGTTATGGTCTGCACACCGTTGCAATGGTGCTTTATATCCACCTGGCGAATACTGACTATCAGATGTCTCAGCCTTTACCTAGGATGGCAGAGAACGTAGGCGAATGTAGGGTCTTGATACGTGTCCTTACATTTGCGTTTATCCTTTTTTCTTCCCTTCATTGACATCACTGACCCTCCCATAGGGGACATCCACAACGACAAGTTTGCCGGACGCGACGGTCCCGCTCTCATATTTTTCCTGATTATTCGATACAAAGTGAATGCCCCATCCTCTGTACCTTGATAGTATTCATATCGCTCTTTTAGGGTATGCAATGAACGAATCTGAATGATGTCCTGTATTTTCTATCACCCGACTCGAAGATTAGGACATTTGCTACTGAAGAATGTAACGGTGCATGCCTACTGGTGTCTGTTAGTATACCCTATATGCTGAATATCTGCGCAGTTCTTTGACGAACTAGACAAAATCGAAGAAGATGATGTTAGGTAAACGTGTCGAGGCGAGTATCCATTACAATGAGACGGGAACAAGGACTCACTCTCCACTACAGCATAAGAGAGTAACCTAAACACCTATCTTTCTGGTGTCGTTGGTTCGCGTTCATGCACGGAATTAACCCGCATTGGCAGTGGTTTTTGTTTCCGCCTAAAGTATCCAGGACCTTGTTAATTTTCTGGAGTCAAGTTCGCATTACGTTTGAAACTTCGGCTTATGCAGTCGTTGATTCAGTCCTGAGAACTTCTATTCGCTGCTCGAGTTGACTGATTTCAGTTTTCAGCCCAACCAGAGCCCCCGAGACCAAGTTCAGCTCGACCGGCAATCTATTCTGCTTTCCTGTTACCTGTGGACAAAATTAAAGGGTCAGTTCTGCATCAGATCCATAATGCAGCGATGGTGTGTGTATACCCCTTTCAAGAAATCTATCAACCGTTGATCATTTATGAATGCATCAGATAACAGGTGAAACGTATATCTTGCATAGAGTCACTGGTTCTGGATACGCGCGCCTTTAATAATGGCTAGGACTAGTGAATGTCAAACAGACTTTGCGGACGTTTTAACTCACATCCTGCTGAGGGGAGCGATGCCTGATTTTGGGCCTAGGTTTCCGCACACTCTGACCGCGACTCTTCCTATAGAATTCACGGTGCTTTCAAGCTGCCAGTGCTGAGGTAATAATCTCTCACAACAGTAATGCTCCTAGCTGCATATAGATGTCTCCCGTTCGTGTTGCAAGCATTTCTTTAAGTGAAAAGGTATGCTATCTTCGATCTAGTGTTAACTTCTCGACATCGTTCACATTTCAGCGGGGGTACCGGTGCTTTCGATCGGATGAAGGTCATTAGCTCGAGCTATGGTATGCGATTTTCTTTCCCCTCTTATACGGGCCCAACTTACTGTGAAACTGTTTATCTAGGACATTCGATTGATGTTATAATGCAGGTTTCTCGTTTTCCATACCGCTTATTCATGCCCGATTTTCATCTTATCATAGCTCTTATAGGTACACCGTACAATTCTGGAGAACTATCACGCACCTCGCAATGGATTGGGTTTAGTGATGAGGTGAAGTCATCGTGAAGGATATTACAAAGTGAGATAATGCTCGCTGCTTATCTTACTGCGACGACATAGAAATCTGCTGAAGCAGTAATCTCAGCCGATTGCATGACAAGAGACTCAGAAAGTACCTAGACATGCGTAAATGCACAGCGCAGTACTGCAGGCCGGGGTCGGTTGTTCACGAACTCAAAATGATCAGATGTTTTTGCATATACATCAAACGAGAATATTACGACGCTTTACAGCAATGCCCAATTCCTCTAGCCTCTTCACTTCCTCCGAGTCAGTCATTTCGAACACCGACACTTTCTCAAATCTCTCCCCTGGCAGTCGTCTCCCGGCAACGCAAGAAAGCGGCAATTGAATGGTGTGGTGAGAGGGAATGAGTAGTGTGTACATGTCCTCGGGTATCGAGTGCATGTGGGAGGCAGTGATGTGGAATCCATGTTCTATCCCAGCCACGTCTTTAGCGATTAGCTCTCCATATCGATCAGACCCTTCCGCCATGGCCAATCCTCGCACAAGCGCCTTTTCAATGCAAAACCCATCGCATAAGTCTTCATCCATCCTCTCATCCCGATAAACACTCAACGGATGGAGGCTATCCACTGGCGGAAGCTTTGTCATGAGTTGGTCCCACGATGGTCTCCACCTTTTAACTGCATTCCCCGGTTCAGGATACACGAGCAGCAACTGTCCCCGATGTATGGCATGCATAGGTATTCACCAGTACTGTCCAAGCTTCCTCAAGCGACTGCGACTCATAGTATGCTGGCAGGGTATGCGACCGTAGAAGGTATGCCAGCCCTGCAACTTTATCCACAGGATTGGTGGACACCCGATTCCGCATGCTTGCCAGTATGACAAACAGATTAACATTGCGACTGCTTTCCTCTTCAGTCTGCTCAGCATCCCACGGGCCATCATTCATATAGTCGGAAACTTGCTTCTGAGAGCTCATCACTTCGACTTCAGTCTGCTCAGTATCTGGCGGGATATAACCAGCAACAATTTGATGAGGGTGGACCTCCGACAGCTTCCACGCGCAATGAAACCAAGAGCGATTGCAAACATCGAAGTGGTTCCTCTTAAAACCTGTTGGACCGGACACCCTCCCCAGCCCATTCAAGTAGTGTACGATCACTTCAGACCATCGAAAGACATTTCCGATAGTGGGCACATCAGAGATCCATTCTTCCTTGCGTAGATCTTCCCTCTTCCCTCCTTTCTGTCTCAAGCAGAGAATATCCAGCCATACATACTCTGCACCCAGATTGAGTAGCTCAATCCGGATATAGTTCAGGTTCGTGTCTTCCGGTATCAGTACGGGCCATTCACCTCCGTTGATAGGAGTTGTCACACCGTGGCGAGGGTGCTTATCCACCCAATCATGCGAAATCGCCCATGGCTCCTCCAAGATAAGCCAGTACAGCACCACTCGGTTACTGTGCAGATCCCAAACGCGCCGTGGCGGCATGGCAGTTCGAATTTGATTGTCGGCAAGTCCCTGCTCTCGCATTTCCCGGTCCTCCGCTTCAAGTTTGCGCTGGACTTCTCTGATGGTTGTCAAGTCAGTAAACCATCCCAGGCGGAGGCGGCTGTATGCAGTGCCAAAATCATAGTTATTCGAGATGCAGGATTGCAAAAGCGAAGATAAGGATGGGGTAGTCAGCGTGTATTCCGTTTGAAGGAGGGTATTGAGATGTGATAGAAGCCCGTCAATCCCTAGGTCAGCGCATGGAATGTCTGCAAGGGAGTTTGATATGATGGGCTTTCTGCCAGAGTACTTCCGTTGCAATGGAACTTTAATGTTGGTCGCTTTGTCATGGTCTGCCTCTGTGAATGCGTTGATCTCGATGGATTCACGATACACGGCCATTTTCCTGGTGCTATCGCGCTTCTCCTTCTTGGACTGCTCTGTATCAAGAATACGCTGCATAAGATTGGGGATTTTGATTGGTGGTATCTGGGAAACAGCATTGATATCATCCTGCATGTCTGCGATTATCACGATCTCAAAGTGTGTCTAATGATAATAGACAGAATGAGCATGAGAAATGAAAGAGCGCAAATTGTACATACGAGCAGGTCAGAAATCAGTGGGATGTATACGAAGACAAGGTTTGTTCACCCTGATCCCCGGACTGATTGATTCTCACTGATTGCTGACATGGCCTCCTTGTCACGTGGTAGGCACCTTTTACAGTTCTGTCAGTTTTCCAATCCCTGGATTTCTGGCTAAGTCTCTCTATGTGAAATCATGACGAAATTATATACACATCAAATAAGATAGTTCCTCATGTTTGTATGGACACCCAGTTTCTTCAGCCGCTTTCTTTCATCTTCGTCAGGTATTCTGATTACTGATATCTTCTCAAACCGTCGTGTGGGTACCCTTCGACCAACTACCCAATATTCCATAGTCCGGCTTCCTATCATTGTATATGAGCCTGCTGGTATTGGATGCTGGTGCATGGCAACAATATTAAGGACTTCATTTGTCCCAATGTGATCACTAACAATGATCGTTCCATATCTCGGATCAGTTTCTGTCGGGTCTCCTGTAGACAGTCCCTGCACATTAGCACTTTCAATGCAAATCCCATCATGGCAGTCGCTAGTCTCTTCGATTTCCTTTTTGTCATTTCGCTTGATGAGTTCACGCAGAGATATGCTGTCCATTGACAGAGGTGTCATTTTCATGATTTGCATCCATGATGGTGCCCATTTAGCTGATTCAATTTCTTCCTTTTGTTTTTCATTGAGTCTCAAAGAGGGACACTGCCAGCCTGTAGGAAACAAAAAGAATAATTCTCCCCGAAGTTCTTCCACCATTGACTCCACCAGTATCGTCCAAGTGTCCTCATCAGACCATCCCACATCATATGCAGGTATAAACATGGACCGCAGTGGGAATGCTAGGCCCACAACCTTATCCGTGTCATGGATGGAGACTCGGTTTTGCATGTGTCCGCACCATTTAAAGACTGTTTCTTTCAAGTGCCAGGCTCTTCAGTGATCCTATCTGCTCCTGAAAGCTGCCGACCTTATCTTCTTCATCAGCTGCTTGGGCATACACTAGAAAGTCATCTGTGGCACCACCAGCATATATTCTATACTGGCTGATCTCCTGCATTGTCCATGCACGCTTGAACCAACACCGGTTACTTTCCAAGTCTCCTGCGGTGTCACTCAAGGCCCTCCCCAGCCCACTGAAGTAGTACACCACCATCTTAGCCCAACGGTATACATATCCAATAGTAGGCACATCCAGCCGCCACTCCTTTTCACGCTGAGCCTCGGAGTCCCCTTCCCTGCCTTCCTGTCTCAAACAGAGAACATCTACCCACACATACTCTGCTCCCAGGTTCAACATCTCAATTCGGATGCACTCGAGGCTCGAATCTGTGGGGATTGGCACAGGCCACCTGTATCTGTTGATGGGTGTTGCCACACCTCTGCGATCATCCATCCAAACATGTGAAATTGCCCATGGAACTGTATTATCAGGGATAATCCACTGTGGCACTATGCGATTACTGTACAAATCCCAGACACGGCATGGTGGTGTCTGTGCTTGGATGGTTCGGCTATTCCTGATTGCATCTTCTCGCATCTTCTGGTCCTTCTCTTCAAGGATACGGAAGTCTGTTTTGATGGTCCTCAAGTCAGTTGTGTACCATCTAGGGCGGAGGTGACCATATGCTCTACCAAAGTCATAATTCTTGTCTGGGGTGATCCACGATTCCAGGAGCGAGGCGAGGGATAGGGTCATCGCATATGTTGTTCCAAGGATGGTGTTGACCTTATTTAGGACATCATCAATTTCTAGACGGGTGTAGGGAATGTCTGCAGCAGAAGATGGTATGACAGGCTTTCTGCCTCTGTATTCCCGTTGCAATGGAATTTTAATCGACGATACTGAGAGACTGGTCTCGGGTGTCAGGGATGTCAGGGATGATTCTGACTTCTGGGTACACTCTTTCTCTCTCCACAGACTGTCTCGTGCCGTTGACAACGATAGCAGAGTCCCCCTGGTCTGCTAGATATGTTCTGAACACTCCGCAGTTGCATGTGAAATCGCGTCAGTAACCCTGTTTCGTAGTTTCCATCCTCATCTATTGGCATCACGTGCGAGGCCATATAGCTAATATTGTGTACAATTGCCCTGTAAGCACAGGAATTAGATTGTACACAATTCTGTGAGGCCTGCAGGCCTGATAAGTATACACATGTATGAGAGCCTGGATCCAATCTAAATCCGCATTTTCTCAAATATTAGGCTCATTTCCCATCGGGATGGGCTAGAATTTTCTGTGGGGCCTTTCATAAAAATCTATAATTAGCCTGTAAAGTCAGCCCATCAATATCTGGCCGAAAACGGCTGGATGCGACCAAATGAAAATGGATGTAGTGGCAGTGCCGAATTTTTGATGGCATCATAGGGGCTATTTTCCGGTCAGAATAGGATTTAGGCTGGTTTCTGGGTGCTCGGTGGGTCAGGGAATGGCACTGGAATATTAATAAACCTAAATAACATAAAAGAGGACCTACTGATGAGGTATGGGGGCTCTGGAGAGCATGTAATATAGGTATTTTCGCAAAAATGGCTACAATATTTGCTTTTTGGGGGGTTTTTTAGGGTGATACATGCATTTTATCGACCGGGGGACTTCACCAATGAATTTCCTGACATTGAAAACCCCCAAACGATCCCTCTATAGCACTTGTGGCACATTTTATTACTAGGATTAGACGAGCATATTGGATTTTTAGGGTGCAGCATGCTTTGGATTGCTTTGAAAACTATACCAGTCGATTGGTACACTATAAAAACCTTAGAATACATTGTCTTCTATAATATTTGACCTGTATAATACTGTAAAAAAGTGGGGATTGGGGTGCACATATGGTTTATTTTGTTTTCTGTGCTTCGGATGAGTCTGGGACTATCACCAATAGATTCCTTGACATTTAAAACCCTAAAACGACTATAGGAACCTTTTATTGGGCTCCATAAACAATGGTAATAACAATATCACAGTTTAGGAGGAGCACATATGGAAAATCACTTTTCTGTACCTCGGAATACTTCAGAACTTCTACCAGTTTACTCCTTGACCTCAAAATCCCTTGTATAACACAAGGATTCAAAGAAAACCTACAAAAATACATGTTAAAAAAGAGTAATAGGGGATGGAGGAGATATACCTTGTATTACGCATTTATAGTGGTTGGAGAAGGTATTCCTGTTATATGAGAGACGATATATGCTGTATAATCATTTGTACAAATTCCCACATTCATCCGAAATGTATTGGAAGAGATATAAGCAAATCATTCTGCAAATGATGAGGAGCACATCCCCAATTTCAATATTCTGATCATTCTATAGCTTGGGGAATGTCAGAATCGGATTCCTTGACCGAAAAATGGTAGGGTCACCAGTCACCCATGGTCATTTTATCAAGAAAACATCTAATGGTAAGAACAAATCAGACTGCAGCAATTATCAAGGAAAGTTCATATTGTACTTCGGAGTGTTGACACTTCACTTCTCATGGATGACTGGTGACCCTACCATTTTTCGGTCAAGGAATCCGATTCTGACATTCCCCAAGCTATAGAATGATCAGAATATTGAAATTGGGGATGTGCTCCTCATCATTTGCAGAATGATTTGCTTATATCTCTTCCAATACATTTCGGATGAATGTGGGAATTTGTACAAATGATTATACAGCATATATCGTCTCTCATATAACAGGAATACCTTCTCCAACCACTATAAATGCGTAATACAAGGTATATCTCCTCCATCCCCTATTACTCTTTTTTAACATGTATTTTTGTAGGTTTTCTTTGAATCCTTGTGTTATACAAGGGATTTTGAGGTCAAGGAGTAAACTGGTAGAAGTTCTGAAGTATTCCGAGGTACAGAAAAGTGATTTTCCATATGTGCTCCTCCTAAACTGTGATATTGTTATTACCATTGTTTATGGAGCCCAATAAAAGGTTCCTATAGTCGTTTTAGGGTTTTAAATGTCAAGGAATCTATTGGTGATAGTCCCAGACTCATCCGAAGCACAGAAAACAAAATAAACCATATGTGCACCCCAATCCCCACTTTTTTACAGTATTATACAGGTCAAATATTATAGAAGACAATGTATTCTAAGGTTTTTATAGTGTACCAATCGACTGGTATAGTTTTCAAAGCAATCCAAAGCATGCTGCACCCTAAAAATCCAATATGCTCGTCTAATCCTAGTAATAAAATGTGCCACAAGTGCTATAGAGGGATCGTTTGGGGGTTTTCAATGTCAGGAAATTCATTGGTGAAGTCCCCCGGTCGATAAAATGCATGTATCACCCTAAAAACCCCCCAAAAAGCAAATATTGTAGCCATTTTTGCGAAAATACCTATATTACATGCTCTCCAGAGCCCCCATACCTCATCAGTAGGTCCTCTTTTATGTTATTTAGGTTTATTAATATTCCAGTGCCATTCCCTGACCCACCGAGCACCCAGAAACCAGCCTAAATCCTATTCTGACCGGAAAATAGCCCCTATGATGCCATCAAAAATTCGGCACTGCCACTACATCCATTTTCATTTGGTCGCATCCAGCCGTTTTCGGCCAGATATTGATGGGCTGACTTTACAGGCTAATTATAGATTTTTATGAAAGGCCCCACAGAAAATTCTAGCCCATCCCGATGGGAAATGAGCCTAATATTTGAGAAAATGCGGATTTAGATTGGATCCAGGCTCTCATACATGTGTATACTTATCAGGCCTGCAGGCCTCACAGAATTGTGTACAATCTAATTCCTGAGCCTACAGGAAATTGTATACACAACTGGCCTTATGAGGTGCGCGTGCAGCGGTCCATCTGGTGTATCCCCGGCAATGATCCACTTATCCCCAATCTCCTGAAGTGTCCACGCGCGCCTAAACCAACTTCGATTGCTGTCCATCTCACCCTCCTTCAAACTTAAAGGCTGCCCCAACCCACTGAGGTAGATCACCACCGTTCTGTACCCCACATACATCTGTCCGATTGTGGGAACATCTAGCTTCCACTCCTCCGCACGTATATCCTCACCCGGCCCGCCGATCCTGTCTCAAACACAGCGCATCCAACCATACGTACTCCAATCCTAGATTCAGCATCTCGATCCAGATCAATTTGAGGTTTGCATCCTTCGGGATGGGCACCGGCCATTCATATCCGTTGGTAGGCGTCCACGTATGGATACGATCCTTCTCATCCATCCATGCATGAGATATTGGCAGTTGGACATCTGTGGGCGATCCAGTATGGCACCATGCGATTGCCGTACAGGTCCCAGACACGTCGAGGTGGCAATCTTGGGTCGACGATCTGGTTTCCATCCAGTGCTTTTTGTCGCCTCTCCCAGTCCTCCTCTTCATGTCTGCGTAGTTTGTCTCTGATGGTGCTCCAGTTACTGGTGTACCACATCCTGCAGAGACGGCAATATGCCATGCCAAAATCATAGTTGTTCAAGATGCACTCTTCGAGAAGGGAATATAGAGAAGGGATATCAAGGGTATGTGACGTTCCGAGGATGGTGTTGAGTCGATCCAAGATACCGAGAATGCCTAGGGTAGCGCAGGGAATGTCAGCGAGGATGGATAGTATAATGGGCGCTCGACCGGTGGAGGCTCGTTGCAATGGAACCTCAATGGACGATTCCGCTTGGCCGGTCTCAGTGAAGGCAGAGATGGTAACTTCTGGAAATGTAATGTCCTGGAAATGTTCCATCAATTTCCCCTCTGTTTATTTTCTAACTCGCTTACCGGCTTGAGGGAGTGCTCAGAGGACCTGCCAGAATCATTGCCAGGATCATCAGATGATTGCTCCTGCACTAGCCCAGTCTGCGAAGAACCCACATTCGAGGATTCTGAAGTAGATTCTATATGGCTTAAGTTGGACTGACGCGCCTGGCGTCACTTCCGGGATGGGGTCACCATCATCTGCCGTAGGACTGTTGTTACGGGATAGTATCGCCTCTTGAGGCTCCGAAGGCACAGTTACGTTGGTATCCTGGTTGGAAATAGATGTCACTGTCGGAGGATGAATCGTTGTTCGTCTGTGCATTCGATACACTGCCAGGACGTTGAAGTTTGAAATCAAAAGCTGTGTCAGAACCAGCTAAAGCACCACTGGATGATGTTCCTGCCCGCAGGACCAGTCTGGAAACCTGCAATCGGCGAGTGTGAGGGTGCCTCTGGTCCCAAGTCAGACAAAAAATCAGATATCGTCTCTGCCTCCAAGACAGGGCCACCGCCATCTTCTGCAGTCGAACAGTCATTTGGTTGTAGTATTGCTTCTTGAGACTCTGGTGGAATTCGGTTGTGATTCTGGCCAGAAACGGATGTTTCGTCCGGAGATGAATGGTTTGTTTTCAGTGCAGCCGAAAAGACGGAGCATAAACGTTTCCAAATCAACTTGATGCGGCCTGCGATTTTCGATGGTGCTAATCGAACTGAGTACTTGAAACAACTGTAGATTAAATGTACGCACTATTTCCCATTTCCTACACTGGGATGGATACGCATGCAAAGAGGTGCGAAACAAAGCTGTGCTGGTACGAAGCAAGTGGCAAGCATCGCAGAGGACCCCGTGCTAACTGTGTTCGCATCATTACCGGCAGTATCAAGACATTTGTAAAGAGTTTATATGTATCGTGGCGCCTTTGGCCAATATGGATATTCGGAATCTGTACAACGACGATGAGTATCAATTACGATAACATGAAACCAGTGTCATACCTCACAGCCTCATCAGAGTTAGGCGCTTAAACACTGTCGTCACAGTGAAAGACACGTGCAAATTCACAAATTTACACAGTGGTCTGCTAGCTACCGTGAAGCTAGAGATACTCGCTCGTGAGTACGTTGCTTGTTATTATTTGAACACGGATAGTAGAAGACGAACTATTATCAACAGCACTACTGAAACAGATCTTCTAGTCATACCCACCCAACAGGTTCCGAACAGCTACCATCTCTCCGAAGTCACGACAGATGGTAAGCTGTATAATACAATCGATCTTGGTTGGAAGTAATGAGGCTATCCTCTTCCATTTGACGCCCACTAGTCCATCAGTCCGTAACACCATCACGGACGCCCTAAGGAGAGAGCATCGGAGGTGGAATGTCACCGTCGTCGTATATGGTCGAAGAGCAGAGTCTGTTGAAGAATAGTAAGTCGAAGGCAGAACACTGTTGTTGGAAGAAACGAGTGTAATCGCACCTTGCTCACTGAGAGTCGTGTATCAAAAAGTCGGCAAAGATTGTCCATGCGCTGCAGAGGAAAACGAAGCATCTGGATGTCTGTAACAGTCAATAAGGTCAGTCCGATAAACAAAGAATGACGAAGCAGGACGCACATAGCACTGCTTAACCGTGTCCGTATCATAATAATGCTGCCGCGCAATAACCTCCCCTTGGCTTTTATTGCTCGTATTCAACTCGTATTCCCTGGCAAAGAAATACTGAGATCACCAATTTCCAGCGAAGTATTTGCTCCAACGACAAGACGCAGGGTGAGGCATACGTTGTCAGCCAATAAGGAATGACCTATATAGCAAACTCTAATTGACAGTTTCAATTGGTAAGTCCAGATACAGGCAAAGACGCTCACCTGCTTGATTCCGGCGAACAGGAGAGGCTGATCGCTCTCGATTGTCTTTCGGTGTTCATTTTCCTCTGCTTGTTGATAGGTGCATACACGATCCTGACCGAGGAAGTGTGTAGCCCCTCGACGTTCACAGTGAGAGCCGAAAGATTGTCATCAAGCTACGATCACTGCGCTAGGGAAATTGCTGGCTGTAGAAGATCGATGAACCGATGTCCTACTGGGCTTGAAATTCCTGAAAGGCTTCATATTCGGAGCTGACACAGCCCGCGGACGAAGTCGAGGATGGTACGAAGACGTGAGATCGAGGTTGGTCCGGCTATTTGCGACCACAGGACGAGATCGCACAGCTGCATGCGTGGCAGTGCATGCAACACGTAGCATCGCAAAAGGCTTGCATCGTAGATGTGTAGGGATAGAGCTCAAAGCAACGATATTAATTAGGTTACCACAGATGGAAACAAAGGTGCGCACTGTTTGAATGTGGTGAACAGGAAACGGTGATCAGACAGGACTGACCACCATCGATCGTCTGCTAGCACCCCGTATTCTCTCACTAGTTGATAGGCGCATACACGGTCCCAACGTGGAATGTATATATCTCAGTGTAATACTGTTAGCAGTAGGAGGAAGACTCTATATTATCACAGAGAGCGATGATCACGGCCCTATGGAAATGAATGACTGCAGAGGATCGATGAACCGTGAGAAGGTTGGCCAGGTCATCACCATCTGAAACGTTGCAAAGCAAGCCGAGAACTTAGTGGAACCGATGGGGTAGGACTGTTTACGACGGAGAACGATTGCGATTTGGCAAGACATGATGGATATTCTCAGAAGAGAGAAAGGCTCCGGAGCTATTGCTGCTCGTCATCAATGTATTCAGATGCGACAGCAGGTAGGGATGGTATCGAGTCGGGGTAGGATATAAATAAGAAATTCATAACTCTCGGCATGTAGACGGTGTTGCTGCCATACTATAAAGGCTGATGAAATTGATGTCGTTAAGTTAAGAGAAACATTACGCACGATTGACCTGACAAACCGAGCTCTCTTTTACATCGTGACCGACTTGACATGCGACCTCAGTACTGCTCGGTCTGCCCGTAACGTCTTGCGTGAGCGAGGTATCGAAATGTCGCAGTTTTTGCTATGCAAACTTGAACAACGATAAAGCTATCGTCCTTGATATGCCGCAGCGGAGTTGAGCAGGACTGAGAAAATAAGCGAACACCAGTATGCACCCAGAACAGGATGATGTACTGAATTCATCTGTAACCGTGCAAGCTTTTGTAGGGCAACCGACTGCCATGAAACAGACCATATCTTTGGCTTCTTCTTGCACCGACCTTTATCCATAGGCGTCCTCCGTGAACCAATTGTTACCCTGTGAAACTGCCAAGTGGGAATTTTCGCAAAGGAATCAAATCTTCTAATACATATAGGTCAGTTAAAGCCCTCGGGCTATGGGTACAACGGTGGAGTGGAAGGTGCACGCACCTGCTTCGTCTTTCCGGTAAGACTCTGGGGGAAGAAATGCCATGTATGGCGACTCTGAGAGAATTTCGGCTAAGCAGACTAAAGAGGGACAGCAATTTTAAGGCTCGTTTCAGTAATGACTGGAAGATACGCAACGGTAAAGATGAAAATGCTGGATATAACGTAAGCCTAAGCAGCTCTCGGCTATTCGGCCCGATCTTTCTTCCTCAACCACCACCTCTTTTGCGACTCTTGTTTTTGTAACACCAGCCGCCTTAATTTGAACTTTTTTTACACTCATTGACAGCCTCTTTTTTTCTCCGAGTCTTTCAATTTTTAGTCCACTCGCGACAATGATACCGGGACATGGTAGCTCTTAAACCTCAAATCCAGATTTCGCACTATACATCTACCTGCACACCGTGCACAACGATAGACGGGATAAAACACAACGGAATATTTTGAGCCGTAGGGATGAGGTCTCTAAATTCATATTGGAAGAAGTTCCTAGTACCAAACCACTGGAGACGTTCACAGAGCAGTACAGTACGCATTTTTCTCTTCCAAGAGCCTATGCTTATTCCATACATCATAGGAACTTGATTATCACTCACGTCATGATCTATATCCTGGTGAATATCATTGTGAGCCGTCTGCCATGTCCCGGGACATTGGGTTGCCTGCGTAAGGACGATGGCGCGTATTCGTCTCTATATCCTACTTGGAAAGTCACTAGCCTGTGCCTGATTACTTGGATATCTGAGACGATGGAAGGATTTTGGGGATTTCTAATGAATGGGACTCGGTATGTCGCCTCTCGGTTATTCTTATAATCATATTGAATGGGAACCAGGTGCCTCGACGAACCTGTCTTCAAATATATCACTACGCATACTGTGGCATTTGATCTGGACGGACTAAGGCCTTCGTCTTTCGCAAAGTCAGCAGTGTGGGCTTTTGACCACCATTACACCATCTTTGGCGAGTTAAAGGTCAATTCAAGGTAGCTAGGTCACCGTATCAATGTCACCTCTCAACAATGTCCAATACTTATGTGACAGGTGAGAACCATTCTTTGAGGGTACTATACCCTATTAAACGGTAATTTTTCGGGTTAGATACGCGTCAAAAATATGAAAACACGGCTACTCTGAATCGACGTCAGAGCTTCTTGAAGACGACTTCAATTTTCAGTAGTATCATCTGTAATATCCGCAATTTGAAGTGCTTTCAATGCTTTGGAATTGATTGCTTTGTTGGGGACCGAATGAACAGCAATTGAGAGAAGAAGGCACGAATGTACAAGGCTTCACGAGGAGTTCCTTCATATAACTGTGCGTCCCTTTCCTTCAGACAATCTATTGATTTAGATCTCCTACGACAGATCTCAGAATAAGGGAGGTTGTCCCACATTTATCGCTTAACTGTAAGTTTGGGATCTCCACAAAGTACTATACTTATTATGCATCTATAGCAGAAAAGCCACTATCTACTCCTTGCCTCTTAGCGAGCGAGATTATTTGGAGAGGTACTGAATCATGATTCAGAGCTGAAACGAATTCTGACTATCCGAGGCGGCGGGAAAAGTCTACCGTAAGGACGAGGCAAGTAAAAAAGCTGTTATGTATAATTCTTTGCCGTAATTTGATCGTTAAATCTCAGGTCTACGTGAAGACAGTACGAAGTCCGACGCATATGAGAGATATGCTATGCGCTTTCTATGTAGCGGTGCGTCTTCTAGAACCTCTGCTCACCTCTGCTTACTCCTACCCGTTATGCCAAAGATAAATACGGTGTCGGAACGGTTAGCGATTGGGTTCGGAGATGACTGACCATGACTGAATACTCGAGATAGTAGAATGGATCGATACCTAGCGGCCCTTCATTTCTTGACAAATAGCGAATACCCACAAAAGGAGCCGGGAATCTGCACGCAGCCCACACGCGACTGCCCGAGTGATTCCGCCTTGTCGACAACTACCAACGTGCCTGTGCCCGACACAATGTGTGTACAAGACCTCGGCAACACGTTCCAGGTACTCAGAGGGTAGCGAAAGGTCCCCGCAGCTTGACTGACAGGCATCCCGTTACATTCAAGACGTCTATAACAACGCAGCGACGGATCTTCAGCCAGGTACCAGACAGGCCACCTTACAACATCGATCCTACGAAAAAATCACAGGTGGGGTTACGCGATTTCCTAGGTCAGAGTTCAGCGACTTATATATTGTTCTCCAGGTTCGCGATTACATGACTATGTTGACGTTGTTCAACAAAATCATAACCAAAACCCCCCACTCTGAAGAATCAGAGTATGAAGTCTGCTTGGTCGGTTTTCCAATCAACACGATCCTCCATTGGACTATGGGCACACCTTCAGGCTTCACCACGTTCGTCAACTTCAAGGTGAACGCCTAGTTCAAAGAGATGTTCACCGTCTGGGAATCTTTCCTCGCCTCATCCAATTCATGCTTCGTCGGTTGGGAGTGCCGCCATGCCCAACTTGGCCACAACATACGTGTGCGATCCCTCCGTGCTGTACTACGGATTCAAATCCTGGGACGACTTCTTCACCAGACAGTTCCAGCCTGGCGTGCGGCCCGTCATGTACCCAGAGGACAGTTCGATCGTTAATAGCGCTTGCGAGTCGACTGCTTACTGTATCGCTTCCAATGTCCAAGCCCTCGACAACTTCTGGCTTAAAGGCGAGCCGTACTCGCTTAACCACATGCTTAACAACGACCCTCTCGCTCCCCAGTTCGTTGGGGGGACCGTTTATCAGGTTCTCCTGAACTCCATGAAATACCACCAATGGTACAGTCCAGTGAACGGCACGTTGTGAAGACCGTTATGATCCCAGAGATGTAGTATGCCGAGTCTCCCGCTATGGGATTCCTGAACCCTCCCCCCCAGCGCTTCAAATCGCTCGCAAGGGTTCATCACCACTATAGCCACTCACGCACTCATCTTCTAATCCCAGCATCGGCTTCATGCGGTGGGAATGGCGGCGTGTGAGATCACCATTAGTGAAGGTCAGACGATCGCAAAGGCCGTCGAGACGGAAATGTTCCATTTCGGAGGATCTTCACATTGTCTGCTCTCCCGGCATGAGACGAGGATTATGTTCAGTCGGATTATTCTATTAATACGGATGTTCCACTGAGCGCTGCTCTTGTGATTGTGGCTTGAGGCTGATGTTCAATACTGAAGCTCGCATATTTAACCAGTGCTAAGTAAGTGATATCAAAATATGACTATTATTCTTTTGAGTACGAAAAGCTAAGACTAACCACCAAAATCCGGACACGATTTCTGTTTTCTACGGCTAAGAATAGTGCCGGGCAACGACTTCATCCAGGATTCCTTGCGGCTCTGTATTCGTAACACCGCTTATATTCCCTTCTCAGACAAGGTTGTTGTATCGACGCTTCATACCTTAATTCGGGACTAAGTCTTTCTGTTTTTAAGGTTTGAACAAAGAAACAAAGAAAGGTAATGATAATGCCACTCGACAAAGTCGGGCATATATAAGCCCTCGGCATCCAAACGGGATTCCCCCAAGCTCTTCCATCATGGCTGGTAACCCCGAGTTCCTGGTTGAAGCTCTGAAGTACGTTCTCTCCTTCCTTGCTGCCACTTATATTTCTGGCTCACCGTTCAACTAAGAAATACTAATTTGACCCCAGAGCAATGGGGTGCTATTTCTGATGCGTAAGTTCCAGCGTCTGTTCCGGTTCAAAACGAACTTAACGCGCGTAAAGTTGTGACCAATGCCTAATGATCATTGGCAATCCACCATCTCCATCCCCACGATCTCTGACTTTCAAAATGATCTCCACACCATCGAACGTTGAACATTCGATGTATTCACACCCCGGCTCTACAGTTGCTATTTCCTCTGTGCCACAGCTCAGTTCTAGTATCCCTGTTATCTTAGATCTTGTCGCGTACGATACTCTGAAGCGAAAGCTCCAAGAAATTCAAGAAACCGCGAACAAAGAGTCGATACCTTTTCCTCACCTTGATCGTGCGATGAAGGCCTATACAAGTGGACGTCGTGATTCTGCGTCATCAGCTTCCAAGGCAGGTGTCGACTGGGAAGGTTAGCACCAGAATGTGAATTCGTGTTTACCACCTGCACATTGTGTATTCAGGAATCAACCGTGACGTACATTTGCTCCATAATCCCCAGTTTCGCTGCCTACACTGCTCATGAAACACTAGGCATGGATCTCGTAATTTGTGCTGAGAAAGGGATTGAAATATCTGCAACGGCTTCATCTCAATAACGCTGTAGTTTTCTCCTCCAACTGAAACATCGACTTTCTTTCTTTATCATAACATACACATTGTATCGGGAATTCAGCAACCACGAATACATTAATTTCATCAAACAAGATAGTTCCGAACCGACCGTTAGTGTTTCAATTTTTGTATCTCCCTTGCATCCTTCATTGTGAACACGGAGACTTCTCGATCTTCTGCGTGGGTAACAGCGACCCAATCAATATCTGTCGATGCCATGAATGCACCACCACCTTTCCTGTTGGCCGCTGGCTATCGATGTGTACGTATCAGCAGGTATCCTCGTATGGATGAGCAACAAATATTTCGAGTGAGTGCATCGTCCCGTTTTTGTCCTTGATGAGATGTCGCTAGTCACCCCAGGCTATCCCCAACAGTGTGCGCGCAAAGAAGTAGATGTTGTCGGGAGGCGGGCCGAGGCCAGGGCCATGCCAAACTTGGTGCCGAAATATGCCGAAACGGCGACTCCACAGGCGACTCCCATGACAATCGCTGCTCTTCAGCCTCTTCTCCAGTTTTGACAACAACAACCACCGCTTCCAGTCAAACATAGATGAAGTCATTCGTTAGCCTTCGCATAACGTCCGGATGGTCGACATATTTTCAACCCGCTGAGTCGACTTGATACGCGCAAAAGAAGTATTCCCATCAGACGACCACCTTTGGCTACAGAAGTACTATGGCCTGTATGAAACTCTGCTTGTGATGTGTGATATGCTTACTATATACCTGCAGAACTACCTTCCACGACCTCTTATCGAATTTGAAGCTCCCATCGATATCTGGGAAATGACTGCTTGTGGCTGCATTGAATTCTGCTATGATATTTTCCAGTTAAAGTTCTTCTGGCGAGTAAAAGCAGGTGCATCTACAATCACTTAACCGTTGTGTCCCTAGCCCGAAGGAATGAACTGACCTGTATATACTAGAATATTTAGCTCCTTTGCGAACATTCTCACTTGGCGTTTCAAAGGGCAACAGTCGGCTCACGGGATTCTTCGCATGTGTACTCATATGCCACCTGTACGAACACCCATGTCGCGTTTGGGTGCAGACTTACGCCTACTAGCAAGATGCGTTCAAGAACTTGGGGAATATATGTCCGGTTTTCATCGCGAGACATCCAGGTTTGTACTCGTTACTATGTATTTATTTCCTCGCGTCTTCTCACTTATATCCCCAGATATCAAGTCCAACTACTGTATTTTTGGGGGGTTATTCGAACTCGATAGCCTGTTCGTGCGAGACGTTATATCTAGAAGGGCTGGGAGCAGGAGGCACATGGCATAGGGGCTACAATCATATGGCGTGGAAGAGCTCTCACATTAATAGGTTGATGGTGCGTACCGTCTAATTCCGTCTAACCCCGTCGACCTAATCGGTCGTTTGTAGTTGGGAAGCAATGTCGTCTACTTGACAAGAATTTTGTTCCTTACCCATCGCAATGCAAACCTTCTAAAACATACCTTTGACTGCATTGGTTCCCAGAAGCAACGTCCAAAGCCGCCTACATACTCTCCGCTCGGAATATCCATCACTTCTCTTTCTCAACCTTGAAGCAATGCTACCATCGATCCCGCTCAGTGCAAAGCTCTGCATACCTTCAGATTGTTCTGGATACAGGTAGTGTGATCATCATCTATCTCACGTATACTCAATCTGCCACAGCCAGCCACTTCCCAAGGGCTAGAGGGGTGATAGTCGCAACGTTCCCAAAGTTTGTGGATATCTTAATCGACCCTCAGAGCGGGAAAAAGCTAATTGGGCGCTCACCTCAGCTTCGCAGTGTCCTTTTCTCGATGACGATTAGGGTGATCTTGCCTTCGAATCTGAGGCAACCGGTTCCTTGGAAATTTGTGATGTTAGTGTTTTTCTTCGCCAGGGAATGCGAGTGGCAAAAGCCTGTTTGAAATGATTGGCACGGTGGTTCTGCGACGTTGATGACGAGTTATGGAGCAGGTCAAACAAATATCTGTGTGTACTGCTTCATTGTTCCTTATTTATCATGTTGACCTCATTGTTCTGTTACAGATGCCCAAAGTCGAGGCAAACATAGTTATAAACCGTTTCTTTTTCCGTTGTGATTCTGCGCAAAATGGGAAACCTGTGTTAACTTCTCTCCCTGATGAAGGCACGATTACATTCGTTTCTTCTCAGAGTACTATGCCTTTGACTGGCTCGTCTTCAATAGACACTGCTGTACTGCGGTTTGATGGACTAGTGAGCGTCAAATGGAAGATAACAGCCTCATTGCTCCCCGAACAAGATGAATTCTATTGAGTATCTCGCCGTCTATTGTGGTGGATTCGGAGAGATGGGAACTGTTCGGAGTGGACCTGTTGGGTGGGTATAATCAGGAGATTTGGTTCAACAGCGCCGTTGATAATGGTTCGTCTTCCGCTATCCATCCTCAACTAATAACAAGCAACGTCCTCGCAGATGAATACGTCTAGCTTCATGGCGACTAGCATTCGCACGCTGTCTTTCACGGCAATGTTTAGGTGCCTAACTCTCACGATGGCTTAGCGCTGAGAAGTATGATTGATACTCATCTTCTCCATGCAGATTCCGAGTATTGTGTTCTCTGGTGAGAATATTGGGCCAGGCTAATAGTGGAAATGCAAGTCTCCATAATTCAATGGTATGCATTTGCGTGGTTTCTTGAAGCTATTGTTGAAAGTACTGTCCAGAATGCCGGCCACCACAGGAACAGAAATGCTATTTTTACAGAGACGGATGCATTTTGATGTCGTTAGTATCATGTGCTCGTGTATCCGAGATCATTGATATATTTCGAGTCGCAGGTGCCTCGGAATGCGCAACGATATATATTGACTCGGAGGGATAATACCAGGGTGACCTACCGTTGCGAGCCAGAGTATGAGCAGGGAATCGATTCAAGTTTTCGCAAATTTGCAAGGGTACATCAGTGTGCGATTCGTCTTCATGTCAATCTTGAAATGAAAATTTCCTCGTGCGTAATTTTCACGGCAGCAGCGAATTAAATTGTATCTCCGTATGGACTAGAAATTGTTGCCGATATCGGTGATCCCAAAGCCCGAACCATGCAGGACGTCATTGGTTCACCCTGGCGTCTATCACATGGTTTGCATGACGGCTTTGTATCCGACAAGGGACTTCAAACCGTGATTTGCGACACCTACCTGCCCCTGCGGAAGCATATCTCCGCTCTACAAAACGGGGAATAGTGCGTACAGTCAGTCTCTCTTGTTTCGAGCACTCAGGAATGCCGAAAATTGTAGGCCAATCGTTTTCAGACACGTCGATTTTGTTCGGAAACGCTTATACGCTGCGCCGCCTTTTGGGCTTCTCGAACAATGAAGGATTCCTCCCCCGATGTAGCATTTGATTCACACCAGACTACTGACATAATTGTACCTTCAGAGCCTCAGGATGCGATACTAAGCCCGAACGACGGTTCTACTGCAGAAGATGGCGATGCCGTCTCGGAGGTGATACCTGAGTTGTCCAGCTTGGGTCCAGAATCACTCTCAGAATCCCTGATTTTGCCGCTTGACACTACCACTATGGAGAACGAGCTGGCTGGGTTCATTGAAGGAAGTAGTAGTAACTTCACTGACCCTAGCGATGATGAATTTCATCTACTGGTGAAAACACTCAGGGTAAGTGGGTCAAAAAATGACTTCAGTAGAAGGGAATGACACTGATAGCAAATCACCAGTGTTACGAAGTCACCATATCTGCCTTCACTGAGACCGGCCAAGTGGAATCGTCCATCAAGGTTCCATTGCAACGGTCCTATACCGGTCTTGAGCCTGTTATCCCATCTTCTCTCGCCGACACTCCCTGTACTACCCTGGGCATGCAGGTCCTCTTGGATCTACTCAATGCCACATTCAGAACATCACGTACCCTGGACACCCCATCCCTCGCCTCCCTTCTCGAAGACTGTATCACAAACAACTACGACTTTGGCACTGCTTATGGCCGTCTCCGCCCAGTATGGAAGACCTATAAGCCCAGGAACATCCGAGATGAACTATGCAGGCATGAAGAGGAGGACCAGGAGCAGCGACGAGAAGCACTGAAAGGAAACCAGATTGTTGACCCGGAGTTGCCATCTCGACGTGTCTGGGACCTGTACAGCAATCGCATGGTGCCATACTGGATCACCGACAGATGGCCAAAACCGATATCACATGCCTGGATGGATGAGAAGGATCGCGTTGATGTGTGGACCCCTATCAACAGGAACGAATGGCCCGTGCCCATCCCAAAGGATGTGGACCTCAACTTGATCCGGATCGAGATGCTAAATCTAGGATTGGAGTATATGTGGCTGGATGTGCTTTGTTTGAGACAGAAGGGTGGGCCAAGGGAGGATCTGCGCAAGGAGGAATGGAAGCTGGATGTGCCCATAATTGGATACATGTATGATGAGGCTGATCCAGTGGTGATCTACCTGAGTGGGTTGGGGAGGCCTTTGAGTTTGATGGAGGGTGACTTGGATGATGATAGGAATTGGTTTAGGCATGCATGGACACTGCAGGAGGTTGGAGATGAGAGGATCATTGCTGGAGATACACCTGATGGACCAATGCATGCCAAGCCAATAGATGATAATGGAAACTATGAGACAGGGATACTGACAAGGTTTCATAATGAGTTAAAGTTTTCACTCCTGTTTGGAGATTCTTTTAGTGCACTGGCAGACATGCAGAAGCGAGTGTCAACCAATCCTGTGGACAAAGTTGCGGGACTGGCATTCTCTCTGGGGCCCAACACAATACCAGCATACCATGAGAGTGAGTCCCTTGAGGATGCATGGACAGCACTGGTGAATGCAATGCACCCTTGGATGAAAGTGTACTTCCTCTTTTTGTATCCTGAAGCAGGACAAGGATGCAAGAAATGGAGACCAACATGGGACCAGATTATGATGGACCCTCTATCAGTGGATTTTGACCTGTGGCTTGGGCATGTTAGGCATGATGATGAGAAGGATGAGGACTGGTATGAAGGGCATTCCATTGAAAAGGGGCTTGTGCAGGGATTGGATGCAGGATCAGCAGAGGAGGGTGATCGGTGTGGAGAGTTAGTTGTTGAAGATGCAGATGGAATGGCACACCAATTCAAAATCATTGCCACCCACAAGCACCCAATACTGAAAAACATGTACACACTGCTTGGTAACACCAAACGTCAGAAGCCTACACAATATTGGGCTGTGGGGCACCACCTGCCAGAGGAGAGATTCAAGAAAGTGTCAGTGGTCAAAATGGACTTAATGGAAGCAGAGAGATTGTATAACCTAGGTATCACTGTGGAGTGTCATAACATTCTTGTTTGATATAAAAATTGCAAAAATATCTGATCATTTTTGAGAAAAACTGATGCTAGCCTTAGTGTTGCCATGGTGATATGCCTGCCTGGCATACACACCTGAAAACACATGTAAAATTCAATTTTATTACAATGCAAGCTATACTGTCATGGTCTCAGTAAGAAAGAATGAATAAGATAGCAAGAAAGCAACATTGGAGACAACCCACAGTATTTATTGGGACTTAGTTGGGAATGTCTACAGCTCAGCCAACAACCTGGTGACCCAATGACTCAGCCTGAGTGACTGAAGGTCCAGGCAGGTTGACACACATGGCTCCAGCCAAAACAGCATTCTGGCAATGATAGCCCCTTGATGGCACCAGTCCACAAGTAAGAATAGCAAAGCATGAACAACTTCACTTACCTGGTAGCCTCTCTAGTCTCCAAGACTAATGGTGGGGCTGCTGGGCAAGGGAAAAACATGAATTGTAGAATTAGGGGCTCAGCCCTGGCACAAATAAAACTTGTAATCATGAACTAGATAGCCAGTAATGTGCTTGGTAATGGTGATGAGCCTCAAGGCTCTGTACACTCAGAATTTGCGGATTTTAGCATTATAATAAATGCCTTATCCCCTTAATGGACTTTCACTAAGTCAACCATTATAATCATGGCAATACCCACTTTTACCACCAACTTTCCTTCCCAACTCAAATTCCACATCAATATGCGCCACTTCATTAATGCCACCAGGCACTTGATTGCAGATCTCACGGAATTAGGACCATCACTGATCACTCAGCACAGCCATCACTGACATCAGCATCAAGCATCACTTAATAGAATGCCGCAGCCAAAATACCTATTCCACAGCAAAAGACTTAATACCGTGACCTTTCCACCAGCTTTACTAAGGCTGTTACAACACCAAGACAAATGCTGCACACATCTACTTCAGTGTACTACCTTCAGTGTACTTTGCCGCAGCAACACAGCAGCCCAAGAGTCTGTATGTCGGCGGAATTCTTTCTGATCACCAAGTCTATACACAGTAAAACCATGTGGGTGCTGTTACTTTAGAACTCTAGGAGCATGCATTTTGTATCATTTCTTACCAATCGATGTACTAAGGACTTACTAAGGACTTGTTTCAAGTATTCTAATTTTATTCCAGACTTGTAGTATAAAAGCTAGTGTAGTAGTAGTTATCGGAGACACAGGTTATCAACGACAAGTAACTGAGTTGCTACAACTGCTATCTCTTGTACCCACTAGGAGACAGACAATAACAGCATAGTCACTCCGAGTTATACTCTCTGTCACGGCTTTTCTTCTAATGGTATTGGTGTATGCTCATATTGCGCCAATACACAGAATTTCGTGTCCACAACTCGCTTTTATCTTTTATTCCGCCAGCATCATTTCACTTTCACCAGCCAGCATCATTTTACCAGTCTTCACTTTCTACGTCGCCATTGTTTCACCCCAGTTCAGCTCAGTACAGTTATGTCCCCGTGTGGACACAGATTAGGATTGTTATTGCCACCAGCAGTGTCTGTCATGGAATTTCGGTCAACAGCTTCAGTATAGGATCATCAGTCATGGTATTTGTTATCTTGCCGTCAGTTTCAGTATAGGATAGTCTCCGTGTAGACTCAGGATCAGGATCAGTTTCATTTTACCGCAGTTAACCTCAGTCCAGTTTTAGTTTCATCATTGCTCAGTTCCATTCATCATTTGCTGCCACTAGTTTCCTTTCATATTTCTGCCAGCCAGTCTCTCTTCATTTTACCGCCAGTTTCTTAACTACAGTCTTCGTCTCTTGCCGTCACGGTATTTGTTATCTTGCCAATGGTATTTCTCTTTGATGGCAATTTCCCTAAATCCATCAACATCGTCCACGGCATTTACTAGTTAAATTGCCACCACTTCATTCACGGTTTGCTGGTATTCTCAGTTATACTGGATTCCATTCCTTCTCGTACATCGAGACCCTTCCTGACTTACAGCCAATGCTTTCTAGTACTCGATTGTTAAGGGTACTACTTTGCTGACTGAAAAGTCACAGTGTATACTTGCGTTCTTGAGGAATTCATTGCACAGAGGTGCACCGAAACACTCGCACAACAACACAAGCCTTTATCGCTGCTACACGTCATTTGCTGTGAACTCTTCTAGAGTTTTGATTTTTGCCATTGCCATGGGAGTTTAGGCTCATCAATGGGCAGCGTGCAAATGAGACAAGTGTCTAGATTGTCAATCTAGATACTAAATCTCACACACACACACACACACACTATCACTAATGTATATAAGTTCGAGGGTGAGTAAGATAGAAGCACTTGTGATGTACTTAGATTTCAATAATCAATTGTGTTTTTGTTTGAAAGTGACTTCAATTCTTTTCTAGGTGTGTTTTACACAAAGTACACTAGTCCATGATAGCAGGGTTTATGAACATGTTTTGTAAGGTATAGACAAGCAGGTTATACTTGTTTTAATGTTGTCTAGAAGAGCTTCTAGCAGACACTTCAATTAATCAAACAACTAAAGACCCAGAGGTCTACAAAGAGTGCAAAGTCACTCTACAAAGAATGCACAGGTTCTGACTTCAAGTATAAGACTTGCAAAGAGTACACAGTGATAGGCCTAGACTTCCATGGCAATGGCAAACACAAAAAAACAATTGACAGTTTAAATGTAGAACACACAACAATAGTTTCAGCTTGTTGTGTGTGCAAGTAGTTCATTGTACCTCCATATGATTGACTTCTTCAATAACACATAGTACACACTGTGACTAAAGAGTCTGCAAAGTAGTATCTGAATAATAGGCTAAATACTCTAGAGGATGCTCCAAGTGTATACTGAAAAGGGTTCCAAAATAACTGTAGTGAGTTATTTCAAATTTAACTGGTGGCTGTGATGATACTGATGTTGAGTTTATGAGGTTCCAAATTTAGAGAGTAGACTGATACAGAATATATGAAAACTGATCTTGAACTGTGAGTGCATAAGAGAAATAAGGGTGTAAATGGACATATTTTATTAGATTGAGTAGATACTAATAAAGCTTCGATGTTTACTAGAGTAGAGGTTGCTTGCTTTTCTTCCACATTACCTTACTCTTATATACTACTGACTGTGCCTGTGCCATAGTTTTTACTAAATACTGTATGTAGTTTATCTAGTATGTGTGCTGGCCAAGTTCATATACCTTCTTTACTATCACTACACAAATATGGAAAGATTCCCTCACAATTGAACACCACATTTACCTTCAATGACCAAATATTCTCCCTAATCGCAGTTATTAATACTGTGCAATACTAGCCTTGGTCACTGAGCCATAGTATTAGCTTAGTATTGACTTCTTGTATGCCTGTGCTCCAGCAAAGTGCAAGACTCCTCCATAGTTATGACTGGACAGAATTATGCATCATAGTAAATGTGGGTTGTATTTAGAAATGCTATCACATGGCCAGGATGGCTATGTGATGTGATCAAGATGTCCATATATGGAAGATTGGCAATCAAAGTGCCTGGCATATTAAGATGGGATGGATAATAACTTGTGGTGGATGTGTTGCCTCTTGCCTCTTGAAAGCAGATACAATAATATTCTTTTTTTTAATTAAGAGTTGCACTCCTTGTCTGGCATTATTTATAGTGTTTGAAATGCATGAATTCTGAGTGTACAGTGTAACACACCAACTCAGATAAGCAAGGTCAAGCTCTTATCTGTCACTCGTGTTTGATGATTCAGAATAAGAGTAGTGATGCAGACTGTGTTAAAGTAACATTGATTTAGATAGTTGCAGAACTTGGAGTTCAGATAAGAGTTGGGAGTGTATAACCTTAGCTGAGGCTATTACGACTGTACCCCTATTTTCCTTATCTTATCTTATCCTTATCCCTCGAAACCCTGGACCTGCCTATCTTATCTCTTGGACCCATGATATTCCACCAGCACACTCCTTACCCGTTTACCCGGTTGCCGTCACCCCAGTTCACAGCTGCCATGCCCCAGATGACTGATGACCCACATGTACCATCATGCTTCTCTTGATGGCATCACGCTTCCTAGTAGTTGGATGAGAGTTGACCGCCAGTCAAGGGTGGTCTATAGGATGCAGCCTATTCAGACAGAGTCCCGTGCAGATGCAGGTGATATGCGTTCTTTACTCTTATTTGTCAGGAGTACACTTCTTTTAGTGTCCTCACTCCTCATTCATTGAAAGATGCACTTCGCGTTGCACGTGCCCTTGTAGATACTATTCTTAGTATGAGTCTAACATGTATTTAAGCTAGCCTACACTGTGGCCTTAGACCCCAGCTTCGGCTAAGGTTATATACTCCTAACTCTTACAAGCTCCTTGCTTTCACTATAAAGTGACGCCTAACTTCTCGCAATCTACCAAGGCCTCTCTAACACTGAATCACCGAACACGAGTGACAGGATAGAGACCAGCCTTAGTTCAGATTAGAGTTAGTGCTTAACAGAGGCTGCTTAAGTACATGTTGGTTTGAGTAATAATAACTATACTATAAAAGTTCTGTGATTTGTAGAATGAGTGTGCTGGATGAATGGCCAGTGGCCAGCAAGACAAATGTCCTTCTGGAAGCATGATGTCCATGTGGGTAGGACTCCAACTGAGTAGGGATAACTTTGTGAGCCAGTGGCTTGACTGAGTGTACCAGGAATGAATGTGATATTAAAGTGAGTTGTTGGTGATCAGAATGATGATGCAAATGTCAACAACCAACTTAAATCAACTTAGATCAGACAAGGATCGCCACTCACACTTTGGTGGACGACACACTTGTAGGCCAAAGTTAATAGAGGAGGCGGTCACAGACTTAGATAGTCATGAAACATGGAGTTTGAGTTGGGTAGATTAGACCTTAGCCGAAGCTGGGGTTTAGCCCAGCTGAGGCCTTCCTTAAATACACAATGACTAGACTAAAAATAGTACTGTGAGAATGGGTCCGATGATTGTGAGTTTGAGTGTAAGCGAGAAATGTAAGTGAAAAGAAAAGAAAATGAATAAATCGTAACATTACCCCCTTCTTAAGACTCATTCGTCCCGAATGAGTTATTGGATTCCTCTTCTATGGATTCGTATGACCAGACATCTGAAGTACGATCATCGTCATTCCAGTTTTCGGTTACTCTTTGGAGGAAGTTTAGATCAGATTCATTGTCAGTCGGAGGATCAAACAGGATGGGAGGGTTTTTATATGGTCTTTGCTCTCGTCTGGAGGCTTCAATTTCGATTTTTTGCCTTTTTAGGTATGAGTCTCAGACCTGCGGGTCATCGAGTCTGGGGTCTACCTGCCGTCTGGGACAAGGTTGGCTCAGCTCGTATCCTTCGTCAGGATTCTCCTTTTTGTA